ACTGGCTCCGGCAACCTTGGGCTACAGCAACTTTAGATGGCATGATGCCTACACCCTTCGCAAGCCTTGTTCGAACTCCGCCCGTCGCAGGCCTTTCCTTCGCTCCACCCTTCTCGGGTAACTCCTCACCTCCGCCCTTCACGGGCCCAGCAAAAACTCCGCCCTTCTCGGGCTCCGCCACTATCTGTATCCATAGCACAGGCCTCGTAGCTTACCATGGAACTAGATGGTGCTGTGTGTTAATGTCCCAACATATTTATTTTATTTATTTATATAATGTTGATAATTTAGTAGTAAATAACAAAAAAATGCTTTCTTTTAGTTAAAAAAAAAACAAAAACTAGATGGTCTTATAAATATTTTAAATAAAGTTAATTGCATTAATTATATTTTGGTACTCTTTTAGACCACTGGTTGGTTATAAGGATAGCACGTTAGTACTTGTAGGTTAAAATGTGTAAAACCAAAAATAAATCGGTTACATCACTACGGTTACAGCATTTATCACCCCGTTGACTACTGGAAGACGTAATTTGTAGCAGAGATAATATGATAAAATTGTTTATGCTAAAAGTTCATTCATCTCTTATTACTTGCCTACCGGAATAAGGTATTGTATGTAGAAAATAACTTGATAGCCAAACGCAACTTAAAAAGTAAGCAAAAGCTTATAAGTTCAATTTTGCACTAGGTAATTTTCAGTTAAAGACAAATTACCTATTATATATTTTTTCAACATTGGGAAATGCATTTACGCATACCATCTGCATACCTACAGGTGTTATGTGGGGCTCACCGGCTAGAAAAGCTAGTATTACCCACTAAAACACAACAGAACCTCCACCGTCCTAATAGGGCGTCGCAGGATCGCTTACGCACTCAACCACGTGACACCGACGGTAGGTCTTCCCAAGAAGACCACAATAACCAAGGGGTTTCTCCCACAGTCCACTTTGCCATCAGAGAAGTACCAGTAGCAACTCGCATGGTACACTTCACAGCTGCAAGTGCGTATCTTGGCTAGATTGCCCGCACTTACTATCAAAATTGAAAAAAAGGTCTTAGAAACTACTTATTTTAAACCCTTTATATTTTTTTTATGTAATCTATACAGATAAAAAAAATTGAAGTGTCTGCTTGTAATGTCAAAATTACAGCTAAATAAAACTATCTTTTCGGATTATTTCGCGGATTTATTTTGATTTTTTCTTCCCGACGTTTCGAATGCTTTACAGCATCCATGGTCACGGGAGAGACTCAAAAAGAGTAAATTACAGCTTTTTACTAAATGCATATGACATTATATACTGTAGGTATTTATAAAAAAAAACATAATTTTTAAAAATTTTGGGTCTGTTTTTCCACGTGATTTTGACAGGAATTCCACTGGCAGATAAGTGATGTTTTATGGAGTAACTTAGGCTACTTTCATTTTATAAAAAGAACAAGGGATCCGCTCAAAAAAATACGGACGCACCCGAGCGAAGTGAGGGTAAGTCGCTAGTAATAAATAAAATAAAATTAGTTAATATTACATTATTATTTCAAAATACAAAATCTTTAACTTCAACATCAATATCTTCAATTGTTTTTTAAAAAAAAACAATTAGAAACAAGTTTATTTGTTAAATCAACCATTAACAAAGACGAACCGTTATTAGCTTTAAAAAGGATTTATTTAACTTCCTAAAGCAATAAAGATAAAATACATCGTTAAAGTCAAATATTATAATAATAACAACATAGCTTTTTGTTCTTAACAATAATGATTATTTATGCACTGCTTTTATTCTTAAGGCTCATTTGCTTTCGTGTTTTTTCGTTTTACTTTTAGATTTATCTTATGACATTTTTCAAGTAGAGATTTATGTATCTAGGAGGCAACATAACTAACGATCTAGAACTTCAATCGGCTTCGCCTCTAGAAAAACAAAAACAAAACTATCCCACGGGAACCGTATATTTTTCCGGATTTTTTTCCGGAAAAGTAGCATATGTGCTATTCTAAACTATAATGTATCTCTGTGCCTTTCATCCAGATCCGTTTAGCTGTTCTGGCGTGATTGACAACATCCACCCAAACATCGTTTTAAAATTATGACAAGAGTAAAACCAAAATTCTTATTTGATATGATAGCAAAGTCATTAAACTCTTTTCTGCATCAAAGTGAATAATTTTATATAATACTAGCGACTCTTCCGTAGCGGACTTCATCCGTACGTTTTAACGGTTAGTATGAAATAAAAATCTTTGAATTTCTCGGTCATTCTATACAGTTATTATATGCATGTATCATACAAATATAAACTTTCCTCTTGAATCACTCTATCTATTAAAAAAATCGCATCAAAATCCGTTGTGTAGTTTTAAAGATCTAAGCATACAGACAGACTGTAGGAAGCGACTTTGTTTTATACTATGTATGTAGTGATACTGAATTTATTTTGATGATAAATTTTAATAGATACTATGACATTAAAAGATTTTACTCACTCAAAATTTTTCGCAACCAGACCGGAAATCATTTTTGTTGTAACTATTTTATTAATGCGAAAGTTTGTTTGTGTTTTATTTAAAATGTCAAATATTCGCCTAAATCTAAGAAAATGTTACTTCCAATCTGCTTAGATTGGAAATGATTATTTCCTTCAAGAAGAAGGAAATGATCAACATTTAAAAAACACTATACTTTTGAACGAGACTTGGACAAGATCAGCACAATATTTTACTTCATGATCTGTTTAGTTCTCCCCCATGTTTGTTGAAAAGCATTCAAAGCGTCGAGAACAAAAATATAATATTAACCGAGACAAAATACGAAAGATTTGGTCTATTGGTCTATTGGTTACGTTGGTCTGTTGCAAAAAAATAATTAGTGTTACCAGTGTTCAAATAAAAGTAATTATTTTCTTGAATCGTTTTATGGCTAGGCTAAAGTATTAATAATGCATTGAGCTGACACTCTCAATTATTAGATCTAAGCATCACTTTTCTAATTTATCACTCCCTATAAAATAATCTGATTGACCTTTGCTATGCCTAAATGGATATTATCAAGCAGTAAGCATTACTCTGTTTAACAAATCACTGCACGTGACTTCACGTATAATATTTAATAACTATAAGATATACTAGCGACTTCTTCACTTAGATCTGGTGCATTCTTAGGAGTTTATGTACAGCCTATGTGTTACTCCAGGTCATAGTTTGTGTCCACCTGCTGGGCGTAAAGCCAAAAAATACACTGGAAAAAGGCCCACTTCGCTGGACGGTGTGCCATGCGGGTTGCTCCTGAAACTTCTCTGACAGCAGAGTGAACCGTGGGAGCAACCCCTTGGCTGTGTGGTCTGCTTCGGCAGACCTGTCATCGGGACATCGTGGTTGAGTGCGTAAATGATCCTGCGACACCCCATTAAGACGGAGGAGATTTTATTGGATGTTAGTGGGTAGTACTGGCTGGTGAATGGTGAATCTCACACATACCAGTAGTCCACACACAAATGTAGGAATTAATAGCTTAAAAATCAGTCAGTACTAAGCCGGAAAAAATTAGTCAGTGCTATAATAAGTTGAAAGCTACGTCGAAATACATTTTCACAAATTTACATGATGGAACATAGAAGCATCTATGCATTTTTTCCAATGTATTTATGATATATAGGTATCATCTTTAGGTGCTTTTTTATGGCATAAAACTTATTATAACTGAAATAAGATATAGCCTAATATAAAAAGCCTAATAAATGACGTTCTTAGCAAATAAATATAAAACATATAAATGATGAATGAAATATTAAAATCTGTTCAGTAATTTCAGAGTTTATTAATGTCAAACAAATATATTTTCATCTATAGATTACATGTTTGACGACACGTTTGCTATGCCAGAGGTCGCGAGTTCCAGTCCCGAGAGCATGAAAGTTTGTACTTCAGTCATGGGTGTTTATATTTATATACTTATACGTATGTATTTGAAGTTATATAATATGTTATGTATCCATAACACAAGCCTCGTTCTGATCCTGGAACTAGATGGTGCTGTGTGTTTAATGTTCCAATATATTGCATGTTCATATTAGGATATTTTTTTACCTGGCATACTTAGCTCTTAATTTTCGTAGATAGAAAATTCTAACCCTTTAAGAGTATCCTAAATCCTTACTAAAATTTTATCTATATCTATAGGTACATATAACAAAATTATGAGTCAAATTTGTACATTAAATATTTTTTGGAAAATCTTATTAAAATAGTCGTTATTATCAATACAGAAGCCAAATCTATTGTTTTTAGAATATTTGTCTGTCTGTCTGGCAACGCATCACGAAATAACTACTGGACAGATTTTGATGAAATTTAGTATGATGATAGCTAGTTATCCGGGTCAACCAATAGGATACTTTTTACTGCGGGAAAATATCTCATTTCTCAGAAATCTATACTAACCGTTAAACCGCACCCTGGGACAAACCCGAGCGAAACGAGGGTGAGTCGCTACTAATTCAATAAAGTTTTTAAAAGTAGACAAATATAATTTATCCTGGATAAATACCGCGGAAGTTAGCAATATAAATAATCGATTTAAACAAATGATTTTAACTCTTATAACACTATGTGCACACTGAGATAAACTTATTATAAATAGTTTATATTTACAAAAAAAATACTAATATACTTAATTATATATACAAAACAAGTCTACACATAATTATTACTGCACAAATCATATCCGCGTGGAATAGTGGCAAGAATTCTTTATTTATTTAGAAAACCTACTTTTAATCTAATAAAATTAAAGCTAATACAAACATACAGAACGCTTATATCTTATTAGTAGATGCCCGATTGGTGGGAAGCTCGCATTGCATCTATATAAGGGGTAGAGGGGACTAAAATACTGCATTTGCCATCAAGCTGTGGTGGTAGCTCGACGTTCTTCAAGTATTCTTAGTAATAAGTAATAAGAGACTGATTTGATAGTGTTTTATCCCCCGCAAACATGGGGACCTATAGTATAAGTTTGATAAGTGTTATATTTTTTACATTTTTATGGACCCCAGCTCTTTCTAACGGTAAGTTCTTAGTAAATTTTCGATTTCACCTTTATAAAATGCAGGAAGTTACATTAATATCAGTTCAGCAGCTATAAAATATTACTTTGTCTGGAGATATATACGTATATATTACGTATTAGACAAATATAAACATGAAAAATTATTACACAGCAAATATTTAACATGCTACATATGTTTTTTTATTTATAACCAATAAATATTATAAATTATCTTTTTATTTAAAGTTTCATCAAAATCTATTCGTTGTTAATCCATTCTGTTTATTTTAGTATTTTTTTTGCAATTGGTTGGTATTTGAAACAACAAAATTAATATAACGTTATTAAAAACACACAACAACAACATGACAATAGTAAAAAGAAACAGGTATCGAAAAGCTTTTTAATAAGCTGTCAAATTATAATTATCTGTAATATAAGAATAAGTACATGAAATTTAATAAAAATAAAAATAGCCTTTATTAATGAGAATAAATATTTCTTAATATATAGACATTTTATATAGTTTAACTAATTCTTAAACATTTAAAAAATAAATAAATAGCCGTTACTTAAACATATACTTATATATATACCATACCATCACTTATCTCAGTTTGCCTCTTGGCAAAGGCCTCCTCTGACTCTCACCGTTGGATCCTGTTCTTGTGTGTTACTCTTCTCCAGTACGGATCCACTGTCATTTTAATAACATCTTCGGTGTTGTCTACCTCTATTTCTTTTTGAGTAGGATACCAATTTTTGAGCTCTCGACTCCATTTAAGAATAAGTACATATATATGTATATAAAAAAATAATGAACATACATACATACATGTGTACTTTATCTTTTTTGGAAGTTGATTAAATGTAACACCGTCCTCTGTTAAAATTAATTATTAATTATATACAGATGAATTACTGTAAATAATCATTATATATCCATGAAGGTTTATTATTTGTTGTAGAAAAACAGTAAAATATGAAAGTGCTAATAATATTTTTAAAAGTCCGGAGTAAGAAATTTTTATGACATAACTTATGATTATAATCTATACTAATTTTATAAAGAGGCAGAGTTTGTTTGTTTGAACGAGCAAATCTCAGGAACTACTAATACGATTTGAAAAATTCTTGTTGCATTAGATAGTCCGCTTATTGAGGAAGGCTATAGGCTATATATCATTTAATATATAGTCTATCTATTCCATACTAACCATAAAACCTACCTAGAGAAGAACGCGAGCGAAGCGAGGGTGAGTCGCTAGTTTCTTATATATTATAGAATTTAATTTAACTTTAAATTATTAATCTACAGTTTTTAATAACAAGCTAAAACTTCACGAGTAGCTTCATTTTCACGAGACGCTCGACTTTTCTTTCTACGAGAATTTCATAGTGGTATATACAATAATTTATGGATTGATGCGGAACATGTCGTCATTAATTCAATAAAGAGGGCACTTAATTGGGTGTTTATATTTTTTGTATATAATATGTACGTAGATATGTATTGATATATTTGCCAATTATGAAACGACTCTTTTATTTCTTATGGATCGAAAAAATACAAATAAATTTTCTTCACAATGACAAAATAATATCCAGAAAAATAATCTTAATGAATTAAATGACAAACAAATAAGTAAAAACTCTAACAACATCTTAATACTTAAACTAAATGCTTCGCTCCTAAAGGTCTTACAGTGATGTTATATCTAACAATATATAATATAATAATATGTTATGCCTAGAACCATGCTAAATAGATAAACTATAAAATGCAAAAGGATCATCAAAATCGATCTTGTAATTTCAGAGATTAGCACGTTCAAGCAGATAAAAAACAAACATTTGAGCTAATACGAGTATATCTATACTAAAATTATAAAGAGGAAAGCTTTTTTGTTTGTTTGTACCGTATAAGCTCCGAAACTACTGAACCGATTTAAATGAAATTTGGTAACAAGATAGTTTGAAACTCTGGAAAGGACATAGTAATTTTTTATCACGGAAATCATCCTTTAAGGGATTGAAAATGGGGATGAAATTTTGTATGGGGAAGCAACCTAGGGACGAACCCGAGCGAAGCGAGGGTTAATCGTCAGTATTTTAGAAAATTATAGACATTGAAATAATTTAATCACCAAATTGAATAGCTCTTAATTCTATTATAATCTGTTTAAGAAATAAATAAAAAATAATAATACTGTCAAACATAAAATATGCATAGATAAAATAAATTAGTTATATATTATAGTTATTTTATTGTTAATTAGCGCATAAAAGCGAAAATCCATTTTGAAAGCATTTATACCTACATACGTAAATGATAAGGTAATCTTAGGTTAGAGGTGAACCGTATCACTTATGTTTACTGTTAATTTATCACTTTGTAGTTTGTTACTAACAACCACATCCGTCAGTGGAAAGACTAAAAACTTCTTAATAATCGATCTAGTTATAAATCTATACGTATAATAAAATGGTAACTAAGTCGAATCTGTACATAAAATACTTTTTTGAAAATCTAATTGAAATAGACATTATTATCGATACAGAGTCCGAATCTATAGTTTTTAGAATTTTTGTCTGTCTGTCTGTCTGTCTGTTATCGCATCACGAGAAAACTACTGGACAGATTTTGATGAAATTTGGTATGGTGATAGCTGGTTATCCGGGTCAACATATAGGATACTTTTTACCTCGGGAAAATATTTCATTTCTGAGAAGAAATACAAAAACTGCAATGTAAGAGTATACTAATATGTAAAACCTAATATTTAGTTTTTGGGTCATCTGAACGCGGGCGGAGCCGCAGGCAATGCTAGTATTTTATATATTATGATAACACGTTATCAGGATAGCTGTTCGTGTATTAAAATTGATAAGGTTTTAGGAAAAGTAACCAAAACAAGTATTGTTTTTCTTCTAAACGTTTGTTGTTTAAAAATGAGGATGTTTATTTTATATGCTTATTTAAATAAATATATATTTTTAATTGCTTTGTTTTTAATCTAAATATCTTTTATTTATCTTTGTACTTTTATTTTACAAAAATAGTTAGAGTTCCGCTCAAAAAAATTAAAACGTACCTAACGGACGCTGGTCTCTAGTATTTTAAATAAAACTATTTTCACGGTTTTTTAACGGTTTTCGAATATGCGTTTCGAATGTTTTACAGTTAACATGGTTATGGGTTTCTCATGCCGCCAACAAATAAACAAAAAAAAATTAAAACTAGCGACTTAACCTCAATTCCCTCGGGTGCATCCCTAGGTATCTCGCATCTCAATGGCCAGTTATTTTCCAACTATAATTCAACGGCCAGTCATTTTCCAACTATAATTAAACTTATTATTATTTCTCAAAGCAAATACATTTTTATCAGAATATAAAATAGCCTATAGTAAAATAATTCTCAGAATCTGATCAGTAGGTTCAAATATTAAAACTTGTATCAAAACTTAAATTCGATTCTCATGTTAATGATTTTAATAGTGCCAGTAAAGCACAAATTACTTCGCTAATGTCACGTAGAAACATCAAAACTTACAAACTTACAAAACCTCTTTGTAATATTAGTGTAAAATTAAATAATCAAATATTCACGTAATTTTAAGAAAACAGATTTGTTTAGGCATATGTTTTCAAAAATATATCTTCGTTCATAAAAAAAATTAAACTTTTAAACATCACAATAACCTTGTCAAATATGAAGTTCAAGTACTCTAAATACAGATTAGAAAGAATACACTATTCGCCTTGGCAATGAATATTCGCGATGATAGCTTTTAGCCTTCACCAACTTCTGACCTCTTTATCAAGTGTTATTTTGTGCTATTATAACATCCTTTTGTATAAAGATATGGCATTATCGGAAACTGTATAGAGTCTGTAGTAAATTATAACAAAATATAATTTTGCTAAAATAAAAAAGTATGCAAATCTGTTGCTTTGATAGAAAGTAGAACTATTATCTTCGAGCACTAGTGTTTTAAATCATCTAGATTCTGGACTATTCTTAGTACCTTATTTTCATTGTTACTACAGTAAATCTGTATGGTAAATATAAAAACTAAATGATAGCCACATTAGTCATACGATGAGCTTGAAAGCTCAGCTACTTGTGGAGAATATGCCTAGCCAATTTTATTTTGGAACAAGTAACTCACCCTCGCTCCGCTCGGGTTAACGCACGTTTTAACGTTTGGTATAATTTTCTCAGAAATGATACTTTCCCGCAGTAAAAAATATTGTATATGTTAACCCGGGTAACCAGCTATTATCATACCAAATTTCATCAAAATCTGGCCAGTGGTTTTTCTCGTGATGCGTTCCCAGATAGACAGACAAACAGATACAAATTCTGAAAACTTTAAACTCGGCCTCTGTATTGATAATAATGACTACTTCAATAACATTTTCCCAAAAAAATGTAACGTACAGATTCGACTCAGAATTTTACTCTACGAGTATGTATGTGTGTATATATATATATATACATATATATATATATATATATATATATAGGTATATTTTGTATTTCTAAAAAGATCTACCTACCTGTAGCTCCATTTTTTGGCAAGTTTTAATACTAAGAAAGGCCTATCTGCTACTCCAGGTCCTACCTATCTGTATACTAAATTTCATCTAAACCAGTCCAACCGGTTCAGGATGAAGGAATAACAAACATACATACAAATAAACAAACTTTCTAATATTTCTGTGGTAACAAAAAAGCACTTAGCAAACAATACTTGAATAAAAAATTCCCACGTTTAATAAAGTGAATACGAGAACGGATGGCGTGTGTAAGCTAATTCATAGCCTCCAATCTACTAAACTACTACATCCGTATATCAGATAGAATGTAAATAATAAATATATTAAAATAATCTACAATATATTAATATAGCAGCGGTAACCCAGTGGAAACGCGTTCTCTTAGAACAAATCAAGTATAGCAGGTTCAAATCTAACGGAGCATAACATCTGGGATTTTCATGTGCGAATTATTTTCAACATGATTACCACTTATTTTACCGTGAACGAAAATATCTTGAGGAAACGACGAGGTCTGAGAGAACCTAACAAGTTTTCGAGAGACAACGTGGTGAATTATGACTTAATCGCAATGAGTGTCCAGAAGGGGATGTTTAAAAGATAGATAAACAACTACATATAAAGTCGTTGTCTTATTAAATTCATCATCGACCAGGCCATATTGCTGAACCTATCAGGCAAAAGGAACTTCGGTATTCCACCTCTGGTGAGAACAGGGGAAGCAAACTTTACAAATGAAATAATGTGTTTTTATTTTATTAATGAGAACACCTAAGATAAATAGTCCAGTTATAGCTTAGAAAAAATACATAAATTGGCTTTATCTTTGACAACTTAAATATTGCTAAAGTTAAACCAATTTAAATATCTTAATTTAGTACACAAAAAAAGAAAGATCATGATATTAAAATATGAATTGCTTAAAACGAAAATTGAGTTAATAACATAATATAGCAAGGGGAGAGTAAATGATAATAAACATTTGATGACCACGTTGGGTCAACTGTAAGACTTACATATTTCATCTTGTATAGGCATTTTGCTTTTGAATATGGTTATTAATTTTATACTTATACTGGACTAAATCCTCTATGTCTTATCATGTTTCTGGACCGATTTAGAAACGAGCAATACTTGATTTTCGATTTTTGTGTATGTTGCGCGATATTTTCACCAATTACGAACCGATTTTCATAATCTCTTCTTCTTCTCCCTGCCCATTTCCCAAATCACTTGGGGTCGGCGCAGTACATCTTCAGTGTACTGCTGATAGGATTTGGAAAAGTTTTACGACCGGCCGCCTGCCTGACGTCAACCCTCCTTGGGAATGCTATTGTCTTTCATTGTCTTGAATGGTGTTAAATATTATGCACTTTCGATTTTGTTGTGTTTTAAAACATTTTTTGTACTATTAATTCAATTATTAATGTTATTTTTGGATATATTTTAAAATAAATTTCGATTACACAATAAATTTTGTATTGACATGACGATTTTCATAATACTATGTTTTAAAAGGTTATATCTAAAGAGTAGAAGTGTATTAATTTCGAAGAATTAAGTCTCTATTTAATTGAGATGTAGAAACGGATACGTGGACAGTGGACACACCGATCGTATATTGAATTACCACATTATAACTATCAACACACACACCACATTAAAAATAATGGGTGCTGAAACCATTACACCATAACATGAGTTCGTTAAAACACTGGTAAATACTATATTCGTGATAGACATTTGTTTTTCATTGAAATCGTCTTCCTGCATAAATTTTAAAATTATTTTGAGTGTGCCTAATGCCTATTTAGTAGAAATAAATGTAGTTTTTTGATACAGTTTCACATTAGTATAATTTATATAATATTTATTAAATTATTCAACATACAAAGCATCTAGAAGTAACCACAGCGTCCAAGCCCCAAATAAAGCTATAAAGACAATCGGGACCCCAGCGATTTGAATAAATTGGGTAATTGACTTCAAGTACTGGCTGATCACGAGACTGACTGATGAGACAGCACTGATAGATCAAAACAACTTTCTTTTTAGCTTTTATGTTTCAATTGATGTAAAATATCCATTATAATATTAGATACACTGTTCGTGTTTTCAAAAAAAATGTGTTTTACGTTATTTAAAATATACAATTTTTTTTCGGATTACGTTTTCATTCAAAAAATAGGAAAATGGGTTCACAACGGAGAAAAATATGGCATATAAAAACATTAATCTCGTAATTTTTAAAGCTGATTCAAAATATAAGGCTATTAGTGAAGAAACTAATCAAAATTTAGTTCGTATATATATGTATTTATATTCCTATAACTGCGTCAATAGTATAAGATTTCATACATAAGAAAAGAATTCTTGCGTCTATCTGAATGTTAAACTGAAGTATTTTATACATTCTACTCTCAATATTATCTTCAGTTGAATAGCATTAAACTATCAAGTTCCGTCAGACGTTATCCTCAAGTTGTTCGTGATATTTGATGTCACAACAACAATTTCACAAAAATTCTATAGAAAAGAGCACTTTCAGTTTCTCCCGATTCATCTTATTTTCCGAGCATAATTTCCAAGCTTTTCCCTAAAAAACTTATTCAAACTATAAGAAACATTTTTATTTAGATATGATATCGCACACCAAGGTAAAGAGTAGCACAAGTCCAAATAATCCAAATTCGAATTATTATTATTATAGGAATCTGCGTTAAAAACTATAAAAATACTATGATTTTGTCATGATTACTAATTTAACTATTTTTGGTATTGTTGGTGTTTCATATATGCCTAGTTGCTTAGTTGGTATTCCAAATAAATATCTTCAAGTTTTTGATATTGAGTTGTTTACAAGTGATTATCACTATTTGACGACAAGCCATTAATCAAAAAAATATCTTCGTAAAATTATATAAAAGAACATATAAGATTATTTTTAATACCTATATCAAATAGAAAAAGAGTATAAGATTTTTTCTATTCTTAAAAAAGATATATTTTGAGTTGTGCTAGTTTTTATCTAGGTGTGCGATATATACTAACCCTTTTGCACGTCATCAAATATAAACTAATACAATATAGAGATAAGTGAGTGAATCACTTGTTTATGACCTGATCTAATTGACCCAGGATCTAAAACTAATACTAAGTTTCCTATCTATCGTACCTTGAACTTTGCGTTAAGCTTGTTTACTAACAGATAATTAATAATTAGAATAATTAGTTTATTCTAGTCCATATGGAAGTTTACAGTTAAAATTTATTTACATATTTGGTGTTTATGTTAAAGTAGTTATTTGATGAATGATATTAGACAAACAAACTAATAATACTTTTAATGATATATTATAACCGAAAATAAGTACTGACTGTGATAAATTCATCACATATTATTGTGTATGTATGTATTCAGCTCTTTTTAACGTCCCACTGCTGGGCACGGGCCTACCTTCAATACGAGGGGTTCAGGCCATAGTTCACCATGCTGGCTTAGTGCGGATTGGCAGAATTCACATGTCTTTCGAAAACTTGCTATGTTCTCTCAGACATGCAGGTTTCCTCACGATGTTTTCCTTCACCTTAAGACAAGTGGGAATCATGCTAGAAATTAATCGCACATGAAAATATCAGAGGTGCGAGACCCGGGATTTGAACCCGCTTCCCTCGGTTTCCCAAGTGAGTGCGTTACCACTGGGCTACCACTGCCTGTAGACACACATTATTACTGGAAGAAAAACATCTTGTGGGTCCATGTGTTGTCTATATTACCTCCATGTATTATAATATCATTACGTTATGTTTATAAAATTATCGATCTCATTAAAATTTCATAATAATTGATGTAATTATTCATAATTAATTATATTACTTTGTTTGTTTCAGATAAATGCGACTTATCCTGCCAAGGGTGTAAGTGACAAACAAAAATTGCTTTTATTATAATTAACTTGTGTTTATTTTACAATATTAAAATCATAATAGATAATAATTATCGAATATTAATTTTATTTCATTTTAAAATATTTTTTATCAAACTATTTTAGGAATCTGTGTAATATAAGTAAATGAGTCGTTATTTTTTTTCCAGCGTCATCAGCGCCAACTTTTCTCGCGGGACATTTATATAACTATGTTGTAGAAGGCACTGTTTCGATTTATCTGAATGGAGCAGATAAAGAGGAGACAAAAGTACAGATCTTCGGTCAGGTATCGGTTTCCGCACATGGCAACTGTGCTCTGTCTCTGAAGGTCAACTCTTTGGGCATCGCTGGTCCTGATGGCAAGGTAAATATTGAAAGTTATTTCAGCTTAATTTAAAGTAATTTGATAAATTTCAAATTTTATTATAAGCTAGCGACTTACCCTCGCTCCGGGTTCATCCCTAGTTACGTTTTAACGTTTAGTATAGATTTCTCAGAGATAAGATATTTTCCTGCAGTAAAAAGTATCCTATATATTGTGCCGGATAACCGACTATAATCATACCTACAAAATTTCATAAAAATCTGTCTAGTGATTTTCTCGTAATGCGACAGATAGACAAAAAATCTAAAAATTATAGATTCAGTCTAAGATTTTCCAAAAAAATATTGAATGTGCAGATTTGAATCAGAATTTTATTATACGTATAGAGCAATATTTATCTATTAGAAAGAAAAAATATTTATCTATGAGAATTTTTCTTTTTAAGGTAATTTCCAAATAAGCTATCCTAACATTTAATAAAATAAAATTAACAATAACCAATGTTTTCGTAGAAATATCCTGCACCAAAGGGTATCGAGAAGATTGTAAGATTCAGTCTTCAAGATGGCCGAATTGGACCTGAAATTTGCACTGAGGCAGATGACACACGCGCATCTCTCAACATCAAGAGGGCTATCATTTCTCTACTGCAAACAGAACAGAAGCCGTCAACACAGGTAAAATAGTTTAAAAAAAAGTCAAGTGCAAATATATCATATTAACAGTGCAAACGGACTAAGAAGTCTATTCGTATCGTATAATGAATCGTACCACCAATAATATATCAAAAAAATTGTCAACTCTTACATATTCAGTCAGTTGTATTCTTTATCTAACATGGTCCTTGTGGCACTTAGTCCCGCTTGACCTCAATTGCTTTAAATCAGTACCTAAATATTTTATATTTCTCAGATTGATGTCTTCGGTGCCTGTCCCACGGAAGTATCTTCATCTCAGGAAGGTTCCTCAATGCTGGTCCATAGAAGCCGAGACCTGAGCAGATGTGCCCACCGAGAACAAACTCAGAATGAACTTATTACCGCTGTCTACAACACTAATGCTGTAAGTATATATTTGTTACTTGTTTTGGACCGCGGCTCCGCTCGCGTGATCGGTACGACGGTAAATAGCTTATGTGTATGTTTGTATGTTATCCAAGATTTAAACTATTGCTATCCAGTATTTAGAATACTACTCAAATTTGGATAAGTAGTAAAACACTAAGAAATAACTCAACGATTCACAGAAATTAACAAACTTTCACATTTTGAATGAGTGTGATAATACTTATTTTACTACATGAAGACTGGATAAAGAAAAACACAAAAATTAAAAAAAAAATCTTCATTAAAACAAAGTATAATTGCAGACTACAATTATTGTGTATGTAAAACAAAAAATATAATATAAATTTATAATTGGTAAAAATAAAAACAATATTCTTTCTTTCTAGGAAATTAAAGATACTCAGCTCCTTAGATCCACAATGAATATAGAATCGAAGGTGAACAATGGAGTACCAGAAAAGATATCCGCTGTCGAGCAGTACTTGTACAGACCCTTCTCTGTCGGAGAGAACGGTGCGAGAGCTGAAGTCAATACGAAACTAACTTTAAGCGGAACTAGCACTGGAGGTGCTGCAGGTACTAGCAAGTCTTTACTATTATACTACAGATATGTAATTCTTAGCCGAGTTCGGGTAAAGCATACGTTTAAAGCAAATTTACCGTGATACAAATATATTTTTACGTAAGGCATTTAGACGAATTGTGCTTATAATCATTGGTACCTTCTAATTTTGAAAAAGAAATAATTAAAAAAAATAATTATAAGGAATATACGATGAATTTAATAAAATACTATTAATAATACTAATTTAACTTTTAAATTTCTTAGGCATCTGCCCCGTTAGCCGCACGATCATCTTTGAAAATCCTCACCAAGGAGAAGAAAGTCACAGCAACTATCAAAATATATTCAACGCAGTCAAGGAAACCTGCAAGGCCCTCGGTAAAGAAGCTAGTTCTAAATCAGCTGGATCGTTTGCTCAACTTGTCAGGGTAAGAAATATACCACATTCAAGATGATGATTTAATAGTGATTCCAAAATATTGTACATCGATCTTAATTCGAATATTATTCTTAATCCTATTTTCTAAATTTTTTCAGATTTTACGTTCCGGCAACAAAGCTGACTTACTAAAAGTTTTCGGGCAAATAAAGGGCAACAATTTGGAGAAGTAAATACTTTCTTTTTTGTAAATTTCATTCTTTAATCGCAAAGTTTCACTATTTAAACAATCATTATTATTATTATTTTTAGTGTAGATTTTCAAGAATTTAAAACCCTTAAGTAAATTAAATGATGAAACAAATAATATATGGCCTATACAAATTATTTTCTTATAGGTATCGGGACCTATGACTTCAAACTTACAAAACAGTATCATTTACACATTATATTATTTATTGCTAAGGTGTCATTATATTATATAAATTACCTTTTATGTATGTATTAGTTGCTTACAAAATTACTTTTATTAAGGCGAGTATTCCTCGACGGTCTCTTGCGAGCTGGAACTGGCTACAGCATTGAAGCTTCCATTCAAATATTGAAGAGCAAAGAGTTGTCACCTCTAGAAGAGAAAATCGTATTTTTGTCACTGAGTAACGCCAAACATGTAACCGGTGATGCAATTAAAGCTGCTGCTGTAAGTAATATAAACAACAAATATGTATTTATAAAAGTAAAATATTAAAAATGGATACCATCATAAAATTAATAGCTACAATTAAATAAACTAAACTACAATTTTTGACTCATAAACTAATCTGCTATAAAATAAAAATAATATAAGCTTGAAAAGTTTTTAAACAACAATTTATTTTCAGGGTCTTCTCGACCTTCCAAACTTGCCAAAAGGTGTGTACTTGGGAGTAGGAGCCCTAGCTGGCATCTACTGCCGTGACCATAACTGCCACGTTGAAAAGAATGAAGGCATTATTGCCTTGAGCAAGAAGTTAGGCGCTAAGTTGCAGAATTGCAAGCCCAAGACTAAGATCGAGGAAGATGCTGTTAGTATCTGACAATAATTTTATTGATGTATTAATTCATGATTTTATACTTTTTTTGCATTACATTATTTTAACCGAAAGCTGCTCTTAATCCATATACAGATAAAACATTGGTGAATTTTACAATTTAATTTCTGTAATATTTCTCATTTAAATTAATCTTATTTCGATATTTTGTTAAACCTGATCTGCATCAAATATCTTTCTTTCCAAGGTGGTAGCAGTCCTAAAAGGAATCCGTAATATCAGGCACTTGGAAGACAGTCTGATCGACCGCTTGGTGCGCTGTGCCAGTGACAATGCCGTCAAGGCGAGAGTCAGGGTCAACGCCCTGGAAGCATTCCAAGGAGATGCTTGCGCAGCCAAGGTAAGGCTTTATTTTGTCGTTTTGGAGAAAGGAGATTTCTATTTGTTAAGTAAATAGCTATACGGTTTAAATAACTTTCTTTTTGTTCCGTGCTAGATAAGCAACTTAGATCTCTTGTAGCTCCTCACTCAAAAATGTATACTGTTATAAAATATAGAGCTAAGGATTTATATAATTATTTGCTTTCAATCACAGCTAAAGAAGACCGCTATTGAAATCATGAAGAACCGTCAGCTAGACTCTGAAATCCGTATCAAGGCTTACCTCGCTGTCATCACGTGCCCTTGCGGAAAGTCTGCCAATGAAATTAAGAATTTGCTCGAATCTGAACCAGTTCATCAAGGTATGAAACCAGTTCGTAAAAATCACAATTAATTTATTTTTATACGAATTTTTGCAGAGAATAAAGTTCAAGTAATACATTACACTAGATACTTTACGCTTAGTTAATATTTGCAGTGGGTCGTTTCATCTCGACATCTCTCCGTGCCATCCGTGCATCTGCCAACCCTGATAAAAAACTTGCACGCCAACACTACGGCCTTATTGGTATCCCCACTAAGTTCAAAGTTGACGACAGGTATGTTATAATTATTTATTGTCTTTTTCTATAAATACGAATATTACAGCTAAATCTGATTAAAAATAAGTTGAACCATCTTTCAATATATCCATATTACTGACACTATACATTCAATCGATCCTGTGTTAAGTCTATGTGGTATAAATTAACCTAACGTAGGTACTTTGCTTTTACACAACATGCACATAATATATTTGTATTTATAGTAAATATATTAAAATAAGGTAATAACTATCTAACGGAAATTATATTACAGGAAATTCTCGTTCTATCGCGAGATGAGCTACAACGTAGACGCTCTCGGCGTCGGTGGCAATGTTGAGTCTTCAGTTATTTATTCTCAAGATTCCTTCTTACCAAGATCTGTGAACATGAACGTAACTGCTGAAGTTTTTGGACACAATGTTAACATTCTTGAGGTAGGTACTAAATTTAAAATATCATACAAGATTCGTGTGTGCTCTTTTAAAAAAATATGTTACAAAAAAAAGACTTATTTTCTCAGGACTGAGGATTATTTTTCCAAATGTATGTTTGAAATACTAATATGGAATAAACAATTTGAATCTTAATATTATTAAAAACATCTTAATGTTAACTTTAGGTTGGAGGTCGTCAAGGCAACTTAGACCGTGTGCTAGAACATTTCCTCGGACCAAAAAGCTTTTTACGTACACAGAAGCCCCAAGAAATATACGATAACATTCGTCAAAAGTTTGATGAATCATATAACAAGGTAGAGAAAAGTGTACGTGGACGTCGTTCAATCAAGAGCGAAGTTGATAATTTCGACAAACAAGTTAGTACATTAAAATAATGATATCTAGGTATAACTATTACATCACAATCTAAACAGTGTCTAGTATTAATATTATGGATAAAAAATGTTTACAAAATTTTTATCTTTATAAAAATATGTTGATGTTTGCGTTTAGACTTATTTACTTTTTTAGATAAAAGCAGAATCTCTACAATACAACCATGAATTAGACCTTGATGTGTACATTAAACTTTTCGGAACTGATGCAGTTTTCCTTTCCCTTGGAGATAACAAAGGCTACGATTTTAACAGCTTCCTGGACGAGTCCCTGAAGACCTTAAACGAGGGCATGGATAAAATGAAAAACTTCCAGGTAATATTATTTTAATTTAATCAAAAGGCAAAATTAATAACAAATGTAAATGAACTAAAATTCGAGCTAAATTCTTATACTATTTTTTTTTCTTATAAACAGCAAGAGCTTCGCGGACACGTTCTATTCTTGGACGCCGAGCTGGCCTATCCCACCTCGACTGGTCTTCCTCTTAAACTTGACGCTGTTGGATCTGCTACTGGTCGCTTTGAAGTATCCTCTAATGTAGACATCCGCCAAATTCTTCGAACCCCTGAAGCTTCCAAAATTGATTTCAAATTGGTTCCAAGTACAGATATTGAAGTATCTCTCGTGATGATGGTAGACGCCGAGTTTCTTTCAACTGGTCTCAAAGTAGTGACTAACCTTCACTCTTCTACTGGCGGACACGTCGTATTTAAGATTATTGAAAATGGCAAAGGATTTGATCTTCAATTGGGTCTTCCCATCGAGAAACAGGAAATTTTGACCGCTTCCAATGAGCTTGTATTCTTTAGCGCTGAAAGGGGACAGATAGAGAAGTTAACTCCAATTAAATCTGAGAAGAATGAATATTCTGGCTGCTTTGATCAACTCTCGGGAATGTTAGGTGTTACTTTCTGCGGAAAAGTAATATTACCCTTGTCATTATCTGGTAATTATATTAATATTTATATTGTAGTTATTATTATCTTACTAAATTTATAGACCTTGTATCAGTTACAAAAACATGTAAAAAGTTTTATCTTTTATTATATTCATAACAAATTTATTTCATCTATTCCAATATTAAATAATTGCAGGTCAAAAATCAGACAACGCAATTTCAGCGTACTTGACCCGCTTCCCACTCGTAGGATCCTCCAAGGTCAATGTGGTTTTAGAAAGGAATGACATCCATGGGTACCACATCAAGGGTGTTTTCCATCGCGAGGAATCTCCCAACCGTCGTTATGGAATGGAGCTATTATTTGACGCTGAAGGTATACACTTCAAAAATTTAATTGAAACTATTTGGAGTAACATTATTTCCTTAATACAATATTGATTAATTTTTAAATAATTTAAGGACTCATCTCATAATCGACACAATTTTTTTAGGAAAACAGAACCGCCGCACCCAATTTATTGGCGAAATCATAGACAATGATCAAGAAAAAACTATTAAGGCCAGTCTAGACTCTCCAATTAAAAAATTAAATGGTCAATTCTCACTTTTCACTAAACCTAGTGAATATGCCTTGATGATGAAAGCTCAGGTGGATGAAGCCATCTACTATGGACGTGCTGGAGTCAACATCGCTGGAAACGAGAGGCGTTCAGTTTATAAACCAGTTTTGGAATATCAGCTTCCTGGGGAAAATGGAAAGAAGACTATCAGTGTTGACGGTCAAATCACTAGAGAGAATACCGGTGACAATGTTAAATATACCCTTGATGGTGTCAAGGTAATTAAATAATAATTTACTTATTTCTATTTCATTCTAATATGCACATTTTTTTCGAGAATAATATTAATTACATGAGATTTGATTTTTTTCAGTTCAATATTCCCAACTCTAACGAACCAGTCAATATTGAGGGTCACTTTAACAGCGGACAAAGGATGATCGAAACAGACTTAAAGTTAAAGAAGGGTCAACAAAATATGCTATTCAGTGGTTCGATAAAAGGCAATGACTGCAAGCTCGAATTCATGAATACTCTGAACCCATACATTAACTTCAAATTAAGCGGTCACATTGAGAATACCCGTGAAGTAAGTACTAATACGATCTACAAACGTTAATAAATAGTGAATACCGAAGAGGAATTCATACTATTCGTATAACTTGGGAAGATACAGCTTAATGTAAAACTCGACAAGTACAACGTTGAAAAATTACTTACCTAAATTACTATAAAATGCAATAGTAAAATCTTCGTTCATTCCAAGGTGTTCCTTGGCGTAATAGTGAATTCTAAAAATATTTTTTTTTATAATATTAATAATAACTAATTAGAAAATGATCAAAAACTACTTTACTCAAAATGTCTCGTAATAATTTATTAATAATGTACATATATGTACATATATACAAATATTAATGTATGTAATATTGATAACAGAACCTACACAACGACATCGATCTATACTACGGTGGAGATTGTCGTAACCCACAAAACCGCGTCACCATCAACCAACTCTATAAACGACACTACGTTACTGTCGACGATTATAACATTATCACCAAGAACAAGAGTAAGTTTTTCTTTAATATAATTTATAAGTAATTTCTCACTTTGTTTAACATATCCAGTATTTTGGAACATACCTACATCCTTTTATATCAATTTTTATATATTTTAGTTGAAATCCATGCATTACCAATCAAAGCGCAGTTCAACCTTGAATCTGATCCCAAGAAATTCGATTTGGATGTTGGAGGTGTCTATCTTACCAGAAAAGGTAACTTGAACATCGATGCTCGTACGCACTTGAAGAAAGCTGGTGACTACCGTGTTAAAACTGTGATAAGCGTAGACCAACAGTCAGTAGAAGCATTAGTTAAGAGAGACATTGTTTCCCCTGACAAATCTAACGTAGAAAACTACATCGATTTCAAGAAAATTGGCAAATATGAATTATCTGGTGTGGTACTTCACAAACTAAAGGAACATGACATGAACGTTGGAGCTGTTGGTCACTTGAAAATTTCAGGAAGTGGGAAAGACGAAGAGGTCAAGTAAGTTGCTGCATATTTTCTATGAATATGAATATTTTACTGATAAATCAACAGTAAAACTTTAAAATTCATTGCTTACTAAATGCTTACGATACTATTTTTTTATATTGTGTGATTTACACAGATTTTTCTTTTAATTCACTAAAAAAATTTAATTAACAAATAAATATAATGCGACTATATTGAGTATCTTACTTCAAATGGGATAGATAACACTAGTTTACATGGTTTTTGTCCTCGAAATGAAATGTATTTTTTCTTAACAATTAAGGTACACTAAGTTAAAAAACATTAATTGAATAATCCAACACGTCAAATTTCCAAGATATTTATTTATTTTAATTTACAAAAAAATACATACAAAAATATTTAAAAAATTAAAAATGAGTTGCCTTAGCTTTTTTCTTGTATTTATTTGCATCTATATCTATTATAATAGACCAGCAATAGTCACTTAACCTAGCCTGGTCCCAGTATCCTTGATAATTTTGCTAAAAAAAATAAAGTCCTAGTGAAAACCCTCTCCATATTCATCGCTGACGTGTCTTTCATAGAAGAAATCGAGGTGCGAGTGAAGGAAGTAAACTTTCAGAGACATGTGGACACCCATTTGTTGAAAATTATTTAATAAATCGGCAATTAACTGTCGGTAATTTTCATTATTTTGTTGCCTTAGAACTCTTATCATAACAATTAATACGTACATCACAACAATACATACAACGTAATGAATTCCAAGCAGAAATTTCAGTTTCTGAAAGGCTATTTTGATTTTCTAATATATCCTTAAGTATTTTTTTTGATTTGCGGTCAGATAATAACATGTTTTAGTTTCGTCTCAGAAAGATTAGGAAGTTCTTTATCTACAAGAAATAATTCACCTGAACTTTGAGTTTTAATTTCTTCGCATTCCGTGTTATAAATTTTTTGCTGGTACAACCTGGAGATTCAGGAACTTGCTACTTGTCTGCACTGTAGATAGGTTTAGTAACCGAAGGAACATTTTCATATATAATTTTATCTTTGTTTTTGTGATTAAAACCAAATATGTTAGTAAGACAGAAGTAACAATCATTTTCGTGATAGGATGGTTCCCTCCATATCATTGGCATATCAAAATTCAGGGATCTGTTTCCACCTGCAGCCCAGGAGCTTAGTGTTCTTCTACATACTTTCACAAAATACGTGAAGAGCCCACTTTTTGTCTTGGTGAGAGGCCGATATTATAAAATAAGAAAAATATGCTTCTTTGAGTGATTCCGTTATGGGATATTCCTATTTAGATATAATGAGTTCACCACAAACGTAACAAAAACGGTCAGGATTTACTTTACACAACCTTTTTGACATTTTAAAAACAAATATGCATTAAATTTAACACTACACTGCATCAACATTTTGCAATGAATTTAAAACCAACTTGTGGGTAGCTAGAAAATAAAATTTGATGATAACTTTAGTTTTTGACGTGATACATTTAAAAACATTTGTGTTAGCGTTTAATTATTGTAAATGAATAAAATAATATAGAATTCACTGAAAGGACATAACTTTTTTGTTTATTTTGTAAACTAGTGTAATTCATTAAAATTAATTGATTATATATATACTCGTATATATATAACCATATAATTGTTTTTACCAGATTTGACGTTGGAGTCATTGAGACCGCCAACCAGTATTCCTCCCACGCCACCATCTCTAGCTCGAAGGGAGAACTCCTTAATTATCTCCTGAAGATTAACAATGGCAACAATCCTAATGGTCAATTAAAGTTTAACTTGAAAGATGCTATTGCTGCAAATGGACAGTACCAAGTTACTGATAGTGATGGGAAAGGAAATGGCAACATCATGGTTCACTTTAAGAAGGTAAAAATATTTTTTTATAATTTATTAAAGACCAGAATAACATTATAATATTTAATCTATATATAAATAGACAAAGATAAAACAGTGCAGTGCCTTTCTCTCCACTGTTTATCAATCGATTTTCTTTCTCTTTTTTATTTAGTAGCCGTTGAAGAGCTCTAATGTTATTAGTAAAAAAAATATATGGAAACAGTTAATTTTTATATACATAAATACTAGATAGGTAAATTCTATTCATATATGTTTTCATCATATTTTCAATAATAATTATATTTGAATTTTGACCACTACGCGGACATTAGTTGTAAATAAGCCAATCCTTTTTTCGTGCAACAGGTGGAACGTATAATCAAAGCAGATGTGAAATTCGTGGCAAAGGAACCAGTGTTCAACGCTGAAGTCGACCTTTACTTGAACTTCGAGAAAGACAACAACGACAAAGTGCATCTCAGCACAAACAACAAGAAAACTGATAAACTACTTAACAGCAAGTTAGTATTGTTTTTCTTGATTACATGTATTCTATCATAATTTATTTATTTTTGTTAATTTTTGTGCCACATATCTATCTTGGATAAAAATAGTAGTTTAACAATACATATATATCTCAGCCCGTTCTTTAATTTCCGTATTTGCCCTATACAAAACAGTACACAGTGAGAGAAAAACAAAATACGCATCTGAAATGAATGTTAAGTATTAAAACATATTTTTATAATAATTAACAGGAACAAGATTCAATATGCAGGAAAATCTTCTGAAATTAACATTCACAAGGATGGACTCTTCACTGGACTGGGCAAGGATGGCGTCGAACTTGAAGTTGTTCTTCCTGATGAGAGATGCCTGAATCTTAAGGTTGACAGAGACGTCAATCTTAACGACAACGTAAGTTTCAATTTTTTCATATTTTATATCTGTGCTTACACACAGACAAACGAACAATTTAAAAAAGCTCCTGTTTATTCCATTACCCATTTTTAAATTCAAACATTCTATACAGGTATACAACGGTCACGCCGAATTACTATTCTCCGATGCCGAAAAGCGCGGAGGACCTGCTTCTATTATCAGCTACAAAGGAAAATTAGCTAAAGCTAACATAGATAAAGAGGAAATTGACTACGAAGGCCAAGTTGAACTGAAACTGAAGGATGGCAAGAACCTTCTTAACACTTTCTCATTCAAGAATATACCAAAAGGAGACAGTAGCGATATGGCTTTCAAGGTTAGTAGATTTTTAGTACTATATGAATATATTTTTATCCTTACTCATTTCTGTTCAAGGATTGGCTTGCTCAAGAGTTAGGTTTTCCACTAATATGCATCGTCAGTAGATCTAATTTTCCCTAGGTCTTTGAATATCTTCTATGAGGAATCAATAGTTTTTATTACATATTTTATATGTTACCTTAAACATATGTATATTATTTACTATATAGCTTATATACTTTTTGAATTCTGACTGATAGTTTCATAGACTGGCATATTCAAATAAACAAAAAAGAAAAACAACCTTATGAAATTTATGGTACTATATAATAGCACCGGCATTAATTAATGTTATTTTTACCATTCAGTCTGAAGTCACTGGCAACATGTTACCCAAGAAGGCAATTATCGACGCAAGCGCAAGTTACACACAGCAAGACCGCGTCAAAGAGAACTACCGCGTCAAGGCGAGCTACGGAGACGATTTGGCAGCAGAGCTGGTCGGTGCTTTCGAAGCTATCATACCTGATAAAGGAGAAAAGAAGTAAGTATTTTATCCATACTAATATTATAAATGTGAAAGTTTGTGAGGATGGATGGATGTTTGTTCCTCTTTGACGCCAGAACGGATGAACGGATCTGGATGAAATTTGACACAGAGATTTACTTTTTGATTGATTGATTGATAGTATGGAATAGCTACGTGCCTTTAATACAATATTCAGTACTAGAAAAACTCAGGTTAATAATATTAAATAGTAAAATAAGTATATGAGAAATAATAATTTAAGTAAAAGAATTATGTTATTTTTTTTAGATACATGAACGACTACACCATGTCAATTCGCCTGCCTTTCGAAAAAGCTCATGACATTAAATTGGTGTCCACTTTCATGTTTTTACAACCAGAAAACAAAGCCGCTGAGGTAAGAATATTTTAAATATAATGCGATAATTAACGTTTTATCCTTCATTTTGGCAATAAATATTACCATATTTGTAATAAAAAACTTAAAAAAAGAGAACCCACCATTTTCGTCTATCAAATCGCCCTAAAATTTGTTTCTTTTTATAATGAGATAGTAATATAACCAATGTAAAGTTACTTTTTAAGATTGAATTTCATTTATTACATAAAAAACCAAACAATAAAAAGTGTCATATAGTTTTATAAAGTCATATGACCTAAATTAACTAAAAAAACCTCTAGATATAATGTAGTAATAAAAGTATTCATCAAACCTAACCATAATTGCTATTTTTCTTATTTAGGTAACAATCATAGAGTCAGTGCAAGTGAATGCCGATCTCTATAAACTGGAGTCAAACGGCAAGTACCATGAGACCAGCGGTAATAACAAAGTGAAGGTGATCGTCCCACACGTGGAACCCATCATAGTCGATGTCAACTACAAATTTGATCAAAATAGTAAGTTAAAAATCAATTTGTTTAAAAGTATCAGTCTAATATATTTTTTTATTATTCCGAGACATAATAGAGGTCAAGTATTTATCTAGCTTTTAAATCATTTTACATTCTTCCATATGAAGCGGAGGTAAATAAAATTCTATATAGAATAAAGTGTAGCTGTAAATTGAAATACATAGAAGTGAAGTAAGTAGGACAAACCTCACAGGATTTCTTCTCAATATCAACAAATTTTAACTAAGATAAATAAAATGTTAATCGAAATGATTCTCATTTTAACAGAAGACAAAACCTCGGGCGATGTGAACCTCAAGGCTCAATACGGAAAAGGCAAATCCACTTCTCTCTCCCTTCAAGGAACGTCCTCCGCAAACGACATCGAGCTGAAGATCGTATCTAATTCTCCCCAATACGAAAAACTCAAGAAATTCGTATTAAGCCTACACGCAAAGGTAAACTTAGACTTAAGTTTCTTATTAAATGTGAAGAAGCTATAAATTTCAAACTTTTGGCTTACTTCCATCAATATTTACTTAAAATGTACTTTAAGCAAATGATACACTGTACTAAATGTTTAAAGGGAATATTTAATTCCCGATCAAAATGATAAAACATTATTTTAAACAATAAAAGCAACGTACGCTAACATAACATGTATGTATGTACCCAACAGAACCCATCTCCAGACACCTATAATGCTCTCATTATGGTGGACGCGGACGGCCGCGTGTACCAAGTAGAGGGTCTCACGATCTACTCGAGCTCGCAGCCGGTGTTTGACCTCAAGTACTCTAGTCCTTCTTCGCCTAAGACCAGGTAATGACAAACCACATAATTTACCAATGATATTTTAAATAATATGTCCAGTTAGAAGATGATAAAATGTGTCTCAGGTGCCTAGAAACCTATTACTATTATATATTAATACAGGGTATAGCTCCACAGATACATACTTTCGCATTAATAATAATAATCCGATTTAACTAATGCAATATTCTTCTCAATAAAAAGAATTAGAGATAGAAGAATGATTAAATAATAATACACGTTACATACAATTCTACTGATAATCTATACTAATATTATTAAGCGAAAGTTCGTGAGGATGTATAGATGTTTGGATGTATAGATGTATGGATGTTTGTTACTCTTTCACGCAAAAAAATACCGAATGGATTTTAATTAAACTTCACAATAATATAGCTCATATATGAGAATAACACATAGACTACTTTTTACCTCAGAAAAATGTACGTGTAGTTTCCCGTGGGATAGATTTGTTTTTGTTTTTCTACAAACGAACATACAATTATAGATTTTTTTAATTAATGTCTACCTTTTCTGTTTAGGTTCTACTTTAAAGGTGTTCAAATCCGATCAAGCCAAGGACGTGGTGAAATAAAGATTGAAAATATCAAAGATTTCAACTTGGACTCATCTGTTGAATATGATTTTGATAAAGATTTCGCAATCAAGTACCAGGCTAATGCTGAGAAACTTGGAATGAAGAATTACAAAATTGATATTACAAGCAAAGATGCGGGAAGTGGAAAGCGATTGGAGTTCACAGCAGTTAATGACGGCAAGAACGTACTAAGTGGAAGGTAAACTTAAATATACTTATTTTAAATATCCCATTTTAATGCAAATTAATGTTAATAAATACTTTATTATTTCCCTAAAATTTTCAAATTTCGCAATAATCATATAATTATTTTGACTGCAGGCAAATACGACTATAATATTATAAATTTACCTTATTTAAAATAAAAATCCAAATTAGCTATAAGTCAATCTTTTAATCATAAAAATTAAAGATCATCTCTACCCAAATACCAAAAGGAGCAATACAAAATAATAAAATATAACATTATCTTATTCCCAGCACCTCATTCATTAGCAAACAAGAAGGACCTAAAACGATCATTGAAGGTTCTGGAACATTAAAGATCAAGGATGAGCAAAAGCCCGCCAGCTTCAAATACATTCGCACCATCCTTACTGAAGGAAACGAACAAGGAATGGAGGTAATTTATTATAATGATCTAAAATATTAACTATTTAATATTTGCGAAATAACTAATTATATATATATATATATATATATATATATATATATATATATATATATATATATATATATATATATATATATAAAAGTAAAGAAAAAAGCAGTAAATAAATGAATATGTATAAAAAGTTTTAACTATCGTTTTCAGACTTTCATCAACTTGGCTTTTGGTGAGCGCAACCACGTCGCAGAGTCGCGCATCACAAATATGGAATACAAGGCATCATACGTCTACTGCGAAGAGAAGAAGCAATGTGCTCACGCTGAACTTAACTCCAAATTTATTATTAGCAGTAAGTATTTGGAACTAAAATACTTGTAGCTAACCATAAATAAGTAATTTACATGACTTTTAAAATAACAACAGTTTAATTGTCGTGCATATGAATATTTAGACAAATTCGGCTTTATATTAATAATTCTATCGAAATCTATTAAGTTTCCAAGATAAAGACAAATAAACAAATAAAATAGAATTTCAAAAGCTTTTGACTAACAAACATTTTCCAAATTGTATTTCCTGAAAAAAAATGTAACAACCACCGTTCAACGTCATTCTCAGAACCTGGATGCCTTCAACATCAGTACAACATGGGCTTTGATCTTCGCAAATTGGGATTGAACACGGAATTCGGTCTCCAAATCAACAATGAATTCTCAGAAAAGAACTTGCCTCAATACGACATGAACCTCCACGTTAACCGTGAAAGCGACAAGTTCCACTTCCACGTATACAGTCAACCGGAGCTCGGCAGTACGTATTATTTGATGAATTCTTTACTAATGTCAAACCTCTAGAATATCGATATAAAAAGGCTTGGTATATCTTAATAAAATTTGAGACTACCGTACGCCTAAAACATCATTAATAACTACGAGTACTTCCCTGTTGTTATCTATTGAAAATTATATCTACGCTTATATCATAAGGAAAGAAAGCCTATACATTTTATATAACAAGTAAACTCTGGAACTACTGATCCTAACCATTATAAGTGTGAGATAGGCTACATTCATCTTGCTATATCAAGTTATTACTGTTAGATAATAGCACAAAAGCTAAAAAACGAAGCGAGAATGGATCAGTAGATTTATTTTAATAATGAAAATTTCTTTCAGAATTCCCAGCGGGTATCGTCTTGACATTCCCGAAAAGAGTCGTAGCAATTGAAGGATTGGTCCAATACCCCACTGACAAGGCTATGCCTTTCCCTATCAAGGCCGAGCTTAATATGTATCCAGACAAAAACAGGCCTCAATCAAAAACTGCTTTAAGATTCAACATGGACGCTTCAATGATTCGCGACGAGCAAGGAGAGATGTCTGCAGTTATTGGATTTAGTCACCCTAGAATTGGAAGGGTAAGTTATATACTAACATATTATCTAATTTTAAAATATGCCTTTATCTCTATATTTAACAAAAATAATACAATTCTGCATTATCAATGAATATCTAAACTGCTAAATAATAATTGATTCATCTTTTTATAGGAAGCATTAGTCAAGTTCCATGGATCAGTTAAGAGGCCTAGCGAAAACAGCATCGTCATCGATACATCTAGTGTCATCTCTCACAGCTGCCTTGGAAACGTAGGTTTTATTTTAGACCTTATTTGTTTGTCTATCATTGTTCATTATCCTTTCTAAATACATTTTTCTTACGGTTTTTTTTTATATTACAGGACCGTGAATCTAAATTCCACTTTGAAGGCAGTCCCACCGCTATCAAACTATTGGTAAGTGGATATAAATTAAATCCTACGCACTTTATATATTTTGTTGTTTTTACTATTAGTATTTAAAATTAATAAGTACCTAGAACATTTAAAAGTTAAATATTAAATGAAATAAGGAAACTAAAAACCTTTAGGTCTAAAGATATGCAACATCTCATTTTTAATATGTTCATTAATTCTTTATGTGGAATAATTATTAAATAACTTTTCTTATAAATCAATGTAAAATTAACGTATTTATTTATCTATAGATTGATACTCCAGTTGTAAAATTAATTGAAATCGAAGGAAGTGCGGCTATTAAAGAGGATATTCAGAAAGGCGAACTGAAGTTCAGTCTTCTTGAAGGCAAACCTGTTGAAGTCCACGTACTTGTAAATGATTTCAAATACTACGAATTCTCTACCGGCTACAGTGGTAAGTACATTGAGCTTTACCTATAAATCCATATTCGGATTAGTTATAATTTTATTATATGTATAGATATGTATGTATTCAAAGTTATATATGTCTATTGTGCAGTGTATCAACTATCTGGTATCCATAACACAAGCCTCATAGCTTACCATGGAACAAGATGGCGCTGTATGTTAACATCCGTAGATATTTATATTTACACTAGCATTGCCCGCGGCTCCGCCCGCGTTCAGATGACCAAAAACCAAATTCTTAGGTTTTACATATTAGTATATTCTTACATTGCAGTTTTTGTATTTTTTTTAGAAATGAGACATTTTCCTGCGGTAAAAAGTATCCTATGTATTGACCTGGATAACCAGCTGTCGCCATACCAAATTTCATCAAAATCCCTCCAGTGGTTTTTCTGTGATGCGGAAACAGACAGACAGACAAAAATTCTAAAAACTATAGATTCGGCCTCTGTATCGATAATAATGTTTATTTCAATAAGATTTTCCAAAAAATATTTATTGCACAGATTCGACTTAGTTACAATTTTATTATATGTATACAATTTTATTGTATGATATATTAGGGCAAACCCAAACCCATTATAACTCGCATAAAACGTCTCTCAAGTTAGTTGTTCAATGTGACGAAATAGGACAAAACTTTCCTAATTTTTACGAAATGCGTAATGACAAGAAGGCCAACTTCACTCAAGCGCAAGCACATTAAACTTTTATGTAAACTGTAATAAATGTCCATTAATTAAAAACCTTTTCTGCAGGTGATTCAGGAAACAGGTTGTCTATAACAAGTCATTTGGATCCTGAGAAGCGTGTCGATGCCTCCATCGATATTGTTCTACCTGGAAAGAAAACCCACAACATTGCCCATGGAGCCCTGTTCCTTGAGAACAACTTGATTAACAGTGACTATGGAATGTCTAAGGATAACTACGACAACTTCGTGGTAGGTTAAGTTTTATTAAAATCTAGTATTAATAAAACCAAAGTTAACAAATTATAGAATATCAATAATATGGTTCTATGGTTTATTTTTCAACACAAAATCATAATCACAACGTGTTAATTGCAGAAAGCACTGAAAAAAGACATGGTTGACTTACAAAAGCGAGTGAAAGAAGTCGGAGAGAAGTCCAACAACGACTTCAAACAAACAATGAAGAAGGTCGAACCAACTTACAAGAAGCTGAGGGAAGCATACGAAGCTGATTTAAATAGCTTCCGCAATGACCTGCAGGATATCATGAAGTCTATGCAGGAATCTTACGAATCAATGTAAGTATAACAATAATACTAGTAAACCACATTACAATCTAAACATATTTTGAATGAATATTTCATCGATGACCAGACCAAATGTATCAGTTTGATCTGGATGGACGATAGAACTTAAATTTACAGTACTAGTTATTACAAAAAACATGGAAAAGTACTAATAAACGTTATTTTTTAATTAACTTCAAAAAGAACTAAGAGTCAAAACAATGGTTTTAGAATTGATATGAATGTTTCTCCGCCCTTTACTTGATTTTTTTTATATCTTCATTCAGAAAATAAGTAAAATATTGCATTATTTTTGGGAAATTCAAAAACCGACTTGTGGGGATTGGGTAGATCAATTACATGTAAATGAATGAGAAAATGCAAAATAGTGTCATTTTTATTTATTTTTTTGTTATAGCCGTCACATCATCCAAGCTTTCCTTAAGATATTTGACGAAATTGTGGACTTAGTTAAACCAGTAGCTGATCAGATTGCTGAAACTGTCACCTCAATCAGTAAAAAGGTCATAGAAATGTATGAGAAACAGGTAAATATTGAAACGCATAAGAACTTAAACTCACAGCCTTTTTTTTAAACCATCAGGTTATTGTTTATACTCGTATACTTAATCTTATTCTAAACAAATAGGCAAATTATGTTTTACGTTCAAATCAAAAAACACCCATTTGACTCTAACATAGCAAACATGTAACCTTAGTGTCCACTTTTAAAAAAAAATCATTCCTTTAACTAATTTATTTCCATAAACAAACCAGATATTAACAAACAATTTGTGCTTAAAATATACCACTTACTTAACAGCTGGAGCCTCAACTGAAGCATCTATACGAGAACCTCTCAGCAATAGTGAAAGAATACACTGACGGTATCATCGACGTAGCCGCTCACTTTGCCGCCATCGCTATAGACTTCTTCGAGAAACACAAGGCTGAAATTCGGGAACTTGCTAATGTATTCACTGAGATCTTCAAAGGTAGATTTATCTAGAATTATAGTTTATAATTTTTTTTGTAAAGTATCAAAAATATGATTTCATAAATATCTAAAATTGTATTTCATACTCAATGGTTATCATCATCAATTAATATTTCAGTTAATAAAGTGTAATTTCAAAAATACAATCGTTGAAAATTCATTCAAAGCTTATCTCTTAAGCTTAAATTAAAAATACTTTACAAGTTTTGTTTGAACACGCTTGGGCTAATACTATATCTATATTCTTTAAGTTATAGTCCGCTATAGTCTTTAAGTTGTAAAGTAATAGCTTCATATAGTTTTAAGGAAAAACCATTACTAAAATAATTAAATTTCTAACAAAAGTTAAAGTTCTTAATCTTCTTAAAGTTTTAAACCTTACTATTTTAGATCTGACCCGTATCATCGTTGCTCAACTCAAGGAGTTCCGCGGAAAGTCTGCCCAACTCTTCTCAGAGCTCATGGAACAAATTAAGAACATGCCTATCATTGGACTTATCAAAGAAAAGGTGGGCTTGAATAAAATATGTCTACTTTAACTAATACATAGTGGCTACAATTAATGATATTTAGCTTTTTTAAAAATAACGTAATTGACTATTTTTATCGATGAAATTGATCTAAATCTTTTAAACAGTTTATGCATAATTTAGTAACATTTTCCCCAAATTTCATATTTATAGTATAATAAAATTCAGCTTATAATGTGGTTATTTGTATAACAGTATCAAGAGTTGGCCGTGCCAGAGCAGTTCCTGGGTCTGATGAAGGAGGCGCACCAGGGAGTGCGCAACGTCATGCCTACTGAAGAGATCAAGTTGTTCATCGATGCTCTCAACAATTACGCACAGAAGGTTTGTCATTTTTACCATCGGTTATCATTTTAACTATTTTTTAACGCAAAATGTCAAGTTCTGGAATTTGAAAATAAATAACAATGTTTCCCTGAATTTCAAGGCTATATTTAACTGACAGTTTTAGAAACTTAAATTCAAAGAAGTTAAGAAGGCAAAGTTAAAGTTCTTAAAAGCACGAGCTTTCGGAAACAATTAGTGCAACTCATCAAATATTTACTTTTTATTTACTGTACCTATCAAGTAGATTTATAAAAAAAACTAACTAAACCACAGAAACACTATTAACTTTTGCTTATTAAAATAAACAGAAACTCCGTCAAGAGAAGTTCGACGAGAGTGTAGAACTACGCACACTGTATGAGCGTCTCGCGGCCGCGGCTGCGTCGCTGGTCCGCCTCGTACGACAACACGTCGGCCAGCTCGGCATCACATACCCGATCATCTCTGAAGTATGTTATTAGTTATTTTATTTGTTTTTGTATCTAAAATATATTTTATTTGACATTATGAGTAAAATTCTTTGTGTTTATTGTTGTTAGTCTATAATATAATGATCTATACAATAACTTTCTTAAGTGTTTAGTAGAAAGCATGTACGGCTGCAAAAAAAATAAAAAAAAATATAACAAGTAATATTGTAGTAATTATTGCAAGAAAACTCAGTTTAACCTTTTACGTATCAGGCTGGCTTTCCTGGAATCACTCCAATATCCATTCCATCGTTCAGAGGATCAGCGGCCTTGAGCTTCATCACTCAACTGATTGAAGGAGACATCCCCGACCCCGTAAAACTGATCCAAGCTTACAGACCTCGCAGCTTCGACCCTCTCGATGAAATACCCTCTAAGAGTAAGTATAATGTTATAAGAAATATTTAAATTGTTTTAAATAAACAACCCTCCAAATGTTAAGAAATCCATTTAGACACGACCAATTTTACCTTTTATCGTTTCACATTTGAATTCGATAAGCACTTCTAAAGTACGTTCCTTAGCCTACACGGACAGCTATGAAAAGTTGGACATTGGATATACTATTAAGGGAGATTCACAATATTTTTAATATACATAAACAACCCTTCTAACCCTTCATCCCTTCACCCCTTCACAGTGCGCGCAGTCATCGTGAACGGTCAACACATCTTTACGTTCGACGGTCGTCACATGACCTTCCCAGGATCATGCCGCTACGTGCTTGTACACGACCACGTTGACAGGAACTTTACTCTAATCATGCAACTTGCTAACGGCAATCCTAAAGCGCTCATCTTGGAAGACAAGAGCGGTATTACTATTGAACTCAAAGAGAATGGACAGGTGATATATTAAGTTTTATTACAAATAATACTTTCTTAGATTTACGCGAATATTTGACATTTTAAATAAAACTATCTTTTCGGATTTTGTCGCGGATTTATTTGCATTTTTGTTTCCCGACGTTTCGAATGCTTTACAGCATCCATGCTCACGGGTCAGAGACATAGTCTCTCCCGTGACCATGGATACTGTAAAGCATTCGAAACGTCGGTAAACAAAAATGCAAATAAATCCGCGACAAAATCCGAAAAGATAGTTTTATTTAAAATGTTATTACAATTATTTTTATGTTTTAGTTAATTTTTTAATTGTCTAAAAATAGGCTGAATATTGCTAGAACGTTTGTCAAACAAGATAATTCTTTGTATATGATCCAAGTTTTTGTTGATTTAATTTAAATTAGCCATTCAGCTCAATTAGCTGTTAAGTATATGTGTATATACATACGTTTATATCAATAAATTCTCTTTATCTGTGCTAAAAGCATAATAAAAAGTTCTTTTAAATATTTATTTTTACTATTCTCTAAATAAACAATGTGATTGTGTTACCAGGCGGCTTTGAATGGAGCTGCACATGGTTACCCCATCATAGAGGAGGACGTGTTCGCGTTCAGGGAGCCCAATGGACGCATCGGCCTCGGCTCTCGCTACGGACTCATGGCCTCCTGTACTAGCAAACTTGAGGTATGTTGTCCTAATTATTTTAAAACTGGCGACTTACCCTCACTCCACTCGGGTTCGTCCCTAGTTACACTTTAACGTTTAGTATAGATTTCTCAGAGATGAGTACCCTATATGTTGACCCGGATAACCTGCTATCAACGTACCAAATTTCATCAAAATCTGTCCAGTGGTTTTCTCGTGATGCGGTCACAGATAGACAGACAGAGAAAAATTCTAAAAGCAATAGACTCGGCCTCTGTGTGGATAATAATAACTATCTAATAACATTTTCTAAAAAATATTTAATGTACCTACAGATTCGACTCAGAATTTCATTATATGTATAGATTAATACTGAATATTCAGAACTCAAAAGAAAATTTGTGACAATATAACATTTTTAACATCATTTGTAATTTTGCGTGCCAAGGCTTTCTGATTGAAATTTTATCTGAGATTTAATACTGAAGACAATAATAAACCTTGGAAATTTTTGGTACTTAATGGCTAAAGGTACAAAATCTAACATACTTTTTATCATTATATAGGTGTGCTACATTGATGTAAATGGTTTCTACCTTGGTAAATTACGCGGTCTCCTCGGCGATGGCAACAATGAGCCTTTCGATGACTTCAGGCTACCCAATGGAAAGGTAAAAAAATATTTTTAGTTGATAATAATTATATTTATATCAAATTAACATTAAAAAATGTTTTTTTTCTGTTGTCTTCTTATATTAGACAGTGTTTCAGGTTAATCCAAAAAAGCTATAAATAATTTGAATTACACTTTGAATGACAAAACAATAAACTCATTAACAAATATCTAATGATTTATCCTTATTCTTTCTTATTACATCAACTATATTTTTTTCTAAGTCTGTACATCTGAATACCCAACAGATCGTCAACTCAGAGAGCGACTTTGGTAACGCTTACCGTCTAGCTGGTAGCTGTGCCGTAGTGAAGACGCCCGAACACTCGCACGAGCAGATGCATCAAACGATGCCACCTGCTTGCGAAACCGTATTCGGAGGCAGTTCACCCCTCAGACCTTTGACCGTGATCCTGGATGTTATGCCTTTCAGGTAACTTTTTTGATATAATATCAAGTTATTGATGTAAAGGAAACTTTTTTAAAAAGTAAAAGAAATCTTAATTTTTTTTAACTGTATAACGGCGAAGATATTACTATTAATTTTACAACATGTTAAGATTTAGAACTCTTTGACATATTATTGTCTTAATCTTAGCTTTAATCTATAATACAATTTTACAAACCTATACATGACATTACAGCACAACCAAATCAAAAATAATCAAGTACACATAAAGAAAGAAAATAATAACATAAAACATTCCAAATAACAGGCAAGCCTGCATTCACGCATGCACCGGCGCTGAAAATGCGCTATCCCAAGCTTGCGACCTCGCAAGAGGCTACGCTGCCCTCGCGCATTCAACACTCCTTCCCGCCGTACTTCCACCACAGTGCGTGAAGTGCACAGACTCAGATAAACCACGTGAAGTTGGCGAAAAGTACGACGTCAAACTACCCGCTAAGCAGGCAGACATTGTGGTCTCTGTTGAAGTTACTACTGTAAGTGCACAAGATGTTTTTGCATTATTCAAGTCTTCAAGTTTAAACGTATAACAAAAAAGATAACGAAATAATATTGGTCCGGCTGAATTTCTTTCGCCAGTTCTTCTCAGGTTTGAGGCTTCTTCTTTCCGAACTAGTAGTAGACTCATGACTTTCAGTAAAAAAATGGAATAATTTAATATTGAATAAAATATTTTGAATTTGAACATCACCAGCAAATCTCCAGCGCTATATTGGCGAAGTAACTTGTTCTCAATTAGCGCGCATAGAATCCATTCAATAAATAGTTGAATTGATTAATGTTTGAGTAATTTCTTGTGGGTAGCTTTGTTATTGAAACATCAAAGGATTATTAAATACTATCGTTGAGTTTTGTAAATAGATGTGCAAATTTTAGCGGAATCCAATAAGGTATGACCAAAAAATTTTATCAGAGTCAAAAATATTGGAATAGATAATACTTATTATGTATTACACTAGTTAATAAATATAAACGTATACTTACTTAAATTAATAATATAAAAAGTATATCTTATGAAAATATCAACAATTTTATACAAAATTAAGCACAACTTATTATAAATAACCATTTATGTTTAGGCCAACGAAAAGAACTACAAGGACATCGTAGTGCCGCTAGTGTCACAAATTATCGACCAGCTTAAGAGCAAGCGCATCACTGACGTGAAGGTGTACTTAGTGGGAGTCACCTCCAAGTACCCGTACCCCATCCTCTACGATACTGACCGTAAGTTTCAGTTTATATATACATACATATATTAATTTGTTTTTTCTGAATATTCAGAACTCAATATCTTAACTATCAATATCTTGAAAACCTTTATAATTTGGGGTTAGATTCTTATTACATTGTCAGAAAAAGTGGCAGTTATTTATAATCATTATTTTTTCACAAATAACAAACGCCTTTAAAAATAGTTTTTACCACAATTATAACTGAAGTTCTACCGTACAAATATGTTATAAGATTTTCATAATCTCGTTTTATTCCGTAGTTGTATTATTGTGAAATCTGTAGGTCTGCATCAAGTACATTAAATCAATGTCAATTCAATTTACTTATATAGATAGATACAGATAAAAGAGAGAGTGGGAGTTAGAGGAAGAAAGAAACACTATAATGATTAAATTATTATTTTATAGTGAGGTTAAAGAGCGCTAAGGTGAAGTTCGACGACGAAAGCCGCTACAACTTGATCGAGCCTATTAACTTCAAGAACAAATTAATTGATGGATACGAGTCGGTCTTCGTTGACATTATTAACAAACTTGGAATCTCACTTGGTATGATATATTATATATTTCTTTATTTACAATTGTTTTTGTACCTGAGTGTAGTATTTAACTAATTTCAAAAAATAATTTACGAAACTAAAAAACCCGACTACGTAAAAGCAAACTAGAAAGATGAAACCACGATGACCATCTCTTAATGACGGAACATAGTATTGCATGAATCTAGGTATGTATATAGCTCATGACAATCTCGCGTTATCAATGCGAATCGAAAGACGTAAGAATTATTAAAATCGGTTAAGCTGTTAAGTAATTACGAGGGAACATAGAATCGGACATACATAAATACAGGTCGAACACATAACTCTCTTTTGGGCTTCGGCGCAGTCGGGTACGAAGTGATAATGTCTATATATTTGAGTATATTACTCGAAGTCTGCGTTTTTCGTCAAAAACGATGTATTCAGCCCTTTTTAACGTCCCACTGCTGGGCACGGGCCTCCCTTCAATACGATGGGGATCAGGCGATAGCCACGCCATAAATCCACCACGCCGGCCAAGTGCGGGTTAAAAAACTCCAAAAACTACACACCTGACTGACGGTGAACTTTTAAAAATTAAATACTATAAGTAAAGAAATAAAAAAATTAACACTAATTTTCGCAATCGTACAAAATCATGCAATAAAAACACTAAGGGGAAAAAATCAATAGTACCAAAATATGTCTTAGACTGGATAACTGAATTTAATTAATATTAATAAATCTGACGATACGTTTGGCTCGGTTTCTAGTGATCCTACTTGCAAGCGGCCGCAGGTTCCAATGTTTGTACTCCAGTCATAGGTGTTTATAATTATAATATGTATATTGTATGTATTTAAAGTTATATATGTGTAGTGTATCAACTATCTGGTATCCATAACACAAACCTCGTAGCTTACCATGGAACTAGATGGTGCTGTGTGTTAGTGTCCAAACATATTTATTTATTTTATTTAATTATGTTCAGGAATCCAAAACATCATGGCTACCTACCACTCTGTCTTCGACCTTCCACTGAGACCCGGCGCCGTCAAGCACTACATCAGCTCTGTTGGCACCAAGTGCGAACCACAATTGTTCATCGTAAGTATATTGAAGGATACAAAAACAATTATAATTTTTCATTCATAATTCTTCTCCTGAACGGCTTTCACCCGTTTTTTATGTTTTTTTTCTTATGATTTTTAGTTTCCAATGTTTTAAATAAACGTACTCTTTATCCTGTGTCTATCTTTGCTTTTGTTAAACTCTTTGCTATACTAGAAAAAGTCTTCTACTTTTTTTAGAACTTTTTTAAGTTTCTCAGTTCGAAACTTCTCAAAAATTTAGAAAAAAAAATCATAACTTAAAAAACTATGAACAATCGTAACATACATGGTGTGATTTAGGTACTAAAAGGAGTGCTCTACCTCTGGACGTCCGCTTGTAACTACTTCCTGGGACACCCTGTATATACATTTATTTCGTGCATCTCGGAAACTGCTCTAACGATTTGGATCTTTAGTATTTAGATAACGTTTTGCTTTCAAAGTTTATATACATAGGTGCCTTTTCTGAATATACGGTATTTTTATATCTTTTCCGAAAAACGCCATGCGAAGCTCTGTTAAGTTTTAATTTATTTGTTCATATCTACAGTTAAACGCCGGCCGCTCTGTCATCATCGGTGAGATTTTCAAGAACATGGGTCTGACTCACTCCCTTATCACAGATGTTGATGGTCTCAAGATTGGTGGAGGCAAGTCTGCTGAACAAGTTGTTGGTAAGATTTTACTGTTTTGTTATTACTAGCCAATATTTGCAAAATCAGCTGTGTCTATTTATCCTATAAGTACATCGATCAAAAAAGGAACTAGATACACAATCTCATGCTAAAGTTATTTTAAAATTGTCACCAATTGTGTTTAGGTAATTATTATAGTTGAAATAAAAATACACCAATGTGAATTGAACCTTAAATGCAATGCTTAAAATTGTTTTCACAAAATATTTAATTTAAAAGCGTGCTCAAATGTTTAAATGAGCGCTCATTCGACGAGGACATTTTTATCACTGTGTATCAACATGTACTTGTACTGTATAATAAAATCTAGGTTTTATATAGGAATGTATAAAAAGGAGAATTCAAGCATATTATTAGGAATATACTTAAAAGATTCAAATATCTATATTTTAAACTTAAACCTGTACCTTGATTTATTAGCTGTATAATGGAAGAGTCTTATTACAATCTGTCTAACCACTTTTCATTATTCTAAATTAAACAGACAGGTAAAATTCTACTACTTAGTAGTAGTACACATTAGTATATCTCACTAAGATTTATCACAAGAATGCATTTTAAATAATTTTCGAAATTCGCCTCTTCATGTGTTTCTGTATACATAAAGAAAAAAATATACTCGTATATTTATATCTTTTTAACAATTTCAATTACATTTATATTAAATTCTTATTTATTTTTTAGGTTTCTCAAAATCAAGTGTACTGATGCTTGGTGATAAGAAGCAGAAGGACACAGAATCTCTGAGAGCAACCCTGGAGCTACCAAATGAAGACAACTGCATTGACTTCACTGAAGAAGTGAGTGTAAACTCTATTTGTGTATAAATAATACTACAAAATGACACTGTAAACAAATTTGCCAGTTAATGTTATCCTTTTTCTAACAACAATCTTAAATAATGCCTTATATAGATAAATTAATTAATTAATTATTTTTAAAATACCCTAAAGATTGAATCTGCGAATATTACGGGGTAAAATCCTTTATGCTAGTGCGTGATCTATCTTCAATCAAGATTCATCAAAATCTGCTCAACCTTTTCCCATGAGTACTGAACATCCAAAAATCACAATCACAATTTTTAATAGTTAACAGTGCGGATAGACTAAGCATGTCTTTCGAAAACTTAATAGGTTCTCTTAATAGGTTTTCCTTCACCGGGTCAAGTGATAATCATGTTAAAAATAATTCGTACATGAAAATATCAGAGGTGCGAGACCAGGGATTTGAACCCGCTTCACTCGGTTTCCCAAGCGAGCGCGTTACCACTAGGCTACCACTGCCTGTACACTATGGTGTTAATTCACATAACCAATACTCTCTTCCAGTCCGGTGGCTACACATTCTCAGCAAGCAACTTCCGCAAGCTGAACCCGCAACAACAGAAGCAGTTCATCGCTTCCGCAGCATCCTCCGTCACATCTCGTCTGCTGCAAAATTCTTTTAGCTTGAGTTGTACTTGCACTTACACCGATCCGTTCCGCGTTCGCTCGGTATGCGTTGTCACTGATAGAAAGGAAGTGGTAAGTTATATTAAGTGTTTTTTAATTAATCAATTAAAATATCATTTACTGAAATAGATTTTTCCAAGCTCTTTAAATCGTCAATTTTTTAAATTTAAATTTAATGTCAGTGTGTAAGTATGTGAGGAAGCTACCATCCAATTAAATCTTATTGTATAATTGAAGTATTAGGATACTTCAAAATAGTCATAATAGTAGTGAGTATACTAAATTTACGATATGGTGATTTTAATTGTACTATAATCAAATGAATCACCTAATTGACTGATAAGCTATCTATCTGTTTGTTTGTTGTGTAGCTAATCTCCGGTACGGTATAAAAGATTTTATAAAACATTTTTACTAGTGAGTATAATAGAATATAGAGTGGCCGCCACTACTTTCTACTTTTTATAGAAAAAATATGCCTTTATCAATTTAAAAAAATCAGTTTAAAACCCAATATCTACTAAAAATAACTGTTATAGATATTATTAATTGTACTAAAGAACTAAAATAAAAGCCTACTACCTATACATATATAAAATTAGCGCAAAGAAAAACAAAAACAAACCTATCCCACGGAAACCGTACATTTTTCCGGAATAAAAAGTAGCGTATGTGCAATTCCAGACTATAACCTATCTCTGTGCTGAATTTTATCCAAATCTGTTAAGCCGTTATGGCTAGATTGAGTATTAAACATCCATCCAGACATCTAAACTTTCATATTTATAATATTAGTATGATAGCCTCAAAAGGGGGAATTTATAAAATTGTGTACTTATACTGTTTTTTTTTTGTTTACAGGCTCGCAAAAAGAAGTGATTCTTCCCAACTGTGATTCGCGCCACATCGCCAAATACTCTTAGTTTTTACTCTATCGAGCTTTTAGTGCATTAGGCTAATAACACATTAGAACTTTAAAATTTGTTATTTATATTTGCCGTAGTTAAAAGTTAATTTCGTCTGCCTCTAGTTTGTTACCAGCCTAATCTCGAATGAGCTCGTATAATATAGACACTGAATAGCAATTTATTTATAAATCACCGATTCTTATAAAATTTTAATAAAATCGCTGTATTAAGACAATAAAATGTAATAAAAATATATTATTTACATTTGTTTTTTATTTATTTTTTCATTAAAAATTGACAACACTTAAGCAGTTATTAGCAGTTATACTATTTTTTTCATTTATATGCATAATATTCTGATAACTAAATTAAATTAAAAATGTAAAGAACCCACGACCATCTTTAACCGATTTTCATCAAACATAGCTAAGAACACTCCCGACTAATTCACCTTTCAAACAAAAAAAACAAAATCAAAAGCGGTTCATCCGTTCGAGAGCTACGAAGTCACACACAGACACGTCAAATTTATAACATCCCCCCGGTTTTGCCTCGGGGGTTAATTAAAACAACAGTTCTTTAAAATAACACTTTACTCATATAACCATTAACGCATATATCTGGCTCATAAACTATCTCATATTTGGAGGTTTATACTTTTCGTTACACTTTCCGCTAAAATATATGTAAAATCACAATCTATGTTTTTTTTGAGATTCTAAGCACAGTAGTTTAAAAAAAAAGATTCCAACGAATTGAGAACCTACTTCTTTTTGGTAGTCGGTTAAAAGTAGAGGGAGGGAGAGGGAATACCCAATTCTGCATTTTAACTGCTGGGCCATCATTTTGACACCTTATTACGATATGGAAATGAAAAATAAATAAAATATATTATACAGAAACATACTTGTAGCAAGTTAGTATATCCGACTATATAATACCTACTGTGTTCGTCCGTCAATTTGCTTATGTGTTCTTGTGCAAATTTTACGCAGTCGGGGTTTTTGTTTGTTTTGAAAGATTCAGTTTCCTATTTAGAAAAAAGATACTGAATGACCAATTTTTCGATTCCTTTCGCAATTTATTTTGATTTTAATATTTACTTGTTATACTTAAGTATAACAATGTAGTCTACTGTAACAATGTAGCAATAAAAAGTAATTTAAGTTCTTTTAAAGTAACTTTCACCTTTGGGGTAAAAATCATTATCTTTTTTACCTGAACGTAAAGTGCAGCACACTTTGATGACGCACTGGTCAATGCGCCCGATTTAGATTACAAGGGTTCGAATATTTGAGGTTTAGATTTACAAATATGCGAATGGAATGTGTTTTATAAGTCCTTGGCCTTCCCACATTATTATAATAAATGCAAATGTATGTATATATATTTGTGTATGTTTGATTGTCGATAACGCTGAAACTGCTGAACAGACTTGGATGAAATTTAGTACACATACAGATTACGATTGGGAGTAAAACATTATGATGATACGTTTAGCTCAGTTTGTAGTGACCCTACTTGCTATGCCAGCGGTCACAGGTTCGAGTCCCGCTGGGGGTATTCATTTGTTTAATGAGTACGAATGTTTGTACTACAGTCATGGGTGTTTATATTTATTATATTAACTCTAATTACTAACTAGAAAGTGTCATATAAAAGAATAAGCCAAATTAACTAATTAAAGCTTATAAAAAGAATACTGTAAGAGCTTTTTACGTATAGCTTCAATTAATTATTTCATGAATGAAAAGGGAGAATTTATTAATAACTCTTCGTCCTCCGCGTACCTACCACCATATTACAGACATGGACGAGTGACGATTATAAAAATTAACATTATTGTATAAAAAAATATTTTTAAATAAAAAGCTTTTAAAGACAGACTTCAAAATTAACTCAAAATAATAATACTTTCTTAGATATATTTGGCATCTATACATACAATAAAATTCAAACTAAGTGGAAGCTGTACTTTAAATATTTTTTGGAAAATCTAATTGAAATAGACATTATTATCGATACAGAGTTCGAATCTATAGTTTTTAGAATTGTTGTCTGTCTGTCTGTCTGTCTGTCTGTTACCGCATCACGAGAAAACCACTGGACAGATTTTGATGAAATTTGGTATGATGATAGCTGGTTATCCGGGTCAACATATAGGATACTTTTTACTGCGGGAAAGTATCTCATTTCTGATAAAAAATACAAAAACTGCATTGTAAGAGTAAATTAATATGTAAAACCTAAGAATTTTGTTTTTGGACATATGAACGCGGGCGGAGCCGCGGGCAATGCTAGTAATTTATATATGTATAAAGAATGAATAATTATTGTTTATTCGTCCTATTAAAGTACAAATAGGCACTCCGTATTTATTTTAATTTTTAAACTACCATTAATTCCCTTTTTAGAAAACCATTTACGCAACGCGCGTAAATTTTTTTTTTCTATCTTGCTAGAAAAAAAAGTGTCATATACGCTAAAACGCAATAGAAATATATTTTATAGCCTATAGTCCGAGTACGAAGATAATGGAGCTGTCTAGTGTCTATTAGTGAAAGTATTATTAAAATAGGCTCAGTAGTTTCAGAGTTAATGTATTACAAACAAACAAGCAAATCTTTCCCCTTTGTAAAATTATTACACATATAATTATAAAAAAAATATATTAACAATATCATAATTGCCGATACATACAATCGAATTGAAAACTGATTTTTTTTAGGTCGGTAGCTTATGACGAGCTTTAATGTTACCAATAAAATATTTTAGAGACAGGAGCAATTTTTATATACATAGATAAGTTCTATTCATATATTTTCCTTAAATTCTAAATAATTATTATGGTCGAATTTCGAGCGCTCGACAGACACCTATTATAATAAATACGAATGTTTTACAACTAGCATTGCCCGAGGCTCCGCTCGCGTTCAAATGACCAAGTAATGAATGACAGACAGACAAAAATTCTAAAAACTATAGATTCGGCCTCTGTATCGATAATAATGTTTATTTCAATAAGATTTTCCAAAAAATATTTAATGTACAGATTCGGCTTAGTTACAATTTTATTATATGTATAGATTATTATTTATTTATGTTTTAACTTTGACGTAGGTACGTCGCGTCCGAAGTTTTTCTTTTAATATTTTTGCTAGAAGAGATCTTTTTAAGAGCTAATTCCACTTATCTAAGACATAGTGACTGTCACATATACAGATAAATAAAATTGAAGTGTCTGTTTGTAATGTCAAAAAACAGCTTTTTACTAATAAGAAAAAATAACATTTTTTATCTTTTTTTTCGGTTAATCTCAAAAACGGCTAAACCGATTTTGACGAGAATTTCACTGGCAGATAGCTGATGTAATAATGAGTAACTTAGGCTACTTTTATTTTAGATAAATAATCAAACTTCCACGCAAAAAAATTAAACCCATGAAATTGTGAATAACAAGTTTATTATTTATTTATTTATTTAAGTCGCTTGTATAATTTATAATTATTTAAGTGCAAGAACATTATGATTTATAATACCAATGCTAATAAACTCGATACTCGTACGTAGGACCGATACAGTATCTGACCGCAGTGAGTCAGTGTCCGAGCAACAGGATAACTCAGAGTCAGTTCTGTTCTGACGACCGAACAAACAAGTTGCTTAGTTGAGAGAAATAAGGTGTGACCCGTTATATTATGTGTTGTGTGAAGATATAAACTTAATTATACATAATTATATTAAGGTAGGCTGGTGTTATTTATTTACTTTTGTCATTGCACTTGTTGAAGTCGATTTTAGTATATATTTAGTTTTTATATTTAAGTTCGTGATATTTGGACGATAATCTTACTTGTTACTTCTTACTAATATTATAAATGTGAAAGTTTAGTTTTTAGATGGATGTTTGGATGTTTGTTACTCAATCACGCCAGAACGGCTGAACGGATTTGGATGAAATTTGGCACAGAGATAGATTATAGTCTGGAATAGCACATATGCTAATTTTTATCCCGGAAAATTGTACGGTTTCCGTGGGATAGATTTGTTTTTGATTTTCTTTGATTATAATAATATGAAACTCTTTAACAGCTACTAGTAAGACTACCAAATTAGAGTTCATTTGATTCATTCTAACGAGTTTCATATAATTGAGTTAGTCAAAAACATGCTTTTTAGTTTCTTTTAAAATTAAGTATACTTATTTTTACTTGTGTTGAGTCCCTATTTTATATGTACACGCGAAGAACTGAAAGCTTCGTATTATTGGATTTACTCGATTGCATTTTAATTTAACTGTTAATAAATCCGACTTGTAAATAAACAAAAAAAGCTGCGACATTTTTACTTTACATAACGCCATATGAACTAAATAGCGATGCTAGAATATGTACTTACATGCGTTATTTTTTGTGTAAATTTAAATACCCAATACTTGTTTATGGTTTTTATTATATTAGATAGAAGATTATGTATATATTATATAACAGGTGTGTTTGTATGGTGTTTTATAAGCAATATCTAATAAATATCTATTAAGCCAGGAACCTGGAATATCAGTAATCTTATAATATTAAATGAGCTTGTATGTATGTATGTATATTCTTGTATTTATCTAAATTTATTTCGTATATCTTGGAAACAGGTCTAACGATTTGGATGAAATTTTGTCTTTAGATAAGTTTTGCTTTTTAAATTTATCTTTATAAATTGTATGTAAAAAATCTAATCAATACTAATATAATATTATAAACAGACAGAGTTTGTTTGTTTGTTTGAACGCGCCTATCTCAGGAACTACGAATCAGATATGCAAATTCTTTTTGCATTAGATAGCCCGTTTATTAAAGAAGGCTATAGGCTATAACATCATATAATATATAGTCTATCTATTCCATATTAATCCCGCTAGCGTTACAGTTAACAATAGATTTCTTAGAAATTTACCTGGAGGCGTTAACCGTTAAAACGTACCTAGGAACGAACCCGAGCGAAGCAAGGGTGAGTCGCTAGTATAAACTATGTCTGTATTAGATTATGAAATTCACTGATACCTTAAATATAATGTCAAATTAATCCAATGATATAGAGCTTCCAGTCGGTACACTCACATATAAAACACAGGTCATGTTTACTGGACTGGTTATACAAATATACACCTTGATGCATTATCAGTAATCTTTGGTTGTATAAAAGTGCTTATGGTATTACTTAAATTTTAAGAATATACGTGACTCTAGTATGAGTGAGTAATACGCAGAATCGCATTATTCATAATGCTATAATAATATCTTCTATATTGTTAAACACGGAAAGGCACGTTTTGTTTGTATTAACTGTCTACTATTACTACAGCTATATAAGGCAGTGGTAACCTAGTGGTATGACGCTCGTTTGGGAGACCAAGTGAAGCGGGTTCATATTCCGGATTTCGACCCTCAGATATTTTCATGTACGAATCATTTTTAATATAATTACCACTTGTCTTACGGTGAAGGATAATTTCGTAAGAAAACCTGCATGTCTGAGAGGACCTAACAAATTTTCGAATGATCTGATCACCCTCGTATTGAAGGGAGACACGTCCCCAACAGTGGTCATATATACATACATATAATAGACCTAAGGGCCTTAAATAAGATGTCATTCTACAATTGTTGGAGAATAGAAATTTTATTAATCATACAAATGACTTTGTCCGTTATGACCTAGGACATAGGACCTAGAATCATTATGTGTCTCTTTATGATATTAGTATAGATTCTACGTTATAAAAGAACATTTGAAAAGTTAATAGGAATAAATATTTACTTAAATAAATATACTTTAATAAATAACTCGGTGACAGTCTCATTTAAGTAAAAGTCATTTACGATTATTGCTATCGTAAATGCTTATTTATAGTACAATATCAATTATTCTTATAAAATAAATAATCGAGAATAATAATAGTATAATATAACCTCTTCAATTATCTTTTCCATATTATTTTCCTTGTGCAACACTTCTCGCCACAATTTCCGAATTAACTTCCTAACGGGTTTTTAATGTACATAAAATGTATGTACCTATTCAGCCCTTTTCACAATTTCGCACTGCTGGGCACGGGCCTCCTTTCAATACGAGGATCAAACCATAGTCCACGCTATTAGACCAACGCGTTACAACTGGACTTCTACTAATTTTAATACTGGCATTTACTTTACATGTATGTAGGAAAAAACTCTATTTCAAGTTTGCATTTCTACACAGGATGGCACCGCTATCTCTGAAGATAGTCCTGGACGAGGGAGCAGTCACCAGAACCTTGATGTTCGACACAACGACCAAGGTCTGGGACGCTCATCGCATCGTTAAAGAGAAAATTCTCACTTTAGACCCTGATAAAGGTGATAAAACTATTTATTTACTAGCAACTGTACAATATATTGTAATACAATGTATGTCTAAGTCTTAAGTACAGTATTTTTGTATTAAAAACTCCAAGCAACTATATACTAACCTTTGAGAAGTCTAAAACCTTAGTCTCTCCCGTGACCATGATTGCTGTAAAGCATTCGAAACATCGGGAACCAAATCAAAATAAATTTACGAAATAATCCGAAAGATAGTCCTACATCATCAACAATTGTTTCAGATTACGGCTTCTTCCTTACATCAGCTGACGATGACAATTCTGGCGTATGGTTAAGCAATGATAAAACGTTGGAATACTATATGCTTAGAGATGGAGACTCAGTGCAATATCTCACTAAAATACGAAATATTAGACTGCGAATGTTAGATGGTAAGTACTTATTATATTAAACTAGTGTAATGTAGTAATTAACCCTCGCCTCGCCCTATATGCCCATTGCATTTTAAATAATATTACCAAAGTTATCAAAAAAGACGATTTTTCCCTTAATTTAACTTTTTAAATTTTCGCGTTCCATAATAATAAACAGACTATAGATCTAATCTTTTTAGATAGTCCCTCTTTTTAATAGTGTTAATAGTTTCTGAGGTTAGCTGGAACAAACTCAGTTTTAATTTATTTTTAATATGTAGTGATTACTTAATTTGACTTCATAGGTTATCGTTCACTATTGACAAATCAACTATTAATACTCATTATTTACTTAAAACACTAATAACCCACAGGATACTTAATGTGACGGGATACAAAATAGACTGTTTTATTTTCATAAAGTATCTATATTGATTTTCATACTTCAAAAGTGTTTATAAGAGATTTTCTAATAATAATAAATAAACATATTATGTATATTCTTATTACTACTAATAAACTGGCATATTAGTATTCAATTTATTAGTATAATAACGCTATGTAGCTTTGCGCGCGCGCATATCATATTATGTGTCTGACCTTCAAAAAGGACTAATTACTAAATTCTTTTATTTCTTTGTGTATCGAAAAAAAAAATTAAAATATATATCCGTCTTTGTTTTAATTAGATGCTTTATTATATACCAAAATTTTGATCAAAATCGATCCAGCAGTTTTGTTAAATGTTATATACATTTAACAAAACTGCTGCTATGCAAACAAACAAAAAACCATAAATATTTAGAAATCAAATAACAAGTTTACATTTATTACAAATATGTATATGTAATGTACAGACACACTACTGCAAATTTTATCACTATAGCTACCTAATTTGAGTGTTTACTTCGAATGTATCATCCTTGGACGCATGTGGCTTAAAACACTCTGACTTAGGTGGCATTGAGGTTGGTTTGTGGTAGGTCGCGAGTTCAATTCTAACGTGTATCAAATAATATTTACTATTAATTATTTCGATCATTGTATACCTACATGATGTTTTATTTTTAAGTTAATATGACAGATAACATGTAAAGAACAAACCTTGCTCTACCAAATACGCTAATGATTTAGATAATTAATAATCCTTATATGGGCACTGATAGATAAATCACGTTCACCGTACTTTGTAATCATCAACTTAAGTGACGTTACTCGTATGAATAAAAATTTCTTAAAATAGAATGACTAACATCTTTGTTCAAAGATCGTGAGTTATTGCAAAGAATTTTACGATGAGCGGCTGCTGAAGTGACACATCAGCGTTCTCCAAATAAAATACAAGCGGTACAATAGCCTTCTTATGAATTAATTAATTAAAATTATATTACATAGTAAAAAAAAAATTAAACTAGTGTAAGGTTGCATTTTTATATATTGAACGTTTTAATGGAAAATAATATATTTGACTAATTTGTAATGATTTATGTATAAGGCATTTAGTTATGTGACCTTGGCCGATAGGAATGTGCTTAAAAAAATAAGGGTGCGGATATTCATTTGTTTTCCCGCGCTTTTGCACAGAGGTGTCGGTACCACTGTAGTGACTAGTCACGAATTGTTTGTAATACTGAAAGTTATGGTTATAAATTACGTAACTCACTGACGATTATAAAAGTACTGAATATAAGAATATAAGCAAGGAATATCTCGAAGTTTTATTAGGGATCTTACACTATAATATGTAATATGTTTATATTTATTTTTAAATTCAAATTATTTTTATGTTTGTTTGTTTGGACGCGCTAATCTCGGAAACTACTAAACCGATTTGAAAAAATATTGTTGCATTAGATAGCTCGTTTATTGAGGAGAGTTATAGTTATATATATCATAGCGGAAAAATGTACGGTTCCCTTGAGATAGATTTGTTTTTGTTTAGGAACGAACCCGAAGCGAAGTGACGATGAGTCGCTAGTCTATACATATAATAAAATTGTAACTAAACCGAATCTGTACATTAAATATTTTTTGGAAAATCTTATTAAAATAAACATTATTATCGATACAGAGGCCGAATCTATAGTTTAATCTTAGAATTTTTGTCTATCTGTCTGTCTGTCTGTTACCGCATCACAGAAAAACCACTGGAGGGATTTTGATGAAATTTGGTATGGTAATAGCTGGTTATGCGGATCAACATATAGAATACTTTTCACCGCGGGAAAATGTCTCATTTCTGAGAAAATATACAAAAACTACAATGTAAGAGTATATTAATATGTAAAACTAATTTGGTTTTTGGTCATCTAAACGCGGGCGGAACCGCGGGCAATGCTAGTAATATATTAAAATGAAAGTTCAGGACATAGTGCTATCAAAGTACGATAGGTAGATTCTACGTAACATTGACATAGTAATCTGTGCTCAACTGGCACGCTTTGAAGACATTAACAAGAGAATTGAATCAATAGATAGCACGCCAGTTATACATAGTTTGATATTAATCCGAATAACGAACAATTTTTTTTTACTAAGAAACGTTTATTTACTAAGAAAGTAAAGAATAAATAGTGTAATAAGTAAGTAATTTAGACATATGCTCGTATACGAACACGGTGCAAATATCACATTATACACGGATACCACTGATTGTAAACATATTACAAGTCAATAACAAATATTATAAACTTGATGTCCTCCCAACCGATTTCGGCCATGGCGGCCACTTAATGAGACTAACCAACTGCGTAGGAGATATTATGCCAAAGGGTTCACGCAGACTCAAGAGCACTCTCAATTCCTTTTCAGTACAAAATTACATCGACGAGACCGGTAAGAGTTAAAGAATATATAAATATTTATGTACATACTGTATACTCGATGAAAAAGGTAAAGATATTCTTGGAGCAGTACTTAGAATTACAACCGGAATCACCGTTAAAAGACCATCCTAATGGGGTCGAATGGTTCGCGGTTGCAATGGGCAATATAAAGTCATAAGTTTGACGACACGTTTGGTTTGTAGTGACCCTACTTGCTGTGCCAGCGGTCGCGGGTTTGAGTACCGCTGGGGGGAATTCATTTGTGTGATAATAACGAATGTTTGTAGTCCAGTCTTGGGTGCTTATATTTATATGTATGTATTTAAAGTTATGTATACGTGTATCAACTAAAAATAAAAATTCATGGTTTTTTTTTTATTTTATAATTCATTATTTATTATTATTGTTTTGTTATTAATTTTATATTACAGGCTTATGTCCAAATAAAGTTTTCACAGAAAAGAGCAATTATTGTACGCCCAAAAGTATATATTTTGACTTATTCTACTTTCATACAAAAGGATTTGTGGAGAGAACAGTGATATAAGCAATTTTTTTTTCTAAAATAAAATACATAAATTACTTGGGAGCTAAAACAAACAGTAAGGAGCTTGTCACTATAGAATAAGATCGTTTATATACCTCAGAAGAAACGTTGGTAAATTCGGATTAGTAGTTCCTAAGATTAGCGCATTCAAACAAACAAACAACCAAACTCTGTCTCTTTATAATATTAGTATAGATTTATACTATCTTTACTGTGTTATTTATATTTTTGCTTTTTATAATTTATTTTTTTAGGAAGTGTAAAAACTCTTCAAGTGGACGAATCCAAGATAATTGAACAGCTACTTGGATACATTTGCGGCAAAATCGGAATTACCAATTACGAAGAGTATGGCTTAGTAAGTAGGATATTGTAATCATAACTATAGCTAAAATTGAAATTCAAAATATTTTATGCAGCATTAAATTATTACAATTTTTTACTGAACGTCATGACTCTACTACCAGTTCATAAAGAAGCCTCAGACCTGAGAAGAACTGGCGAAAGAACCTCAGCGGGACTAATATTATTTCTTAAACTTCATCTCTTTTGTTGCTTTGGAATTAAATTAATAAATACATTAATGTAAGAGTCAATTCTATATTAGAGTCATCGATAAAGTTACAATCTCCCTTTATCAGCTGTCATAATATTACTCACACCTTAACTGCCTCGGTGGTGTAATGGCTAGCATGTACGGCTGCACACCCGGAAGTCCTGGGTTCGAGTCTCGGATCGGGCCAAGCTTAGTTATTGAGTCTTTCTGTATATTAAGCCTCAGTAACAGCCCGGAGTTAGAAAGTTGGCGGTGTTTCACCCCCGTGCTCACCCCGTGCCTCGGAGAGCACGTAAAGCCGTCGGTCCTGCGCCTTAACACTCACTGGTCGTGTCGAGTGGTCGTCCCACCAAAGTATGAGAGTGACAGGAATAGAGAGTGCACTTGTGTCTGCGCGTTCACTTGTGCACTATAATATCTCCTACGCAGTTGGCTAGTCTCAATGAGATTGGGCGCCGTGGCTGTAATTGGTTAGGAGAACATCATCATCACTCACATCTTTCACACACATATCTTCCATTACACAGTCCGTCTTAGTCTTTCTCAGTCTGCCTTTATTTCTATATCAAACCAAATTCATACTAAATATTATCCCTCTCTTTCTTATATATTATCATTATTCTTCTTCTCATCTGTTACTCCTTAACATCTCTGTCACTGGTCCTACATTCAACTTTAACTACCTAACGTTTTAGTTATATCCCAAAATGCGCTCATTCTATTTATTAATAAATTCAAATATCAATCTATTAAATGCGACATGAAATATTAAATTTACGTTATTAATTTAATTTTCTTAAAGCTTCAAATTTAAGCGTATTAAAAATATAAATAAAACTATTGTATAGTTATAAAATATTATTTTTAACATTTAGTGTCGCGAAGAAGAAACACAATCTGTGGAGGAGACGAAATCAAACACCGGTACCTTGACTTTGAAAAGGAAGATAAAAAATAAAGATAAGGATGTCCAGCTCGAACAATTAAGTAAGAAACTGAAAACTGATGACAATGGTAAATATTTTATTTATTTTTGACGACAAATTTGGCTCAGTTTGTACTGACCTTACTTGCTGTGTCAGCGGTTGCGGGTTCGAGTCCCTCTGGGGCATTCATTTGTGTGATGAGTACGAATGTTTGTACTCTAGTCATGGGTGTTTATATTTATAATATGTATGTATTTAAATTTATATATGTGTAGTGTATCAACTATCTCATATCCATAACACAAACCTCGTAGCTTACCTTAGAACTAGATGGTGCTATTTGTTAATGTCCCAACATATTTATTCATAAATCAAATTCCAATCACTAAAGGCCTCGGATTAAAACCACACAAAAGTTTGCTTTACCTATCAACTTAATAAGGGAACATTGGACAGTTCTTAAAAAGCCTTGCCAAGGTTATCCTCATGTTACAACCAAAGCAGGCAAAGTAATATATTTACATATGGTGTCACTTTGCAACTGGATGAAGCCGGTTCTTTTTAACGTTTAAACTGAATGCACTATGTTAATATTATAATTTTAAGTATACTAATTATAATTGAGGAAAAATATGAACTTTGCGATGGTTAATTTTGCATATTTCCCCGGAAACTTAAATCTATACATATAATAAAATTCTAACTGAATGAATTTGTACATTAAATATTTTTTGGAAAATCTTATTAAAATAGTCATTATTATCGATACAGAGGCCGAATCGAAAAAAAATAGTATTTAGAATTTTTGTTTGTCTGTCTGTCTGGAAACGCATCACAAGAAAACCACTGGACAGATTTTGATGACATTTGGTATGATGATAGCTGGATATCCGAAATCAATTCGAAATATATGTATACTAAACTTTAAAACGTAAGGGACGAACGACGAGCGAGGGTGAGTCGCTAGTGGGCTATATTAACAGTAGGAATATTGTCACAGTGACTAGTCTCCCTAAGACTGTCATGTACAGCTGAGTTCGTTAACACAACTCATAGATAGTCCAATAGGATAATAATTGGACAAATACGGCCGGAGAGAGAGACGCAAGACAGAAGACCTTACAAAGCGTGACTCAAAACCATAAAAAGCCTGACTCAGGACTCAAACTCAAAATCTAAGGATCTGTCTCGGAGCGGTTTTTAGTTAATTACAATAATATAATTAAAACAATACGTGTATGATGTGTTAGTATAACACAAACTTTATAATTCCAGTGGAATGGCTCGACCAGCATAAAACATTGCGAGAGTGTGGAGTTGACACAAAAGAGACGTTACTATTCAAACGCCGTCTGTACTATTCAGACCGCAACGTAGATTCTCGGGATCCAGTACAACTGAACTTGCTTTACGTTCAAACTAGAGACGCTATTTTGAATGGGAAACAAGTTGTTACAGAAGATAAAGGTGTGTACCTAAATCAAAATATTCAATAATGGTATTGAAATTTTAAGTTAACTGATTTGATTGATTGATTTTTAAGTTGAATGATGCTTACATACAATTTTAAATAAATTAAATATTCCCTTTAAGTCGATTTTTTCCATTAAGTCGACTTTAAAATAAAGCTTCACCAGAAGCTTTTATTTTCTTATATTATTCTTTTTTGCACTTAAAAACAAATACAGTTAAAATATTGTTTTAATAATATACTTTGAAATTGATCAAAAATGTTTTTCATTTTGAGGCATCAAAAACAATATTAATTGGTGTTTCTTTTTAAATGTTAACAAATCCACAAATTAATAATATTTTTAAATTTAAAATAATAGTTTAAATCTTAAAAACATACATATATTATAAGTCAGTATATTAAAGAAATATATTTAATACTTTAAATTATCCTCACTGTATTTAATAATATAATATATTATAATTTACGTGCAACATAGGTATGTCACTGAATTGCGGAAAGTGTTGATTTTTGATGGTATATTTATACCATGTAATTATTTTCCTTGTATAAAATAATTATTAATTATTATTGTTTTTGCAAGCAATTGTTTGTTTTACTTTTAACATTATTAGAATATATAATGATTATATCATCATCTAGTTAATCTGTACTAATATTATAAAGAGGCAAGATTTTTTTGTTTGTTTGTACCGAACAAGCTCCGAAACTACTGTATCGATTTAGATGAAATTTGGTAAGAACATAGTTTGAGACTCTAGGAAGGACATAGGATAGTTTATATATCACGGAAATCATCCCTTAAGGGAGTGAAAATGGGAATGAAATTTTGCATGGAGAATCAATCTATTGAATAAAAGCATGTCTATCTTATTTTAGCGGCTGAATTCGCGGGGATTCAATGTCAAATACAGTATGGGGATTTTATAGAAGAGAAACACAAGCCTGGATTTATAGAAAAGTAAGAAGAAGAGTCTGTTATAAATCAAAATTAAACGTAAAACATTTTATAATAATTATATCATTTTATAATGGTCCATGACGAAGCTGTTAAAAATAAGGATCTGTAGAGGAAAAATGGACTAAAGTTATATTCATAATAACATCCCATTTTTGCAGTTTTATCTGCGTGTATATTTTAGTCCATTACTAAATACGACGCCCGTCATACTTCTTTATAGGAATAGGAGCACGTGGAAAATAACACTTCCTTGGAATTGACTTGAACAATTTTTATAAAAATTATAACTTTATATTTCTTAATGGATGTTGTTATGATTAACTTTTTTTTATAGGAGCAAGGTACAATTAATTTAAAAAAAACGCGTTCCACTTTTTAAATGAGGTGGTAGTTTATGAAAAATAACGTTGTAATTTTAATTTCACTTTTATAAATAAGTCAAAGTAAAAAAATATTTTTCATACTTTATAGCAAATGCTAAAAGAAAACAAGTATCTTTTTCTTAGGTTTTATTTTAAATATCTAAAATAAAAATTATATTATGTTTTAGTTTAAAAGAATTCCTGCCGGAGCAATACTCAAGCTCTTGGTCTGTTGAAAAAAAAATTATAAAAGAACACCGAAAACATAATGGGTTAAGCCAGATCGAGGCGAAGCACCTTTATACCAAAACAGCAAGAGAACTACCGACTTATGGAGTGACATTCTTCTTGGTTAAGGTATTGTTTGTTATTTTTGTTATTCTTCCTTGCGTACTTAAATGTCCGTATTTCGCCAGACATTGAGACAATGCGTATTACAAACCTCCACGACTATAACTAAATGAAATATTTGTATGCCCTAAAATTCTTTATCAATATTTTTGAAATACACTTAACGTAATTTGATTAATTGTTACAAATTACAAACACAATAAATCAAAAACTTTGTATATAGCCAAGATAATTGGTCCTGTAGAATGATAGAATCCTAATGCTAAAAATATTATTTATAATACAGGAAAAACAAAAAGGAAAGAAGAAGCTAGTACCAAGATTGTTAGGAATCAACTCAGAATCAATCTTGCGTCTCGATGAGGAAACTAAAGAGATCCTGCAAGTGTGGCTTCTAACTCAAGTGAAATCGTATCGAGCTGGTAGTGAATCCTTCACTTTGAATTTTGGTGACTACAGGTATGCTATTTTGTGCCATCAAACACTTATTTTCTAGACATAAACGTGTACATATTGTGACAAAGCTTTCAAACTTCTATTTTTTCATGAAAGAAAGGCCAAGAACGATAGATCAAGACGTATATTATATGACAACTATTATGATTTAGCTATGATGTCACCATTTTGTCTACAGCGACGCTACCAATAAAATACAAGAAACCAATATACCGCTGTCCTAGTTTCCAATAACTTAAAACGTTTCATAGCAGATAAAAAATAAAACTTTAGGAAAATATTATAATATATACTTACGCAATTTAAACATTTTAGCGAAAAGGAATATGCGGTGAAGACTAATGACGCTTATCGTATCAGAGACATCTTGCAAGGCTACATTGATATTATCCGCAAACGCTTAGCTGCACCCTACAACGTGTCTTTTACTGAAGGAGAAGCTATTTTCGAAGATATGGTGGAATCGTCGCGGTAAGAATCAAATTCTTAGTTTATATCATGACCTGACATTTGAATTCATAACGGGTTAGAAGTATTCATGTTGGATTTGAAGTTAGAAAGAGAGGGAAAACAAGGTCAGATATCATAATTCCGTAATAAATAAAAATTATATAAAACATATAGGTCTCAAATTACGTATGTATGTATAAGCACCAAAACAGATAAATAGAGTTTTGCTTTTTAATATGTAAGGATATAGTGATTATAATATAGTTAAGACAGATTTTTCTGCCAACGTCTACACTACACAATACAGTATACATGGTTAATACAAAAATAAATATAATAGTAATGTTCTACAAAATTTACTTAAGTCATTCGGTCTGAAATTTTTTTTTTATCTAGAGGTACAATAACGCAAACCGTGGTCCCTCGTAAGGTGCAAGAGCATTCACTTGTGGGACCGAATGAGATAATATCAGTAGACCAAGGTGAGGTACAAATGTCATTTTTAATTATAATTCTTTTTTTTTCTTCTTCTTCTTGAATTATCTTAGTTTAGTTCTCAGTTCCTGAGATATCCCTGCTTTATAAATATTACAATTGTTCACGAAAATGTTCTAGACCTAACAGCTCAACACGCAATGTTTTTAACAATACATTTCGTTTTCACGATTCACATTTTATTTAAAAAAAATAAGTAACTTCACATGCATTTTTTTCTTATTATTAATTTTGTTTTTTTTTTATTTATTCAGGTCATCAGTCTCAACAAGGTACTAGAATCGTGACTGTCCATGAGATAATTACAACAACCAGATCAGATAGGACGCAACAAGCAATGGTGAGTAAAATATTCGTCACTTTAGGAACGGAATATTCATTGTAAGACGAGAAATCGAAGTACTACCACCAGCACCACCACCACTTATAGTAGTTCACGAACACTCGCAGTTCACTTATTATTTTGGCTTAACTAAGTCACTGAGCACTATTTTCCACCACAAGCCGCACTTGCTCTGTCACTTCACTCTAAGAATTCCTTTCTAAAAAATGTTTCGTTTCTTACTCACGACCATTTGCGATGCTTGTCATTCTCATGAATATATATATATATATATATTACATGATATATTATAAAGATTGCAATTATTCATAAGTCCCTTCTTGAATTATTATTAGTGTAAAGACATTACGCACTCTCCACTATTTTTCTTTTTATTTCATTACCGGACATATATCTCAAACAACAATAAAAACAATTATTTGAAATTTTAATACTTATTAAAATTATTATTTAACTTGTACCTTTATGATATATTTTTTTTCAGCGTGGTGAATTTAGGAACAGCAACTCACCTCATGAATTTGGCAAGAAGTTAAACCATCTTAACTCAGAGGCAGTAAAGGCCGTAGTTTTGCTCTCAGGTATAATAATAATTATTTATTTTTTCTTAAATTATAAAAATCAAATATCGTTACATTTCTAATGTTAATTAATTTCTTTTGGAAAGTAAAAAAATAAGTTTTTCTGTTTATTTTAGATCCTACCAACGAAAATATTCAAGCAGTTAGAAGGATTGTTGCTTGTTTTGAAGATGATCTTCCCGGTATTATTAAAGGTAAAGCTTCAAGTAAAGGAAGAGCTTTAAAACCAATTATTCCATAAAGAATAATTATTTCATCTTTAGGGGAGATTTATATAGCGGCAAGGCATAAATATAACCTATTTGTTACAAGCAGATTTATAAAAATGCATTGCATGTATTAGAAAAATAAAAAACTTACAGAACAATTAAGTACTTTATCTTTTTTGAATTCGCTAAACCTCGCGTAATTTAGCGTTAAGATTATATATACATATAATACATCATTAGCTCAGCTTCCCAAAGTAGATCTAGGTCACCGACACTAGATTCCGCTATTCTTTTCTATCCTGAACAGTTTTATTTAAAAAGACCTGCGGACGTCCAACAGGACGGCGTCCACTTGGACACTCTAAGTATGGTTTCTCTCCATATGATTCTCTATTACTTTCGTCGATTATGTTGGTCTCGGATATTAGTTCTTCAATTTCTTTATAAGATAATATAATATTCTTTTACATTTGAAAATAGGTGCTAATGAAGCTGCTGCAGGATTAAAAGAAGAAGAATCAAAGAAACTTCTAGATGAGCTGGACGAGTTATGTGCCTTCATGAATACATTAGCCGCGACCACTAAAAGAAGTGACCTGGTACGTATTATACACCATACTTCGTCAAAGGAAATTCTCTATCTTGCTTTGTACTTGTAAGAATACCTTACATATACATATACGAGTAACACAGGTGTGAACTAAGACTTTTTTTTTAAATCCTTAACTGCTTTAGTTGTCGTCGAAATTTTGCAAGTTTTAAACATAAAAATTGATGAAACAGCTACTGTTTATATTGTCAATGGATAATCCCATCGAGTCATATATTTGTCGTTCTATAAATAACAATATAAATATTTTAGCATGATCCGGATAATCTGATGACAGCTCAAGATGCTGCCAGAAAGATCGCCGAACTTTCTACTCAAATGTGCTTCTCTCTGGACCCGAAAATTAAAAGATGTAGTAAAATCTTATCCGTAAGTTTTTGCTAGCCTATTTTACTAATTTATTACAAAATTCTTTTCTGATATTTTAATTTAAATAATAAAAAACACCACAATGTTATTTTATTAATATTTTTATTTTTCAAATCGGCGGAACTACATAGTTATCAAATTAAGCTGTAATATAGGGATAAAAAGTTATTTGAAATTATTTTTGTATTCATTTTAATGCGAAGCGATTTATTGGTGACCATAATGGATGAATGGATTTACTCTTGATAGTAAACATTAAATAGTTTGAAGAAATATTATTATAGTGATTATTAATTTAATATATTCCATTCATTTTAAAAGCGATCCCGGAAGAGCTTTATCTTGGATGATAAAACAGAAGCTTCTCTCAGACGAGCTTCCTTCCTGAACGCAACTGACAATGCGTGTCGGGCAGTGGAAGAGGCGCAAAATGATTTAGAGGAAGTAAGATATGATTTACTACATAATTTTACTTATTTAGGATAGATTCAAGTAACGTAACGAGTTAAAAGTCTTTAGAAATAGGCTTCCTATAAGAACTGATAATATATTTTAAATAGTTAAACATTTGATTGTACGTCCGATATCGGACAAATGGACCATTATCTTCAAAACTAAGCTTTCTTAGCTTACGAAACTACTTTCTTGAGTGATTTTAAACAATTATAGTTTTATAAACTAAAAAAAGGAGAACTAACAGGAAGCATGCTACAAAAAGAGAACGTACGTAATTTTGGTGTGCTTATTTATTTTGTGGACGTCTCATGTCCTTTGATTTTGCTTATTAGGGTTTCATGAAGGAAAACTATTTCCTCATAATGTTTTTCTTCACCGTAAAGCAAGTCTTAACATGTTTGAGAGGTGTGAGATCCAGATTTTAAGCTCGCATCACTTGATTTTCTAAGCCACATTATCGATAACCTCTCACCACTACCTATGTTTGTATAGATTAGCTACGCTACTGCTATGATTAGATTAGCATATTTTATATTTTTTATTTTCAGGAGTATCACGGACCTCGTCTTACTGAAGATCAAATAAGAGATTTAGAAAGGAAAACTACTGCTAGAATGGGGAAGTTAAATGCAGCCATCGCTTTACTTATGAACGCTCATGCTGGTAGATTATAAGCACATCTTTTTTATCTGCTAATAGGTTTCAATTTTAATATTTATATCTTATCTCAATTTGATAAATTAAAGTTTTTTTTAACTTTTCAGATCCAAGAAACATTGATTATGAAATGGCTGTAAATTCAATGAAAACAATTAATGAAATAATGCCGGGTTTGATCAAAGGTATTGTTTTGAATGAACATGTAACTAATACCATTTTTTATTATAAGCTAATAACATCGCTTCTACAAAAATATATATGTTTGTAAGTTAAAAACATTAACAAGCAAATTCCGATGCTTAATTAACGTACTCTTATAGGAAGATCTTTAGCACATCCCAATTTCGTAATAGTAGCTACTCATACATATAAAGCGCACTGGGATTTATACAAGTAATAACGTTGCCTGCTGCCCCGCCTACGTAATTGATTTGTGTGTAACCAGAATAGCTTATCTGTATCTCTTTAGCAGTCAAAAACATAGAACTTTAATATAAACTTTCGATAGCCTTTAGACCTTTTAATTCGGCCCTGTCAAAAAATTTGTTCATAGCTGGCATTTTCTACTTATACTTGTAAACAGTCAAAATTTCAACATCATACGTCAAATAATGTCCTGGTGATTTTTCTTTTACTTATTTTACATATATACACAATAATGTAATGACACCAATTCATATTTGCACTATAAGTGATTTAAGAAGTATTCAGTAAGTGAGTAACAATAACCATAAATCAATTTTTGAACAAAAATAAAAAATAATGTAAGTAATGCTGAAAAATATATACTCCATGTAATGGTAATATTTTAGATGCTAAACCACTTATTGCGAATGGAGACGAAGATACTAAAAGGAAGCTTAGAGACCAAATAATTCAACTGCTCAATGGTACTCGGGCTATGTGCATGCTTACTGGATCTGATGATATTAGCGTGAGTAAAAGTAAACTACATTATGATATGGTTTAGCCATTTTCCTATAATATCAAAACAAATAAAATAGAAGGGTGAGGATTTCTTGACAGAAAAACCTAATAACTATACTTGGTCCCGAGACTTGAACCAAGGACCTCCACTCTCTAGCTGCTAATATAATTTATAATTTTCATTGCTCTAAATTAAATTTTGTATACAATTTTTAGAAATTGCAAAATACCGGAAATGATTACGCTGATATATCTAAAAAGCTTATATTCACATTTAACCGCCCAAATCGTGCGAACCCTGAAGGTGTTGCCATGCACGATAAGGAAAATGAGGTAAGACTTTACTTACTATTATTATTTTGTTTAAGTCCACTTTGTTTAATTTAACAAATTCACTTGAAAAAATATACTCAGATTGTAGTAAGTTATCAATCGGGTAAAAGTTAGTTATTAGCATTATGTTACAGATAGGTAATGATTGAAAGTTTTGCCATAAGCAAAATAAATTATAGAAAATTTATATTACCAACTAAAAGTTTATACTGTGTGATATGTGTAATATGTGTATGTAAATCGGTATGTTTTTAGTATGGAATAATTACACTACGGGTCTTAACGCGTGAATTCGTAAGTGGCTATATACTGTTAAGTCCGGTAATGTAATTACTACATAATTATGAAACGCGATAATTTAAAAAGTTGTATGTTTTCATGTTGGAAACGCTTAACTTAAAAGGATTCATAATTAAAATATTAATAAATATATATTTTTTCTAAAAATCCTAGATTGTGCAGTTGGCCAAAGATGTTGGAGAGAAAGTATCATCTCTTCTGACTCTAACCAACGAACTCGCTAATTACGATCCTGATGATCCTCAAACAATTGATTTGGACACCGCAGGTGCCAAATGTGCTGACGCCACCCAAGGACTTTTAGCTTGTACCAAAGTATGTTGTCAACATGTAATTTTTCCAATTTTGTTCTACTACAGTCACTATATTAATAAAATTCTATGTACATACAGCTTACAGCACCCTTGATCGAAGAACCTCATTGCCAGAGTGCACTGACAGCAGCCGCAGAGAACCTTTCATCATCAGTTCAAAATGTAGCATTGGTTTGCAAACCTTTAGTAGAGAAACCTGGTAGACTAGGACTAGCTAAACAATTAGCTGATAAGTCATTCGATCTTGCAAAAGCTTTAGATAAATTGAAGAGTTCTTACGGCCACTTGAATAGTACGTAACTATTATTATCTATTACAAAAAATGTACTTAAAATCATAAATAATATAAACGTTTTGTGAAACATGTAAATCCTAAATAATGTTAGTTATTATTTCAGATGATATGCAAACTGTTGAAGAAGATGATACAGACATGCAAGAACAAAAACGTCTCCAATTCATAATCAGCCCCAAAGTGGCAAAAGACTCTTTAACGGATGCCCATAATCAATTACAAAAACTAATTAAAATGCCAAACATAATGGTAATAATCAATAAGAAAAATGTAAAATGTGAAAATCGTGAAGATAATTCCTGATTTAATTTTATTTATTTCTTTTTTACACAGGATCCAACAAATGATAAGAAATTGAAAAACTTAGACGCTCAGCGATTGTTATCTCAAAAAATGGCAGAATTGAATGCTGCCATTGCATCTTTGTTGCAATCTACGGCTGGTAAGCGTAAAAAGCGCGTTAAAGTGTTTTCTTTCTTACGTATATTTCTAGTTCTTACTATGATTAGCACGTCTGGTAGATGTATTTCTACGGCATCGTATCTGCTAATTATGCTAATCAACAAACAACAATTAATATTTTGATATTCAAGATATAAATCGAAGGGATATTATCAAATGTTTTTCGGTCTTAGCATGTACTTAGTATTAACCCAAAGCGTATATTTTGAAGATTTTAAACATTAATATCTCTTTATAACATTCTTTTTCTTGTAGAAAACCTAAAGATGCCCTAAAAATTAAGTAATTTTGTAAAAGAGACCATTTTTTTTATTTCATAAACTTTTTCTTTTAAGATCCAGAAAATCCTGATACTGATTCAGCTATAGCTGCTATTGAAGCAATTACTAAATTGACACCGAATATAATTAATGGTAAGAAATGTCAAAGTAGCATTGGATAATAAAAGCCTTTCTATAATTCAAATTATCAATATTATTATAATAAAATTTCAATAATTCTTAAAATATATTAACTGAAGTAATTCTGTTTTAGACACAAAAGATTTACATGGGACTGTAAATGAAAACGAATGGAATAATATAATGAAAAATCTCAAAGACATGCTCGAAGCAACGCAAGATATTTGTGCAAAAGCTGAAGATGGCAATGTTGAAGTAAGAATAACATCATTTTTATCTAATAGGTTCATTTACTAAAAAGATTTCGGAAAATAATATTTTATACTTATTTACCAGGAACTGAACGAATCTGCATCTAAAATGGCGAAATCTTCTGGTAGATTAACATTTGTATTCAATCCTCGCAGAAATTCAAGGAAAAAAGATGAGGTGTGTATTTAACATAAAATTAATTACATTTAAACAAGTAGATAAATTAATGCGAACGTGAAGTAAAGAATCAGACGATACGTACCGAGGGTTCAGTACCACTAAATATTAATTTTGTGGAACAAACGTAATTTTATAAGTTAAAAATAATATGTTTGCACATAATATGTGAGAAATATTTATATTTATCGATGGCATATTTAAAACATTTGTATTTCTTAGTATTTTATAAAGATATTATTAAAAACAAAGTTATTTTCTGTGTTAAACATGAAGTGGCACGAAAAATATCCCATATCTTAAAAACTACTCAATTTATTGTGTTTTTCAATACTATTTTCCTCCAAAATTCCTATATATTTTGGCTATGGCACTCTAAAAAAATTAATAGGAAATATATAAAAGAGATTTGACTGTTTATTTTAAATACTTCTTTATTTAGATTTTAGATTTATCAAAATTAGCCGTTGGAAAGGCTTCAGAGTTACAACCTAAATTAGAGTCTCTTGCCCAAAATATTGATGTAGAAGAAGGTAATTTGTTGAAATCCACTGGTGCTAAGATGATAGATGATGCAGAGCGTCTTTTGAAAACTGCTGAGGTAACGTGAACTTTACTTATCATATTTTAAATAAATTCACAAAACTTATCAAAATCATTTTTAATCGAAGATGAAAGTACATACTCGCTTTCAAATACAAGTACCTTGTCGATACCTCATTTTGCATCAGATATTTAGGTATTTCATGGAAACCAAACAATAGCACAGAATACAACCCCATTACTTACGCCTTTCTTTCTAGATTGGCATCAAAAAATAACAAAAAAACATATCGCAACTCGCTTGTATAATATTAGCGAGAATTAAACAGAATATGTTTTTACCATTAAGCCATTCATCATATATTGATGATTTGATTATAAGATACTTGTCAATTTTTAGGTAATAGCACCAAGTATTGATGACTCCAGATGTCAAGCTGCGTTATTATCTGCCATAGATCGTCTTTCAGAACGTGCTCGGCAATTACATAACTTGTTGGAACTTTCATCTTCTCAGCATGGCCATCCTGGAGAAGATATCAAACATGACTTGAAGCAAATACAATCAACTCTTGATAAATTGCAAGGAGCTGTACAGTATAACAGTGGTACTTTTTGATTTTTATGTTCTTTGCCCTAAAAATAGTCAAATATTACTGTCTATTTGATTTCACTATGTATTTGCATTCCATTATATTTATGGATATTAGTCATTATTACCATGCATAGAATTACATCCTTGAAATTGTTTTATTTTCTGTAAAATATAAATAATATTGTTTTTTTTAAGAAAATGGAAATGATAGTCATCATGGAACACACGATGACGTAAAACAACGGCTTCAGTTCATTGCTGCACTGTCTAGAGCTAAGAATGCTGTGATTGATGCAGATAACGAATTAAAGGACGTTAATAATAAACCATTCGTTAAGGTAAAAACATGTTATTTCACTTAATAACATTTAGCAAAATATACCTGAAGAACGTATTTAAGAAAGTATAATAAATGATTTTTTTCAGTCGAAACAAATTGAGAAGCTTAATTTACCAGCCACTAGGAACTTACTGGCAGAGAAGTTGGCACGACTCAATGCTGCAATAGCAAATCTCTTACAAGCAACTTCAGGTAATATATTCAAATATTTTAAAAAAATAACTAAATTGATATTAATTTTAGTCGTAAACTGTACTTTGTTTTGTACATTAGCATCTAGAAATATTAAGTTCTTGGTATAAATTTAAGGGTTTTTGAGTACATTTTTATCTACTTTTTGTTGTTTTGTGGCTTATAGATAATGAAAGACCCGATTTGGAGGCAGCTGCAGCGGCTATAAATACTATCTCTAGTGTTACTCCAGATGTTATAAAAGGTAAGTAAGTGAAGTCCCTTTGAAACTTATACATGTATTGTATAAAATATTACGATTACCTCAGCAGTTTTAGCGTAATTTATAGCAGGACTTAGACTTGTATCCTATGTGTTTCCATATATCTACCATATGGTAGATATATGGAAAGAGACTATTGAATGTGATATCTTTTATATGATTATTTATTATTTCATAAATTAACACATTTTAGACGTCAAGACTCTACAAGGTTCTGTCGACGATAAATCATGGGCTGAGATTATGGAACACCTCCAAACTATATTAGATGCCACCAATGATATGTGTTCCAATGGTGAAGATCCACAGGTAAAAAACATGAATAAAGGAAAGACAAATTATAAATTAATAAATATTTTTTTAATTTGCATTAATGTTGTTTTTACTACTATCATGATCAATTTTATACGCTTAAGACAATATTTTTGTATGGAAGACTTTACTATGTACATATAATTTTTGGAATGATATAAAGTTCATTATTCTTCTATACTAATGAACACTAAAAATATAGAATATTTTATAATGTTCACAAAATAGTAATATAAACATTTTCCAAATATTCAGAATACAGGTGACGCGTCAATTAGGCTGGCTAATTCTGTTGGACGCCTAACATATGTAATAAACCCACGTAAAAACGCTGACAGGGAAAATCAGGTAAGTTCTCTTTTTTAATACCTTTATTATTGTACCAGGTACAAAAGGACATTTGTATGTAGGATCATGTCTCATTGATGAAAGAGCTTATAGCAAAAAATGGGATGAATGAGAATTATAAAAAGCGTTATAAGAAGCAAGTATAGATAAATTGAAAAAAAAAACATAAGAAAAATGGGGGTGAAATCAAATATGATGAATGTTAGAGATGAATGGAAGAAGCGGATATATTGTGCCGACTACTCATAGGTGATATGAGAGTAAGACAAGGATATTAGAAAAAATAATTTCATCAATTCATTACATATTTTTTGTTTCTTTTTTTGTAGATTTTGGATTTCTCAAAGAGTGCTGTGGAGCAAACGTCAGCAATGTTATCTAATGTTTACCAACTCATAGAAGATGTTGGTGGAGATGATGGAGAGAAATTGGACAAAGCTGGAGTCAAAGTCGTGGACTCGGCACAAATGCTGCTAAAAACAGCTGAAGTATACATTATTTTTATTGATTTAAATTAGTTAAAAAATTACTTTTAATTACCTTATTGTGTTTATAATATTCAGTGTGCAAATATGTCAACCTAAGACGATCTCCTCATATAAATGTATAAATCTCATATAAATCATTATTTATTCTATTCTAAGTTCCATACTTATTCATTGTTTTTAGATTTCCTCAGTCTTCTTTTTCTCATTTTGCTATAGCAACTATTTTCTCTGTAACCAAACTAAAATATAAAAACCTGTTTGTTTTATAATTTCTCAGATAACTGCACCTAGTATGCAAGACGACCTTTGTCAGGTAGCATTACTGTCCGCAATAGATCGTCTTTCTGATCGAGCGAGGAATTTGCAAAATGCTTGGAAACCTCTATCCGCGTCTCCAAAGTATCACCAAACTGGAGAACATCTTGACCAAAACTTAAAAGAAGTTGAATTCACTTTAGATAAGTTAAGAGAAGCCTGTAAAGATGTCGGAGGTATGAAAAAAAGATTTCTTTATCCTAATATTGCCCACCTATAAACGTACCGTTTATTTTTTTAATTATTAATTTGAACAACTCTTTGAACTTAGGGAAGCAGTCCTACAAATCTTAGATTATATCATTTATCTAGATAGTATCTTTTAACTTACCTCGGTGATGTAGTGGCTAGCATGTACGGTTACACATCCGGAGGTCCTGGGTTCGTGTTCCGGGTAAGGCCAAGTTTGGTTATTAAGTTATTTAGTTAGTTGCTTTAAGGCCTTCACCAAATTATTATTTTTCTCAACCTCTTAGTTTCATTGTGTCAAAATTTAACTTGTTTTTACTTTAAAAGGACAAGAAAATGAAAGTCACCAAAGAACACAAGAACAGGAGAAACAACGACTTCATTTCAATGCTACACTGGCTAGAGCTAAGAATGCTGTGATCGATGTCGATAAGGAATTAAAGGACTTTATTAATAAACCGTTCGATAAGGTAAGAAATATTATTTTATAATGCAATAACATTTGAAAAAATATTCCTAATGAAGATTAATATTTATGAAAGTCTGGTAAATGTATTTTTTTCAGTCTAAACAATTTGAGAAACATAATGTACCAGCCACCAGGAACTTACTGGCAGAGAGGTTGGCACGACTCAATGCTGCAATAGCAAATCTGTTGCAAGCAACTTCAGGTATTTTATTTAAACATCTTTATAATAATAAAAATTAGCCAGGAATGTATTTTTATTGGCACAATACTTCCTTAGGCTTACACAAATATCAGAAATTTTAAATTAACTATTTTTTTAAATCATTAATAATTTTAGAAATGTTTTTCTCATAAAACTTTTTCATGTGATGTTATTATAAATTATAGATAATGAAAGACCCGATTTAGAAGTAGCTGCAGCGGCTATGGAGACTATCTCCAGTGTTACTCCAGATGTTATAAAAGGTAAGTTGAGAAAAGTTATTATTAATATTACATATATTATAATGTTTCATGCAGTAACGTAATAACAATGACTTGCTAGGCTATAAGTATTTTGGGTGACTTTTTACGTGCTATCATATTATTAAAACGCAGAATTTAATCTATTTTGGTCCAAAAAGTTTTGTGAAACAAAATGATAATTGCAGAAATACCTCATGAGCTAGCTAATTTTTGTAATTCTAATAGACCTAGTACTAACCGGGAAAAATTCAGAAAATATTCACCTATGTGATCTTTTCCATAAAAAAACCACTCACCTTCTTACGTATTAACTTTCATATATAATATTGTAGATGTTAAGGCTCTACAAGGTTCTGTTGACGATAAATCATGGGCAGAGATTATGGAAAATTTGAAATCTATACTTGATGCAACCAAAGATATGTGTTCCAGTAGTGAAGATCCTCAGGTAATAAAAATAGAAAAATAAATAATGTTACATAACTACTATTTCTCTTATAATGTAATAAGAAATGTGATATATATTATACAAATGTTAGGAAATGTTAGGAAATGTTGACTAATTTTGACCATGTTTGTCATTTCATGGACCTAGATGCCACCAATACGGTTTTTATAGTAAAATCATGTTACACAGAGAGTTTTCTATATTATACCTACTTGTGCGTGTAACATACAGATTTGATTATACTTTGTAAACCTATAAAGTACAGTACGCTAATTTCGGTAATGGTATAGTAAATACTAAAACAAATATGATTTTAGGCTATCACTGATTCGTCAATGAAGCTTGCGAACTCTGTTGGACGCCTTACATACGTGATCAACCCACGAAAAAGCGTAGAAAAGGAAAATCAGGTACACCTTACCTAATTATTATTAATCAGATATTTCATTTTGATTTAGTGCAAGTTATAAAATAAAAAGTGTATATGTTAACTGAAAGCTATTTATAACAAAACCTTCTTTCTTATAATAAAAATAATACAAAGTAATTAATGGTAAATATTTACTGGTTTTATTACGTTTTGTATAGATTTTGGATTTATCAAAGAGTGCTGTGGAGCAAACGTCAGGAATGCTATCTAACGTATACCAACTGATAGAAGAAGTTGGAGGAGTCGAGGGAAATAAATTAGACGAAGCTGGAGTCAAAGTCGTGGACTCGGCCCAAGTACTTTTGAAAACAGCTGAGGTACATATATATATATCGAAATCTACTAGAAATTTAATACATACAAATATGAAAAAATAAATTATTTTCACAATATCCTATTATAGATTCAACATATCCTTTTAATGTAATAAAATTAAAAAAAAATGTTTCTTGAAAGACGATTTTGTTTCAATTGACTTTAAAAATATTAATAAAAATACAGTGTTTGCTACCCCTGGTGGGACTCGAACCCACAATCCCCGGCTTAGGAGGCCGATGCCTTATCCATTAGGCAACAGGGGCTGATCGAGAGAGTAACTAATTAGAAGAAGTTAAACGCAAATAAGTAGATATAAAATTAATTTTGAATAATAGCCTTAAAACAAATAAAAAATAAACAAACACAAAACGACTTTTACAATAGTTTTTTCCACACTACCTACCAGATACATCGACCAAATCAGATATGCTGTTAAGATTTATATTATGTTGTTAGAATTTGCTCTGTTACTTCTTCCTCTTCCTTTTTTTACTCAAGCACCATAATTTTATTTAGAAAAAGTAATTAATAAATGTATTTTTAATTAACTAATTTAATTTTTTCTCAGATAACTGCGCCTAGTATGGAAAACAGTCTTTGTCAGGCGGCGTTACTGTCAGCAATAGACCGTCTTTCTGATCGAGCGAGGGATTTGCAGAGTGCTTGGAAGCCTATAGCCACATCCCCAAAATATCATCAAACTGGGGAACATCTAGACCAAGATTTAAAAGAAGTTCAGTCTACCTTAGATAAGTTAAGAGAAGCTTGCCGGGCAGTAGTTGGTATGAAAAATTACATAAAATATTTTATTCTTTTACACAATCTCAAAATAATATTTACTATCTATATCTAGTATCTTTATTATAGTGTTAGTGATAAGTTCTTTATTTTTAGGGTTCCGTAGCCGAAGGGTGCCAACGGAACCCTAAAGCCTCCGCTGTCCGTTCGTCCGTCTGTCAAGAAGGGCTGTATCTCATGAACCGTAATAGGTAGAGAGTTGAGATTTTCACAGAGTAACGATGTAGTTCTATTGCGGCTATAACAACAAATAATAAAAATAAATAAAAATAAAAATACAAGTAACATTTTTTTAACGTTCGTAATCGATCATTAAAGATAATATATTATATACATAGAGTAAAAGTCATATTAATAAAAAGAACATGTACGATGATATGGAATCCTACCTGTGCGAATTCGACTCGCACGTGACCGATTTTAATTTTTTATAAGACATTGCTATGTTTGTAACAATGGGAACTTATTCTAAAATCATTAGCTAGTGAGCCAGTTTTGTAATAAAATTATCATATAGTTATGAAACGTAACATATCACACTAGCATTGCCCGCGGCTCCGCTCGCGTTCAGATGACCAAAACCCAAATTCCTAGATTTTACATATTAGTATACTCTTACATTCTGCAATATAAGTTTTTTTTCTCAGATATGAGATATTTTCCCAGGGTAAAAAGTATCCTATATGTTGACACGGATAACCAGCTTTCACCACCAAATTTCATCAAAATCCCTCCAGTGGTTTTTCTGTGATGCGGTAACAAAATACAGATGTTAACATGTTTGTAATAACTAAACACAACTATCCAAAATATACACCCATAAAATCTAAGCGACATTTGATCCAACCACCCTTCAATGATTATCAAAATATCAACCCTTATTGTTTATTAGGTGAAAACTAGATACCGATTCTGGGTACATATGGAAGGAATACAGATTCCAGTTATTGGATTACTAGTCTACGCTCTAGCTGGCTTCCGAGATGATTTAATAATGGTTCAGGGTCTGCGTGGCCTCGATTAATTTGGCATTTCGGTTTGCCCTAAAGTCAATTGTTTGCAATTACACCAGTTGACAGACGGACAGACAAAAATTCTAAAAACTATAGATTCGGCCTCTGTATCGATAATAATGTTTATTTCAATAAGGTTTTCCAAAAAATATTTAATGTCAGATTCGGCTTAGTTACAATTTTATTATATGTATAGCTTTATCTTTAAATTTAATTACAGAAGATAAGCCTGTGAAAGAAAGTGACGAACAGAAAAAACAACGACTCCAGTTCGTCAGAACATTATCGGACGCTAAGAGCGTAATAATTGAGGCAGACAATGAATTAAAAAATGCTGCTTATACTACGTCGAACGTAAAGGTAATTAAAAAACTTACTATTATAAATGTATATGTATATTTAATGCCAATTGATGTTTTATCCTTATTTTTCATCTATTGGCTTAATAAATTTCGATTCTTGAAGTGATTTTGTTGGGGAAATAATAATATGTTATAAAATAATATATTGAGACATTAACACACCGCACCATCTAATTCCATGGGAAGCTACGAGGCCTAGGTTATGGATACCAGATAGTTGATACACTACACATATATAACTTTAACTTCATACATATTATAAATATATACACCCATGACAGGAGTACCAACATTTATGCTCATCATAAAAATTAATGCCCCCAGCGGGACTCGAACCCGCGACCTCTGACAAAGCAAGTAGGTTCACTACAAACTGAGCCAAACGTCTCGTCTAATAAATGTTTGTAGCAAATGTTACCTATACTTGTAGTATTATTTGAAAAAAATGCCAATCCCAAGATGTTTATACATTATATAAGTCGTTCATAAATTGTATATCCTTGAATATTTTAAAAACAATTCGAGTTGTTTATCTCAATGTTTGCTTTGGCTTAACCGAACCGGTCGAAATACCTCAAGTTGAATTTAGGGGTCAAGGTCTTAGGGCTGTATATAAAATATATTTTTTTATAATTTACAGTCATTAAAGGACAAAAACAATGCTCCTGCGTTAAAAAGTCTTCTATCTCAGCGACTGGCAGAATTGAATGCTGCTATAGCTAGCTTAATACAAGCAACATCAGGTGATTAAGAATTATTGACAATTAATATTCACACTCTAACATACTAGTTTTTATTGACATTAATTTTTTTATACTTGTTTACGTCACGATAGTGAATCACTGAACTAATATTAACTTTATTAAGAAATAAAAAATTGTATAATATTATCATGATGACATCATTGTTTTCTAAGAAACTTCCACACTCAAATTACAAATGTATTGGTAACGCCTTTTTTTAACAGACAAGTTTTTTTAATTACTATATTAAGACTTTTGTTCATTATAACATTTAACAGGTCTTTAAAACATATTTTTATTTAGATCGTGATAAGCCGAATTATGGAGAAGCTGCAGCATCCATAAACACTATCTCTAACTTGACTCCAGCCATCGTTAAAGGTACGAACATAAACATTACTCGCACTCTCGCATCCATGGAAATGGAAATATGTGACTTATAGACAAAACCTTCAAAGATTTCATATAGGGTGTGACCTTCGCTCACTTACTCGTTCGAGTGTTGTTAGGTGCCTTAAGTATTTATAATATTATATATAAAAATGCAATGGTAAACCAATGGTAACACGTTGGCTCGGGAATTCGATTGAAGCGGGTTCAAATTTCTGGTCTTGCACCTCTGATATTTTCATGTGCGAATCATTATCAATATGATTACCACTTAACTTATGTTGAAGGAAAACATCGTGAGTAAACCTGTAAGTCCGCCAACCCGCACTTAGCCAGCGTGGTGGACCATGGCCTGATCCCCGTAGTATTGAAAGGAAGGCCGCGCCCAGCAGTGGGACGTTAAAAAGAGCTGTATACATACAGGCAGCGCCACCTCTTGGCCAATGTTATAACTATTGTGAATTAAATTTCACCAATAATAATATAAAAACAACTATTTGTTTATAGTTTTAAGTTCTCGCTTCCGTCGACAGTCCTCGTGACTGTTTTATATTTTCCTTTTGTTATTTATCACAAATAATTAGGATTCTGTCGCTAAGCCGTTAATAACAAAAAATAATGCCAAAGCCAAGAAACAAAAATTTAACATATCTTAAATTGTTACAACCATTCATTTTTTTAATTTTATTGAATGTTACATAACTATAAATAAAAGAACTGGTAACGTATAAAAATATACTTAACAAACTATAGTGGTCACTTATATTATTTTTGTAGATGCAAAGGATCTTCGAGATTGTGTAGATGATAAGTCATGGAAGGTCATAATGGATAATCTTAAATCCCTTATCGATTCAACAAGTGATATTTGTGCCAATATTGAAAATCCACAGGTATACATAGTTATTATCATTTAAAATATTGATATTATGGCTCTATAAAGTCAATATTACTTTAATTTTCTTATAACTAAAAGATCTTCATTTGAACTGCAGTTCGATCAGTTTTGTCCACCTTTTTATATTTTTTCCTATTCAGTAGTTACAGATAGGTCTGAAAAGGATAAATTAGAATATAACACCATTAAGATTCAAAATAGGCGATTAGAATCGTAATAAAATATACAAATATTTACAAACCAACACATGTATAAAAGTTCAATTCAATTCTCTTGTTAATGGCTTCGAAGCGTCCCAGTTGAACACAGATTACTTCACCGATGTCACGCAGAATGTATAAAAGTTATAATAAATGTATTTCTTTGTCAAAGAAGTTAACATTATTCTTAAAATTAATATATAGAGTACATATTAGATTGATAGACCACTTTTCAGTCATTTTATGATTTTTCAGGAGTTATCAAATTCAGCGACGAAATTTGCGAACTCCGCTGGGCGTCTCACGTATGTTTTTAATCCACGAAAGAACGCAAAAAAGGAAAATCAGGTATTGTTAAAAATTATGATCCTAGTAATTTTATAAACGCGAAAATGTGTGAGGGTTGATGGATGGATTAATGGATGAATGTTTGTTACTCTTTAACGCAAAAACTACTAAGCGGATTTTGACGAAACTTATTTTATTTTACTTATACTTATTTACATCATATAATTGAAATACGCTTCCGGAGCCACAGAAAAACGTTAGTTAAAATAAAAAATTGGCTGCCCTTGTAATTCCAATTTCTGATTTCTAAAAATATATGTAAGTACAATATTGTAACTTTTTGTGAGTTTGTGTGTGTTTTTTGACAGTTATCGACCACTGTAAATCCAACGTTGTGCCATTTACCAATGATTCTTGATACATTTTTACTGAAAGTCATTAGTAAAAATATTTTTTTACTTCACAGATCATAAATTTAGCAAAGAGCGCAGTAGAGGACACTTCTATTCTATTATCGAACGTATATCAACTGACAGAGGCTATTGGTGGAAAAGATGGGGAGAAATTAGACACAGCTGGAGTCAAAGTTGTTGATTCTGCAAAAACTTTGCTTAAAACTGCTGAGGTGTGCTTGAAAAAATATTAGTTTCTAACTAGGACACAGAACTCAAACGCATAATCTTCGTCTTAGTAAATTAATGTCTTATCCATTAGGCATCACACGCTTGCTATGATACTCGTAAATAGATATTTTCATTACATAATTTTTACATTACAAACTAATCGTAATGTATTTATGGATTTACCAGCGTCGCGGCTCCGCCCGCGTTCAGATGACCAAAAACTGAATTCTTAGGTTTTACATATTAGTATACTCTTACAATGCAGTTTTGGTATTTTTCTCAGAAATGAGATATTTTCAAGCAATAAAAAGTATCCTATATGTTGACCCGGATAACCAGCTACCATCATACCGAATTTCATCAAAATCCCTCCAGTGGTTTTTCCGTGATGCGGTAACAGACAGACAGACAGACAAAAATTCTAAAAACTATAGATTCGGCCTCTGTATCGATAATAATGTCTATTTCAATAAGAATTTCCAAAAAAATATTTAATGTACAGATTCCGCTTAGTTACAATTTTATTATATGTATAGATTATAATTATAGAAACTGGGCTAAAATCTTTTAAGAAAATAATAAAATCCTATTTTTATTATTAAAATATGTATAATTTCTTTAACTTTTAGTGGAGTGGTTTTAACTAATCAAGACACCAAAAACTCACACGCTATTAACAAAATCTAATTGTAATATTATACTAAGTACGATATTTTTCTTGTAACGTACTTATTTTTGGTAAATTTATAAACAGGTTACTGCATCGAGTGTAGAAGACCCCCGTTGCCAACAAACACTTTTACGAGCGATCGACCATCTTTCCGATCGTGCTCGTGATTTACAGACTACATGGGACTCCTTAACTGAATCTCCTGAGCATCAAAATGTTAGAAGACAACTCAGTAATAATTTGAAGCAAGTTCAATCAACTCTCGAAAAATTGAGACAGGCGTGTCAAGAAAAGGGTAAGTAACTCACTTAGTTTTATTTGGTACTTATTTATTACTCGAGGACTTATCTGTAAAATGTTCCGTAAACTTTAATTAAATTTATCACCATCTTGAATTATTGATACACTTGTCCATGTTTAATTAGAAAGGTTTAGAGACGATAATTTTCTCTATCATCTTCTAGTTTTCAAATAATTATTATATTTTAGACTTAGAGGCCGATGAACAAGAAAAACAACATCTTCAACTTATTGCTAATTTATCCGATGCTAAGAGCGCTGTAAAAGATGCACAAGACGATTTGAAAAAAAATAACATTCCACCGGTAATTATACTTACTTTTTAACATATTTAAAACTTAATTATTTATAACTCTTAGTTAAAAAATGAAAACAAAACCCTTCTAATATTTACAGGCTACCAAAGCAATGGATAAGAGTAATGTTCCGGCTGAGAAAATGCTATTATCTAAGAAGTTAGCTCAATTAAATGCTGCAATAGCCGATCTGCTACAGGCTACTTCAGGTATAAATTATAATATAATTATTGATTGGTTCTAAAACCTAGTGTTCAGTGCAATAGTGATTATGAGTTTGATCGCTGCATTATATGCATTGGCCATGTTGAAAATCGTTCTAGACTGAATGTTTCACCGTTCTGTCTTATGAATCCTTCAAACTTAACTTTAAAATTTTCAGATACTGTTAGACCAGACTACAAAGCGGCCGCAAAAGCAATCAATAACATTTCTAGTCTCACTCCACAAATAGTCAAAGGTAATGCCTCTTCTGTTTTAATAATAATAAGTAAATATAAAAAAACAGCCGTTTTCCGGTCAAACAAAATACAGAAGCCATGTCAATATAAGAAATCCAATTGCCAAAAGAAATGTAATTATTCTCTTTGAGGCTTAGTTTAACAATATGTATTATAATAAAAATACATTTTAGATACCAAGAACCTACATGGTGCTGTGGAAGATAAATCTTGGAAGACTTTAATGGACAATCTAAAAACTCTGCTCGATTCGACCAATGATGTCTGTAACAATGTCGAAGATCCTCAGGTACAGTTCAAATTGTGTAGTAGATATAAAGTAATATTACTGATTAATTAATTAAATTATATTTGATACTTTAAATAAAACTATTTTTTTATATTTTTGCGTGGATTTATTTTGATTTTTGATTCCCGACTTTTAGAATGCTTTAAAGCAGTCAAGTTCACGGGAGATTCAATTAAATTAATTGGTTTATAAAATTTAATTTCTTTACTCTATCATTCTCCACCTCTTAGTAGGCAAATGGAGAACACATATGTAGTGTTACGTGTCATAGACCACATTCTTATCTTTTTCTATGAGATACTCGTATTTATTAGTTGTATATTATTATGTGATATCTATTCTTTTATATCTACATCGCACATAAATAAGGTTTTTTTTTTGAGAAATCTGAAATTTTGTAAGCATTAAGCCTGCCTACTAAGCTATAGTGTTAGATGAAGAAAATATACTTGTCAAACAGCTTACTTACACATACTATATTATATTCTATGTTATATATACTATACATGTTTATTACATTTATATAAAAATATTTTTTAATTCAGGCTTTAAAGGACTCTGCATCGAAATTTGCAAACGCTGCTGGACGTCTTACTTATGTCTTCAATCCTCATAGCAACGTAAAAAAAGAGAATCAGGTAAATTATTAAAACTTTTCCCATGTAAGGAAACAATTTTGTAAGATAGGCCATAATTAGTAAAACTATTACGCCTATTACTCTGTACGAGGCAATTATTTGTTTCTGACTAATTTATGTTAAATTATAATTTATACGACTAATGCTTTATGCAGCAATCTGCATCTAACTTTTAACCGTGGGTTTTTAAGTGGTATTAGTCACTCTCAAGCCTTACCCTGCGACTATAATCTTTTATAATAAGAGTTTTATCTTTTAGATTCAAGATCTATCGAGATGTGCTGTAGAGCAGACATCTCTACTTCTGTCCAACGTGTACAACTTGACAGAGAAAGTGGGCGGAGAAGAAGCAGAGAAATTAGATCAAGCTGGCGTTAGAGTGGTTGATTCCGCGCAAACTCTCCTAAGAACTGCTGAGGTAATTTAGCTTTCAAAATGTATATTGCTTAGCTTGAAATACTTTAATTTTATAACTATTATATGTGGTAACTGGAAAGTAATGAAGCAAAAAATGATGTGTACGTTAATTAACAAGAAAATGACTTGGTTAGAATTTATTATACCCCTGGTGGGACTCGAACCCACAATCCCCGGCTTAGGAGGCCGATGCCTTATCCATTAGGCCACAGGGGCTTGTATTAACAATGATTTAAAACTCCTTTACAATTTAAACGTTACTTTTTAAATATTTATTATCATCTACTGTTTTGGCGAATTTCTTTACTATGCCCAAAGATCGTAAAATAGTGAAAAAAACAATCAGAAGCATACAGGCATTTCTTCCAGACGAATATGTAATTAAATAAATGAATAATTGCAATCAGATTAGCAAACTGCTATTCTTTTAATTCTTACTAATGGCGGCAAATCAATGTTATGATATAAAATAATATTCTTTCAGATAACTTCACCGAGTATAAGTGATGTGCATTGTCAAAACGCTCTTCTGGCTTCTATAGACAAGTTGGCAGATAATACCAAAGAACTTAAGAACACATGGATGCCATTAGTGCAGGCACCACAATATCATTCTAACGGCGACCAGCTGGAACAGAACGTGAAGATAGTTCATGCTACGCTTGACAAGTTAAGAAAAGCCTGTCAAAATACTGGTATGATATTTTTTTAAGTATAGTTATTAATTATTGTGTATTGTGTACTTATTTATACCTTTACAAAATTTCATCAGGCTAAAAATATTTGCAGGATAATTTAAAACTTTGGAAAACTTTCCAGGAAATTTTGAAGTAATATTTTTTTTACTGTTATACATACACATATATGTTATATGTTATGTATAGATATATATGTTGCTCAAAATCTGGAAAGCGTATAGATCACGCAATATTTCTATATTATGATGTAGATTAGATAGTAGGTAGATTGTAGCAAGTCAATTTGACTACTAAAACACTCATTAAAAATGGGCCCAATTTGTATATTTTAATAGTATTTTTTTTAGTTTGATTAATGTAGAAATCTTGAATTGAAAGAATATGTTAAAATTATATATTAATCTTCTAAAAATGTTTTCAATACAGATGATTGCAAAGAGGCAAAACCAGATCATTTACTTAAGAGCATATCTGCAGCGAAAGGAAAGATAAGAGAAGTAGAAAAGCTATTCTCAGAAGATAACATGGCTCAACGTGTTGATAAAGCTAGAAATCAGGTTTGTAGCTTAATAACATTAGTTAGTTTAAAAATTAGAACACTAGACATGAAATAGAACATTAGTATTGACTTATATCGACTAATTCATTTTCATACATACTACTATACTCGTATTTTATTCCAACATGGATAAAGTAACCGCGTTTTTTTATGAAGATATTCTCCTCTCTGTCTCATATTATTTTGATTTTGTCTTCCAATTTGTGTTTTTGTTTATTTCTAATTTTTATGTTTTTTCTAGTGTTTAATGGTATGCATATTCATTTAATTTTAGGGTGCTGAAACAAATAACAAACCAGTTATGGCGAGACGAATTGATCTTTCGCAGAAACTTGCGACACTGAATGAAGCTATTGCGCGTCTTTTACAAGCTATGTTAGGTAAGTTTTGGTAGAAAATTAACAAAGTTGAGAAATATCGGGTAAAGTTTAATTATTATGCAATTAAGCATGTCTTTCGACAAATTTTTTGGTTCTCTCAGACTGGCAGGTATCGTTACGATGTTTTCCTTCACCATAAAACAAGTGGTAATCATGTTGGAAACGATTCGCACATGACAATATCAGAAATGCGAGAACCGGGATTTTAACCCGCTTCACTCGGTTTACCAAACGAGCGCATAAACACTCGGTCACCACTGGCTTATGCTCATAATAAACTAGAAATAAAATTACTAAAACTAGATAGTTTGGGAACAACTGTTAAAAATAGTGCTTTTTTCTATACGATATTTGTATAAGCTCACAAAAAATTATTGAAATTTTGACAGAACAAAATTTATCAAAAAAGCTAATTCTAAATAAACTTTATCAATAATTACAAAGAAATACTTAGAATAAAATTATCTTCAGCCTATTTTTGAGCCCATTCTTTATATAACTTTATACATATACAGTTAAAACTTGTTATTTACAGACCGCGAAACCCCTGACTATAAAAGTGCTGAGATCACTGTTGACGTTATATCGAAGCTGACTCCGGAAATTGTTCAAGGTAGGTATACTTATATTCTGTTTCTTGTTACGTCGTCTTAGTGCTTATTTGTACAAACTACCAATATACCGAAAGAGTATTTAGTACAAAATTATTGACTTTTAAATGTCAATTCTAATAGTGTTAAATACACATTTTACTTTAATAAAGCTGAAAAATATATTTTATCTATATATAATGTATATAAATCATAGAAATGAAGCTTCGTTTTTAAAAAAGAGGAAAAAGCTCTCTACTACAGCTCTCTACTAAAGTATAACAAGTATTGGTCGTTTGAACGAATAAGCACTAAGACGACGACTAGACTGTAGAAACATATTTTATCGAACTTGATTTTGAGAAGTACTTTTCATACTACAAAACTGTGGTTTAATTGAAAAGACAACCCCTCAAATCTTACACTTACGTTTTCTTTTAGGTCTTAAAATAATATGTACGATTACACTTTTTTAATTATCTGTGATAATCCCCGTGGCCTAATGGATAAGGCATCGGCCTCCTAAGCCGGAGACTGTAGGTTCGAGTCCAACCAGGGGTAGATGCCTAAATTAATTTTTACTAATATTCGTATAACTTTTTATAGAAACAATGGCTCTACAAAGCAATTTAGACGACAATTCTGGCAGAATAATGTTCGAAGAGGCTAAACATATTTGCGATGCAAGCCAAGCTATATGTACAAGCGTAGAAGATAATAATTTAGAGGCAAGTATCAAGAGTCAACGTAAATGTACACATAAATGTATTAATGGTATTTAGTAGATTTTTATTTAATAAAGTTTTTACTAACGCCTCGCGACCAAAGAAAGATCTGAATTATAAGGTTTTTAAATGTTATTAATTTTATACTTTAGTTTTCTATTTTAAGACCTAAATCAAGCTTAAGACTTTATTATTATAAAGCTATCAACTAAAACATTATAAATCAACGATTCAAACAATTGAGTTAAAATACTGATGTGTATTGTCCTTTAAAGAAGATAACCTTTTAATAATAAGACCTTTAAATAACTATTATTCACAATAACACAATTATGCCATTCAAATATATCACTTTCTAGGACTTAAATAAAGCTGCAATAAAATATGCACAATCGTCAAGAAAGTTGCGGTATGTTGTCAGCCCGCGTTCTTATCCAAATAAGGAGAAAACTGTAAGTTTTATATATTCAAATTTATTTACTTATTTCTAAATGAAACTATTTTTGTAAATAAAAATTATTATATACCTATAGTTTTGTAGGTAGACATCGTCTGTAATAACTAATCTATGACTTCTGATATCAATAACCTCAGTCTGACCATGTTTGCTTTGAGTATTCAAATCATAGTAAGTTTACTCATCCACTAATTGTATAAGTATACTATTTACTAGCGAAAAACAAAAACAAATCTATCCCACGAAAACCGTTCATTTTTCCGGGATAAAAATTAGCCTACATGTTATTCAATTTTTTTTTATTTTTTTATTTATTTATTTATTTATCAACAGCTTATTGTACAATAAACAGCACGTCTTTATAAACAAGTATTTAAAAGTCAAGCTAACAATGTTTAAGTAAACACAGATATATGAGCTATATTATTGTAAAGTTTCAGTTTCATTATCCATTCAATCCATTCAGCAGTTTTAGCGTGAAAGAGTAACAAACAAATATACATACATACATATACATCCTCCAAACTTTCGCATTTATAATATTAGTAGGAGTATAGTTGCACAGTGCTTATAAAGACGCTTTTTATTCTTACAGATCTTGGATATTTCTCGTTCAGTGTGTGAAAGGACGTCGCTTATGTTATCTCGGGTGTCCCGCCTAGCGGAGAGTGTCGGCGGAAATGAGGGAGAGAATATGGGCATGTCTGGTGCCAAACTTGGTGATGCTGCACATGCATTGTTCACTAACGCTCAGGTATTTTAGTGAAATTAAACTTTATTCAAATGGAGTTATTATAAGCACTTATGAATTGTCAATTTAATTTAAAGTGTAGTCTGTCCGTGAGGAAGCTACAACCGGCTGGGAAAATCCATCCATACGGCATTCTTGAGAACTAAGCACTTTATTGCCCACTTTTAGCTAATTCTAGAAAAATACGTTATAGTTTATGATTTAATTCCATCACTTTCGATAGGTATTAAGTTCATCGATAGAAGATCAAAACTGCCAGACAGCTTTATCAAGCTCAGCTGACAGACTCTCGAAATTGGCTCAAGATCTTGGAATATTTTGGAAACCAGTTATACAGCATCCGCAACATCATCAAATTGGAGAACAACTAACAAGAGATTTGAATCTTTTAAATTCTGAACTTGATAGACTGAAAGAGAGCTGTCACGATAATTCAGGTATTAATTATTTCATGTTTCATAACTATTTAAAACTTACGAGTAACACTAACGCAAACTAGTATGTAGTAACTTTTAAGTCAAATCTCAGTAGTTTTTGTAATGATACATTAAAATAAACATTTATAGTATTAGTAATTGTGAATCTTACTACTACATAAATGCAACATTTTGGATGGATGAATGTTTGTTACTCAATCACGCTATAACTACTAAACGGATCAGGATGAAATTTGGTACAGTGATTGATTATAGTCTGAAAGAGCACATGGGATATATTTTGTCCCGAAAAATGTACGGTTCCCGTGGAATAAATTTGATTTTGTTTTACACTAGGGATGAACCCGAACCAAGTGAGTGTGAGCCGCTAGTATTAAATAAATAAAAAGAAAATAAGACCTTTCACTGAGTGACCTGCTATACAAATTGTGAAAATAGTGCATTTCGAACATTATAATTAAATAAATCTAAAATGAATTAATTTTATTCTAGATATCAACGACCAGATAGATGCTTCACAGCAGCAACATGCGAGCGCGAAACCAATGAAACCTCCAACAAAACCGGTAAGTTTCTATCATAGCTTCTTTTCTGAGTAAACAAGAATACATCTTAATACTAAACAGTACGTAATACTTAATCGCTAGCTGATATAGAATCTATTTAGGCTTGACAGCAGTTTTCGAAGACTTGACGTATTGGGATCAAATCTACAATATTCACCGCAGTTCTTTCTACCCTTATTAAAAATGTCAACTCATATTAATATTAATATTTTACTCTCATATATATACATACTATCCATACTAATATTATAAATGTGAAAGTGTGTTTGTTTGTTTGTTTGTTTGTCCTTCTTTCACGTCGAAACGGAGTGACGGATTGGCGTGATTTTTTGTGTGGAGATAGGTGGAGTGCTGGAGAGTGACATAGACTATTTTCATCGCGGGAAGTTACTTAATTCCCACGGGAAAACACGTCATAATACAATCCAAAAAAATATTTATTATCAGAATTACTTGAAAATTGGTATATATGCTCTTCAACAAATTTAAATAAATACATGTCTTAGCATTTTTTTAAATTCATCCTATAAGGGGGTAAAATAGGGGATGGAAGTTTGTATGAAACTACCTTTTTAGAGAATTTTTTGTAGTTTTAGCGCGAGCGAAGCCGCGGGTTCTGCTAGTAGTATATAATATGTATATATGTAGTTGTCATCTTAACTATCAGGCCCACTAGCATCTAACATTCTTCAAACAAACTTCTACTCTAAGCCCGAAAATTCGTTTTGATATAATATATATTTCTTAAGTTTAGTTGGAACTAAAGTTTTCAAGGAAACGTATCAATAAAAAATAACAAAATATATGCCAGGGTTTTTTTATTATATTATTCTATAAAAATAATGAATTCAACTCCAAATGCCTTCTTAGAAACCACCGCCTCGTATGGAAGATCTCGATAATTTGTTAGAAAACATTCAGAAAACCGTCGCAGCAGATACAAAGAAAAATAAAGTTGAAGAGCGCTTACTCATAGAAGATACCCCTCTCAGACAACTAGCTTCAAAGATCATGGAATCTGCTAAGGTTTGTATTATAGCTTTAGTAACCTAGCAATATACTACTATTCGGCTTTCAATTAGAGGTTGCATTTGCAAAAAAACATATTAAAGTCTTTGAAATCTAACTTAAAATCATATCATGGGATGTTATTTATTCAACAAGCTTCTGATTGATAGTATCTTATTTCTATTTGTACATCTTTGTCCATGTACTCAGCCCTTTTTAATGTCCCACTGCTGGGAACGGGCCTTCCTCCAATACGAGGGGGATCAGGCCATAGTCCACCACCCTGGCCAAGTAAAGATTGGCGGACTTCACATGTCTTTTGAAAACTTACTAGGTTCGCTCAGAAATGCAGGTTTCCTCACGATGTTTTCCTTAACCGTTAAGACAAGTAGCAATTATGTTGAAAATGGTGGAAATATCAGAGGTGCGAGAAACGAGATTTGAACCAGCATTACTGCCTTTGTCCATTATTGCGTAAAATTGTGAGAGTTGTAAATAATAATTTATTTAATTGTTTTTTTTTTAGACAAAAGCAGAGTCAAATAGCTATTCTCCAAAAGAAAGAGAGAAATATTCACGTTTCGCGAACGAATTGGCCAATGCTATAAGCAGACTCGATATCACTAACGCCAAATGTCGAGATGCACCATTTGTAAGTATTTTTAAAACTAAAAAACCATTATAAATACTATAAAATTTTTGATAACACGTTTGGCTCAGTTTGTAGTGACCCTACTTGCTGTGTCAGCTGTCGCGGTTCCGTGTCCCGCTGGGGGCACTCAATTATGTAATGAGCATGAATGTTTGTTCTTCCGTCAAGTGTGTTTATATTTATAATATGAATGTATTTAAAGTATGTAGTTTATCAACTATCTGGTATCCATTACATAGGCCTTGTAGCTTACCATTGAACTAGATGGTGCTGTGATTTTATGAAATGCAATTTAGCCGGGTGTTTTAGAGTTTAGAGTTAGAGAGTCTAGACTTACTATAATGAACTAGCAAAATCTATTGATTTAACCTTTTTTAAATAATGAGGAAGAATCCCAATCCCATCAGATGACTATCGTAGGTAAATAAGTAAAATAAACTAAGGACTTAAACCCTTTACAAAGTTAGTATATTTCAATTTATTATATTATTTTTTTCAGGACGCGAAGGATAAAAATGAAAAAGCATTACAATTAGAGAACGCCATATTAAACTTACAAGTACTATGTATTCAGTCCCGACAAAAAGAAGGTCAACAGAGTAATATTGTTGATTTAATGGTAAGCAGGAATAAATTATTAATTAAAATGAACCATTAATTATTTATTTAAGATAATTAATAACATTACTTATCTACGTATGTTCTTGTAGTTTTTATACAAATAATGAAGCTAAGAACACTTTTAAGCTTCATTGAGTTTCTTTCATCGCTTTTTCTGTTCATTTCAAAAATCGTATATTAAAAATAATAATAAAATGTTTTTTTTTTAAGGAATTTGTCGATGATGTTACATCTGCTGCTGATGATTTAGCAAATACCGTAAAAGGAATCAAACACAATGAAAAAGTCGCATTACTGGTAATGTATAATAATAATAAAATTTGCAAAGTTTTTATAATATTACAATCTTCTTTTTTTTAAAAAAAAAAAAGAGGTCTGTAATTTTTTTTTTTCTATAAAGTTCTTTCGGACTAAAGAATCCGATTTTTTTCTATCATAGATTAAGTTAAGTGAATTCGATTATATTCTTCTTACTTGATGTTTTTAAATAGGAAATTAAAAATAAATGCCAAAAAATAAAAGATGCTGCATCAAAACTTACAAACCCACAAGACATAGGGAATGATGGAAATATGTTCGAAGATACGCTCCTAATAGATCAATTCACTAAGGTAAGTCACATTTAGTGCGTATTTCCTGCATATTGTTATGTTATGGTGGCGTTCGCCCAGTTATCAACTTTTGACCATAATATTTTTTTTTATTGATAAATCTAAAGCTCGACAATAGCTACTAAACAAAAAAAAGAATTGGTTAACAAACAGATGAGAAAACTGGTACGAAATTGTTCTATCTTTATATATACTTATAAATACTAGCAGTACCAATTTCCGATCGTTAACAAAATTTACAGAATCACCCTCTGGGTTAATCTGAAGATTACCTGAAAATTTTATTTAAATCGCTCCCGCTGTTTTGGAGTCCATAGGAAACATACATACACATATCGATTTTTATTTAATTCAACAATTTAAATCTTTTATGAAAATTTAGTGACACACCGACTGCAGCCCCACCTACCGGATCCATTTGTGTTTTCAAACCTTGCAGAGACCCACTCGAACATACACAAAAATATCATTAAGATTCGTTCGGGTTCGCTTCTAAAAAAACAAAAGCAAATCTATCCACCGGGAACCGTACATTTTTCCGGTTTAAAAAGTATCCTATGCGTTATTCTGATGTATGAGCTATATTATTGTTGTTTCATTAAAATCCATTCAGTAGTTTTTGTGTGAAAGATTAACAAACATCCATATATCCATACATACTGACATTTCACAAACTTTCGTATTTATTATATTAGTATAGATTATCTTTAAAATTAGAAAATCTAAAAAAATATTTATTTTCAGAATTGTGATGCTGATACTAAAGATATTACTGCGATAATTAATAATATTACTGATGAACCTTTAAGGAAAAGTCTATTGCATAAGTTGCAAGCGTTGTCGGACAGCTGTGATCTTCTGAGGTTTGTAAAATATTAGGGGAAGTTTTTATATTTAATTATAGTAAAATTCTGCCGATTTTATTAATATATTGTTTACTTTTTTATATATCTTTTACCTTTTAGAAAATAAAAGAAAGTAATAATAACTTTCACAACTAACCGAATAGCGTTTTCTGGACTAATTTACATTACATAATACTTAATTAAGAGTCTGTTCTATGATATATATAAAAATATATGTATATTTTAAGCTTTGCGACGAAAAGCAGTATTTCTAACACTGAAAGCGCAACTCTCGAAGAAAGTTTGCAAAATCTTGGACTTGTGGAACAAAAGATTGAAGATATTTTAAAACCTGTCGAAGAACTTCAGCCTGTAAGTATTATTTTAGTCACGTAAGTTAAGTTTTATTTTATTTATTTAAAAAAAAACAAACAGTATTACGAACAACAATTTACAAAAAAAAAATTACCAATTATTTTTCCACAAATAAGAAACACATAGAGTAGAAAATATTAAGTTAAATTGAGGAAAAATTTGACAAAGTACATATAAAAAAATATACTATAAAGTATAAACACAATTTAAAGTACTTAAGTTTGTCATTTGTAATGATCTCATCATAACTTAAAACTAACCATATATTTACCTTATAACGATAAGTTAGATATCCAATACAAAGAGTAATAGGTACCTGGGTGACCTTCGCTGCGCTTGGTGTAGGCGCTCATTTAGTAGGTTATCATCCATTGGCGACTATGCGAGTATCATAAACGTTTACGAGATGGCGTTGTATGACATTGTCAGAATGAGAGCTGATAGAAAAAGGTTGCAATAATTAGTTTAAAAACATGATTTTTTTCTTTTGTGAATAATTGCGTTTGTTTAGAAAAGTCACCTATATTAAAGAACTTAAAATGCCTAACCTTATCTAAATATAAAATTTGATCCAAATCGTTACAGACGTTTCCTAAATGCAAGAAATCTATTTATATACAAGAATTGCTCATTTAAAATTAGTGTTCCTTTAATATCTACACATACTCGTATAGTAAAATTCTAACTGATTCGAATCTGTACATTAAATATTATTTGGAAAATCTTATTAATAGTCATTATTATCGATACAGATACCGAATTTATAGTTTTTACAATTTTCGTCTGTCTTGTCTGTCTGGGAACGCATCACAAGAAAATCACTGGACAGATTTTAATGAAATTTGGTATGATGATAGCTTATCCAACATATAGGATACATTATACAGCGGGAAAATATCTCATCTCGCATCTCGAATCGCTAGTTATAAAATAAAATTATGCACAAAAAACGGTAGTTTTTGAATAGAGACATAAAAAAACATATTAATTATCTTTTAAAATGAATCTTTCCTTTTACTTAAGATTCAAGACACTAAAGGAAATCTTCACGCTATACAAGCTGCGCAGTCATCACTAGCCGCAGTAGTGGCATCGGGAAATGAGAATGAACTACCACATACATTGACATGCTATGCCGTGCATATGCGAGGACTCGGTAATCACAAAGATGGAAATTACAAGTAGGTTATTTTTTTTTAAAATAACTAATAAGAATTTTATATTCTCTATAATATAAAAATAATTTTAAAAAATTTGAAAGGCAATAATAGCTTTATATTATATCAAACATAATCAGTGTCAATTAATTACCTAATTTTTATAACATTATTTAAGTTTTGAATTATTAAATATTTTTTTAGTAATATTAAGTGTACATATACGTAGAAATTTTAAAATTAAGCAAATATTTTTTAAGACTGAAAGAACATTTGAAAAAGCTCACTGACATACTGAAGATGCAAATAGCTGCAAAGAATAGACGCGTGGTGACGTGGCAAGAATACAATGATGGAGAAGTATCTACAATCACTGAAAAGATTTTAGAGGTAACTATATAAATTAAGTCCAAGAAAATAATATAGATAGTAATACTTATATATTTTGTCATACACCTAAAATGAATAAATTATAAGAATATAATTAAATATATTATTTTCGAAAGACATCTGAAGGCCGCCCGCAATTGACCAGCATGGTGGACTATTATAGCCTGAGTCCCTCATATTGAAGGGAGGCCCACCCCCAGCAGTAGGAAGTTAATAAGAATGTTAATAATCAAAAGGGTTTATTTCAGGAGCTCCAAAGCTTTGTTCAAGACATAGAAGCGTCAGATAAAAGTGGAGTTAAATCAAGCGATCCTCTAAAGACTACTCAACTTATAAAGAATAGCGACATTAAGCGATTGCTTGCGCCAAACAAGACGCCGGAACTTGGCGATGAAAAGTGAGTTTTTATTAAAAGAAATGTTAACCCATGAATATACTATTATAATATATTAAGTATCATATTATGTTGTTTTAGCAATATTTTTATCTAAAGTTATCCGGACTTTAAAATTACTGTAAAGGTTATTTTATACCTTTGTCAAATATGATTTAGGGGTTGATTTTTTTCTTGATTTCCTTCTTTTTTTGTTTTAGTTAATATGGAAAAACGTTTTTTCTTAAGAATAATAATTTTACTAATTAATAACAGGTACTTAAAAGAAAAATTCAATCAGCAAATACAAAAGCTAAACTCTACAACTGGGACCATAGCGCTAAGTGTACACAAGCCGGAATCACTCGCCAGGAGTCTTCATACTGCATCCGAGGCTGCTATACAGTTAGCTTCAATTGCACGTGGACTCAAAAATCAGGTAAATTAGATCAAATGTTGTTACAAAAATATTGTAATTATAAACAATTTTAACTTACTTTTGATTTGCTAGAAATCTTGGTTTTAAGTTGAGAGTTACTGTTATTATAGAATAAATAGGTAAAAACCATTTCGTCGACATTATTGCTTGGGCAATAAGTACTAAAATTTATTTTCCAAGATCGAAGGCGACATAATTGTCTACCAAGATGGGTGAAGTAACTATATATGTAAATTATACGCTACTTAATATTTGCATTGTCTTTTTTTATTGGTACGGTCTTTTACAGGATCCTGTTCAAAGTAAGAGAATAGAAGAAGCCACTCAGGAAATGAGTGTTGCTACATATAATCTTCTAAAGACTTCAGAAACTGTGTGTCATGTAAGAATCAATTTTATAATTTAAAAACATTAAATTACATTTTATAGAAGACATTATTGTTATTTTATTGACAACTAAATTAAAAATAAGTAATTTAATACCATGAATTTTGAATGAACTATATCACGATTTATTTCTTCTTTTCAGTCTTCACATCTGCCAGAATCCAGGAGAAGACTATTGGATGCATGTAGACTGCTCAATGACTCTTTAAATAATCTAGTAAGTAGTTATAATAAGAATGAAAATTCCACATCTTATACCTTCTTTTAAACCTTCTTCTTTTCTATAGGCTCGAGCGACAACACCTGCAAATATGCAACGGGATTGTAACGAAATGTCCCGCAATTTGCAACTGCAGCAGAGTTTCCTGACCTCCGAGCATCCTTCTTGCTCGCTCAACTACGCCCAATGTCTCGATGCTTTACAGAGTCAACAAGAAATTATAGGTATACTATCCCTCTACACACCTAGATTTAAAGTTTTATTTTGTTTTTTTTAAAGTTATTATATTTTTTAACATGAAATATTGACTATCGGACTAAAATTATAGTAATGCTTGCTACGCTCGATTTGTTCCTAGGTGCCTAGATATGCTATTAGATGTTACTCCAGGTTATAATTTATCCGAGTACTAAATTTAATCGAAATCCGTCCAGCCATTTCAGCATAAAGGAGTAACAAACAGACACACATACACACACATACAAACATTCGCATTTATGTATATTATAATGTGGTTATATTTTTATGAATATTCTTTTATGTTACAGAAAAACTTCGATCTGAAAAAGTAATGTCACGAACAGAATGCAGCAGTGAACTTCGTTTTGTTACATCTGCAATTTGCAACAGTACTGAATACGCAACACAAAGTGCCTATCTGGTAATTTTTACTTTACCACCTGAAAACCAATCAGTCAGTCAATTGATCAACTTTATCTCAGCTTTTTTTTTATTTTTTATATTTTTGTTTATCTTTCTTGTTTTAGTTGACACTGTCCAGTATAGATAAAGAAAATGTTTCCAAACAAGGCATGGTGGATGTTCGTCGCATCAAAGATTTGGCGGATTCGGTCAACAAAACGTGCCTACAGATAATTTGCAACGATGGAGAGAAAGAGGTAAACCTTAAGAATAAGAAGATTAGTATTAGCTACACGAAATACACAGTGTTGTAAATATTTTAATTTTTAAATTAACATTATATGATCTCTGATAATTTAAAAGTAGTATTAAATATTTGTTGTATTTATTATTTAAATTCTTTACTAAAGCTTCAAGAATGTTTGATGAACTAAAAATAATATTATGATTATTTTTGGACATTATAATCGGAGTTAATATTGCAAAAGTTTAAACATATTTTAATACTAGTAACTATAATTTTTAGATAAGCGATCAACAAAGCGCTCTTAAAAAACAAGTAGATCAATTGCAAGAGGCTGTAGATGACGCCTGTACCAAAATAAAAGATGATGAAAAGGAAGAATTGACGGCGAACGCTCAACAACTAAAGGCTGCGTTAAAAGAACTCAATAATGAGATTAAGACACACGCTTTCGAACATAAGGTTAGTTAAACATTGATATTTTTAAAGAAATTTTTATTAATTATATTTTTAAGTAAATAATTCCAAATTATATTAAATATTATCTATCTTTAGACCTCCATGAACGGTATATCCTATGAAGTATTAATAGTAAAATAACTTAATTTATTTTTATTATGTTGGTTAAGGAGAATCGAATTTTACCAAAAACTATGAAACTTATGGATGCAATCAATAAGCTGAACCACACAGTGGGAAGGATTCCACAACCAAATGTTGACAAGGATCCGAAAAAATCAGCCATGGCGAAGGAGGTGATTGATAATAACAGGTATAATATTAAATTGGTATTTAGTTAACCTAAAAAAAGTTTTGAATTCAGCCATTTCAACGTCCCTTTGCTGGGGGTGGGCCTCTTTGAAATACGACTGGGATCCTGATCCCATGGCCTGCCATAGTCCACCACGCTGGCCAAGTGCGGGTTGCTGGAAACTTGCTAGTTTCTCTCATTTCTCTTTCTTTACCGTAATACAAGTGGAAATCATGTTGGAAGAACTTTTGTCAAACTTCTTTTTCTAGTAGAGCAAATAATACAAACATGATAATTAGTTTTAGTTGTGACAGTGTACGAAACTTTTTAATGAAAAGATAATAATCCATACTTAATATTATAAATGTGCAGGAGTGTTTGTTTGTCTTTCTTTCAAGTCGAAACGGAGTGACAGATTGACGTGATTTTTTGTGTGGAGATACGTGGAGGGTTGGAGAGTGACATACATTTTACCACGGGAGATAATCTCATTCCCACGGGAAAACACGTTATAATACAACCCAAATTTATTTGTGATCAGAATCACTTGAAACTCGGTATTAATGTTCTTCAATACAATTAAATAAATACGTGTTTGAGCATTTTTCGAAATTCATCTCATAAGAGGGTAAAATAGGGGGTAAAAATTTGTATGAAACCTATTTTTTAGACATTTTCTCTAGTTTTAGAGCGAACGAAGCAAGTTTTCCTATTGCATATATAAAGTAGTATGTGAGATAGATTGTTACTTCTTCGCAGTATAACGGATGCATTTCTGTAAACTTTGACTATCTATAATTTATTGTTATTTGTCTCTCAGCGGTAAAATGCTTTAAATAATAAACTTAAAAATAACATTATTTTCTATTAGGAATCTAATAAGCAATACATCGATGATGTTGAAGAAGGTTTCTTTATATCAAGAGGACGCGATAACATGGTCGAAGATCGGGAGCATTGATGTAATTAAGGCCTTTGAAACACTACTAACTTGTATCAGGTATGACTAATTTTAAGCTTTATTATTAATGTATAGTCGCTATAATAAGCTTCTACTTTTTCAAACACTTGCTGATATTAACTAAAGCTATCTTTAGCAAACGAGAAAGCTTACGATCCTACGGAGCTTTTTTGATGATAGAGTCGTAATATGAAAATGATATGTTATTAGGGTTTTCTTTAATAACGCCTAAAAATTAAAAAAAAATCAAAAGACACGATTTTTAAAGTAGCAAATTTTTTTCATTTCCTTTTCAGAGAGAAAGGCGCTGAAGCTGGGTACATCGAAGCAATAAAGTTGGTACGTACAATTCTATAGAATATATTTTCGTAGTTTCACTTACTATTACGCATATTCACTACAAAGAAGCTTTCCTTATAGTAAATATGCGCATGCGTATTAATTATATAAAAACATTTTTTTTTTAAATATTTAATTTCAGGATTCTGAAGTACCTGTCAAGAGCTTTATTCAAACACAGTGAGTAAAACGATTCAAATTAATATCTAATAATAATATATACTCTATGAGAGACATTGTATATCTACATATCGACGCTTGAAAGGCTAATTGGTCTAAGCGACATTTTTTGCGATATTGAGTTATATACATATTCGGAATCAGCCAATTTTTCTCCGTCGTTTAAGTCATGTTTCAATTTTTTTTTACTACTTTTTCGGCGCTTAGCACCCACAGCAAAACCGTCCTCATTTCTAAGCTCATCGATCTATACGACACAAAATTAGACAAATTTGAGGACTCGTTGACTTAAGCTGTTTTGATCTTTCAAATTTTTATAACGTGTGTCGATTAAGGCATTTGGCTTTTTCGCTATGGTTATGGTTTTGTCGTTTGGCCTATTTTGAATTAAAGCAAAACAATAAGGTATGTCGTTTGGCCCATTTTGCATTCAAATACATTAAAAAAACGTGGTGCTTAAATCATTTTGCATTGAGTTATATTAATTAACTATGTCTCTAGATCCATTTAGCCTCTATTAAGAATAATGAGTAATATTACTTCGGTTTTTTTGACCTAACTTTCTCATTAGTGTTATGGTGGATGAAACATTTTGATTAAATTCAGTATTTGTAAATTGGCATTTCCATTATTTTATCAAATCGGTTTTAACACATAGACCGTCCAATAAATTAATAAGGGTAGCTATTCCTTAGTCCCTTGGAACTAAGTTCAATTTATTGCGCGCTCTTTACGAGTACGGAGTACCTCACCCACCCGCGCGGGCGCGTTCGGCGTCAGTTAGCCGTCAACACCAATGGAAGTGCGTCGTGTGCGAGCCAGCTGTGAAGATAGACGGTTTATTTTTCTGGTAAGTAAAAATTATAATATTGTTTTATCCAAGTGATAATCAATTAAAAGATTTGTAATTACGCTAAGGATATAACATATAAGGAAGATATTGTTTTGATTTAAAATAGGTACCATCCCAAAGAAAAAAAGATTGGCTAGTAGGAATGACTGTAAGAACTGACATAAAACGAAAGAGGTCGAAGGACTCTGGTGTGAGGCACAATACATATTTCTACTATATTAATGATGGTGAAGGCCGACGTAAGGTTTGTAAAAAATTTCTAGTAGACACTTTGGGTGTTAGCTCAAAATATGTTAGTTATACTTTAGCCAATGCCTCGTCTGGATTGTCAAAAGAGGAGAGCAGAGGTAAAACTGCTCCTAAAAATAAAACGCCTCACGCAGTAAAGGAGTCTGCCATTAATTTTATAAAAAGTTTACCTGCGCTGCCATCGCATTACTGTCGCAAAGATAGTACCAAATTATATCTACCTACTGAATTTAAAGACATAAAAAACCTTTATAGGATTTATAAACAGTTAAAAACATCAGAGGGTATAGATGTTGTTGGTGAAAAAATATTTCGTGATATTTTCAACAACAATTTTAATATTGGTTTTCACGTTCCAAAGAAGGATAAATGTGTCAAATGTTTAAGTTTTGAAGGCCAGAATGAAAAAGAAAATCCTGAAATGTTAAACCATTTAAAAGAAAAATAGGCATCAAAAGATAGATTAGCTTTTCACCGTGAACTAAGCAAGAAGAATAACACAATGATTTGTACTTCTTTTGATCTACAAAAGGTACTGAACACCCCACATGGGAAGAGTATGCTGCTTTTTTATTCTAGAAAATATACCGTATACAACCTTTGTTTTTACGAAAGTGGTACCAGAAATGGCTTTTGTTATACGTGGGGAGAAACCGAAGGAAAAAGAGGAGGAAATGAAATAGCTACAATCTTACAAAAGTATATTACTGAAGTCGATTCACGTGGTTCAGTCACTCATTTAATTCTATATTCCGACTCATGCCCAGGGCAGAATAAAAACAGAATAGTTTTAGCCGCTATACATCGCGCATTGCTTGAAGCAAAACACATTGAAACCATACAAATGAATTATCTTCTTCCAGGGCACACGGAAATGACTGTCGATAGCATCCATGCCACAATCGAAAATTCTATTAGAAATACTATAATTTGGGCACCGTCGCAATGGCCAACTGTTTTTCAGTTGGCTCGTAAAGATCCCGAACCATATTACGTAGAAACTCTTACGCACAACGATTTTATGAATTACGAAGAATTTTCAGAAAAGTATTTCAAAGGCAATTTAACCGGAAAGATTAGTAAGGTTCGGGTAGCGACATTTAAAAAGTCGTCACCCAATGTAATGACTGTCAAATACAGCATGGCTAAAGATGCTGAGACCGATTCTATAGCCATAATTACAAGACCAAAGGTAGTGCACCCGAAGTATAAAACATGTTTGCCTATAACTACGGCAAAATACAAAGATCTTAAAAAGCTGTGTGATACAGGGGTTATACCCAAAAATTTTCACCTAGAATACACAAACTTTTTGCACCGCGTTGGTAAAGATGTTCTGATAGATACAGATATTGAAGATGAGATAGAACCTTAAGGTTCTTCGTCATCGTATAAAGAATGATACATTTTCTTTCTTTTACTTTTTGATGATCTATTGTTTTTTTTTTTCATATAAAAAATGCCGAGTTTCTATTGTTTTTGATAAAGAATGTCAATTTTTGGTTGTTTTTAGACGAGATTATTATTTTTTTTAACTTCTGATTTATTATAAGCAACTGAAAAGTTTTTTTTGTAATATTAATGTTTGCTTGTTACTTAAATTAGGTACGTCCATATTGAAGACTGATATTGAATAAATTATAGTTAATAACATTTGTTGTTTTATTTATAAAATAATACTAAAGTACAATAATTTTATATTTTGTGGTGTAATTACTACCTAGGCTTAGGGTGATACACCACCTTATCTTATACCTTGTTCCAAGCCAGTTCCAATAATTCCTGTACACCAAAACGATTTTTTATAATATAAAAAAATTTACAAGACACTGTCTAAAATTTTAAATTGTATAAAGTGGCATACCAACCCTAGAAAAATATCTTATGGACGTCGTTGCTGAACAATGATGGCCTAAGCAGCAATATCTACTATAATCTATTAAGGGATCATTTTGTTTCATCCCTCTAATGGGTATCTGCATCAAATAACTTCATTCTGGTGCAACACCATTATGTTGTTAAGGCTCATGGGCATATTCAACTATCAGTTGACTTGGCGCTAAATTCATTTTCTCTCGTATTATTTTATTCTAAGTCGATGGTTGAGCCAGGTTACTTTCAGCTATTTAATTTACGATAAGCATTTGAACCATTATGCTTTTCTCAAAAAATAACTAAATTTGATGCATTTTGGACTAACCAACATAAATTTTCTAAAATAATACACAATTTTCAACAGTTATAACTTAAAAAACTGCCTTATTTAAATAGGGATACAGTGTATTAAATAAATAAAAGTCTATCAAATAGTTGATTTTTTATGATTTTTTTTTCCAAAAAAAAAACTTTGATCCTTATTCCTGCAAGTTTTACAAAAAGTCGCTTAGATCAATTAGCCTTTCAACCGTCGATATGTACATCTATTGTATATCTATATATGTACCTTATTGATATTATATTTTACTCCATCTACCTTTCTTTTTTATTTATTTGTTAATGCTGTGGACCATCAGTAATATATTAATTAGAATAGAATTAATTATATTTTTTTAAATAAATTATAGAGTCGACTTAGCATGCCAATGGCTCCGAAGACCAGTGGTTAAGGAAAGCGACAAAAAAGCAGGAGTGGAAGGAGCAGAAAATGTAGTTCAAATGGCTGAACAGGTAAAAAACTTTTTTTTAACGTTGCGAAATGCATTTACGCACGACGTGTGGGACTCACCGGCGTAATAAAGCCAGTACTACCCACTAAAATCCAACAAAACAATCCCCCGTCTTAATGGGGCGTCGCAGGATCGCTTACGCATTCAACTACGACGCCCCGACGGCAGGTCTGCCGAAGCAGACCACCACAACCATAGGGTTGCTCCAAGGTCCACTCTCCTATTAGAGAAGTACCAGGAGCAACCCGCATGGTACATCGCCCACCGAAAAGGGCCACCTCCCACCGCCCACAGAAGGGGGCCACCTCCCTGTGCGTTTCTTGGCTTCGCGCCCGGTTGGATTGCCGGGCACTACTGAGCCCCCCCACCACGACAAGGTAAACGCACGTTGGGGGGATCTAATAGGAATACCTACTAATATTGCACCTAACCACGATCATTGATAAAAATATTAAAAATCACCATCACTAGATATTTATAAAATAATTACCTACTTTAGATTTCTCAAAGATAAGATATTTTGCCGCAGTAAAAAGTATCCTAAGTATATGTTGTAAAAAAACTTGCTTAACACTATTCAAGCGTTTTTTTTTCAATACACATTTTACTGACATACATTCACCTGTAAATATAAAGCTTAATATTTACTAATAGAGAAGCATAAGAACTCTTTAATATCGGTTCATTAGTTCTGGGTTTTGACTCCAACATCTAAGCCCTCAAATATCTCCTCATTGGTATACTTACCCTCGTTTCGCTTGAGTCCGTTCCAAGCTGGTAATTTAATACAATAGCTTGGACTGTGCTTATATCAGCGCAACCTTTTGGCAAATTTTATTACTAACACTAGCCATAGCTAGAAAGTGTCATTCCAGAGTATCTGTGTACTATATTCCATTCAAATTCATTCAGCCGTTTGAACATGGGATACATACAAAGTTATAGTAGTAGCCTTATCATAGCAATGCACTTAAAAATAGCCTGCATAATGCTGACACAATATTTATTTTCCACGAATAACAAACTCTATACAAATGTGTATTTATTACAGATGTATGATGATCTCAAAGGTCCTGAGAAAGAAGAGATGAGGCATGTGATAATGGAAACTAAGCAACTGATAAACGAATGTACTGTTAAATATAACAGCGACAAAGCGAGGCAAGTGTAGTAGGAAAATTATTCATTTACTTAATTTATGATTTGACTTGTAACTTATCGTTACTTCACGCGAGTGTATTCCGAAACTTGACAGCCTATGTCAGCGGTTCCCAAATGGTGGTCGGCGGAACCCTAGCGTTCCGTGGAAGGTTTACAGGGGTTCTGAATTCCGTCCTAGAGTTAAATAAACCGTTGTCAGGCATGAAACCTAACTTTATAAATAAATATGTGAAAAAATTTCACTCACACTCACATTAAAAAGTTGGTTATATTTTTGGTACTATAAATATTATTATAAGTATTGATATTTTTCATTCATGATTTGTTCTTTCTAGTCAAACACGAAAGTATTCTAACTACAACACAATTAGTTTACTTTTTATATCAAAATGGGAATCCGTTAAAAAAATTATGATCAATGTTTCGTGGCCAAAAAAAATGTGAACCGCTGGCCTATGTTACTCCAGGTCCATAATCTATCTATGTACAAAACAACATCCAAATTGATCAAGCCGTTTTAGCGTAAAGTGGACAAACAGACATTTTGACATTGAAACTTTCGCATTACAATAGTAGCCCAATTACATTTAAAGTACACATATTTTAATGAAACTCATATTTTGAACAGTCTTCTAATGGAGCGACTGAAGGAACTTCGCAAGATGCTAGAGCGCGGCGTCGTCACGCGGGTTGTTGAAGACTTCTTAGAAGAGGAACCTCTCGCCAACTTGGAAGCTTTGCATAAGGAAAATGGTAAGTGATCTTTATTAATTGACTTTCATAAATCTTATAATAATGAATGAGATTCTTGTATTTTATTTTGCGTTTCTCAGGGACGGCTTTAAGTTCTAACGCTTTGGATCAAATTTTGTATTTAAATCAAATGTTGCTTTGACAAACAGAGGATAAAAAAGTACTGAACTGTAATGTCTTCACCTATTTATATAGAGATTATATTATTTAGCTACTTATGAAGAATTAGATTTCGCATACGCCAGCCCCTGTGGCCTAATGGATAAGGCATCGGCCTCCTAAGCCGGGGATTGTGGGTTCGAGTCCCACCAGGGGTAATGCTAATACATTTGTTTCGTTTATTATTTTTGTTTTAACAACATTTACGTAGAATCTTGAATCTCGAGGTCTTCAAAGCATTTTTTTAATCGACTTCAAAAAAACGGGGTTATTTGTTTTTAATACCGAATGATCTTCTAATTATTATTAAAACTTTCTTAACTACGAATTTTTAACTTTTTTACTGCCTGATTTTTTTCAATTTTATACAATATATATACAATAAATCAATATACATAAATCTTAAAATAAACGCAATAAAAATTACAGTTCTCTAAGGATTCGGATTCTTGCTGGCCTGATTAGACTGATTTTGATAAAAACTGAAACTGAAGCATTTTGGATAATTCCTCCCGCGGTAACCGAACGTGTTATTTAAAGACATTTTCATATGACGTCAACAATATCAATAACACTAAATATCGCATATATTGCTCAAATTTTGGAAAATCCTGATGAAGTTGTCTTGACAGCTTTACCAAAAGTTCGATCATTTTTGTATATTTCTATCTTTTCTATCTTAATTTACAACAATAACGTTACATTTGAAGAAAAATTTCGTTAAAACTGCACAATTAAACTACAGAAATATATTTTTTATATAAATAAAAGTAGAGTCACGTATTTAAACGTAACGTACAATACTTTTTTTGTAATAATAGCTTAGATAATTTTATCTTATCTAGTATCAAAAAAACATACCCTACCCCTGGTGGGACTCGAACCCACAATCCCCGGCTTAGGAGGCCGATGCCTTATCCATTAGGCCACAGGGGCTCTCATAAAAGTCTTATAATTGTATATCAGTTGTATTTTTCACCGATATTAAGAAAAGAGTACCAAGTATAAAATACTCAATTCCAGTGTATGTGTAAGAAATGTAACAGCTTCGCATATTGAGGACCAATTCAAGATTCTTCTTAATAAAAAAATATATTTAATATTGTTTAGACGAAAAGAAGCGTAAATTCTTACTGGAGAAGAAGATAGCAGAGCTTTTAGCCCAACTCGGTAGAGTCACTAAGACTGCTAGGTTTGTGGCTGACACCGGAGTTGCTCCAAGACAAGAACTATTAAAAACTAGTGATCAGGTAAGATCCGGGACCAAAATTGTTGTTAATTTACATTAAATAGTAATATTTCAAATCTTAATAAACATATTAACCACGCACAACCTTTACCGCTGGCTGTAAACGCTAGGTCGTTTGTCAAGTGCTTTTTATATAGCAAAAGTGATTTAAGAAACTAGTTACTGCATGAATGTTTTTAAAGAAATTATGAAAATTGATATTTATGCTATTGTTTATTTTATTTATACCTGTGTTTTGTTGTATTGTATACCTATCGGTTTACAATAATACGATCATAATTTGTAATAGAATTATAAATTATTGTGTGTACTTAGGTGGAGCTTCTAGCCCCTGCACTGGTTAAAGCGGCAGAACAAAGGATCCATCGTCCAGATGATCAGGTAATTAATTCAAATGTATATTTTTTTTAGTTATAAGTTAAATTACTTTACACTATAAAATATTTTTTATATAGAAAATAAACTTGTTATTATCACGTCCAATCAATTAAAAACTTGAAACAGTTCGTATAAGAAAAAAAGCAGATCGCTATTTCCAAGTATTTTCTTAATTTACTAACCATTGATTAATAGCTGGAAGTATTCATATTTCAAACATAGGTTTATTGGAGATGACAAATGCCGTTAGTAGTCTTTAGCTATAATTGAACTAGGTTTTTACTATTTAAAAAAAAACTTCCAGGCAGCAATAGAGCACTACCAAAAGTTGCTGGCGGAGTATGCAGATTCCTTGTCTAGGGTACGAGAGCTCTGCGACCGAGCTGTGGACCCAATTGACTTCTCTCAGGCCGCTGGTGAGACTTTGTATTTATAACAATTATTATATTCCGCCCTTTTTAATTTTCCACTGAAGAGCACTAGCCTCTCTTTAATACTAGAAGTAAGCTCGAAAGCAATAATTTCACATGTCTTCTACTAGATTCTCTAAGATTTTTCTCACTCAATGCAATTCTCTGTAAGTGGTATATAATGGTAATCATATGGAAAAAAAGTTATGAGAATATCAGAGTTGCAAGCTCGGAATTTGAACCCACGCCTTTTCTTTTTTCAAGCGATTATTAACCACTAGATTACCACTACTTTAATAGTTCATACAATAACATCAACAAAAGAATATATCTAAGCTGTCCTTCTCAATTTCCTTATTGAGTTTTTAGAGGATTTTATTTGCCTATACCTTGAAATAATTATTATACTTTTGATCTATTCAGGTGAAACAATGCATCGTATTAAAGAAGAATCTATGGACGATCCACACAAAAGCGTCCTTACTTCTAAAATCATTATGAAGTAAGTTTTTAGCTTTAGTTATAAAATATAAATATTTTACATCTTCTCTTTAATAATTATGATGTAATTTAAATAATATATACACCATCTCATCTAATTTTGTGTTTATCCTATGAAGGTCATCAAAATACCTTCTACCTATACGAACATATTGCCAATTTCGACAAAAATATCCCTAAAAACAATCTCATAAGGATACGTGATTTGTTCATATATGTAATATTATTTTATCTACGTGACTTATATGTATTTTGGGCAGTAAAATTATAAAAAAACTTGCAAAATTATAAAGAAACTAGCGACTCACCCTTGCTTCGCTCGGGTTCGTCCCTAGATACATTTTAACGATTAGTATAGAATAGTTAGACTATATACTGTTATATACATATGTTATTTTTTTCTAACTTAAACTTGACGTATTGTTGTAGATGGTAGGTCCACTACTATTGAAAGTAACCCGAAGTAGTGATTCCCATATAAAATAACCAGTTCTGAACTTTTCGATTTTACAGCTGTTCTCACGGGTTTTTCCTAATTTTTTTTATATTTAAACCATCCCTGATGATACCTCCAACAAAACAAAAAAAGAATTATTCAAATCGGTTCAGCCGTTTATGAGTTTTAGCGAGACTAACAAACAGCAATTGATTTTTATATATATAGATACAAAACACCAAACGCTACAGTTTAACGCTATCCCTTTCACTCGTTTGCCTTTCCTCCAAGATATTTTTAGATTTTTTTAGAAAGATTTTTTTAATAATAACCAATAATTTTAACGTTACCAGGCTTTGCAATAGAGTAATAGATGTGGGAATAAATTCCCAAAATGTGAAGAACGATCCAGAACTGAAGAAGACGCTTATAGATATCAAGCGCGCGGTTGATGCCAAATGCGAAGTGAAGAAAGCCGACTGGAGAGATGTTACTGCTGAGGTAATATCTTTTGTATTAAATTCTTCATCGCTTTAAACAGATAAGTGTCTTTAAAATTAAAAAAAAATACTGCCATTTCCATACACCTTTAAATCTCTTATCGTCATGTTTTTATTGAATGCTGTGAATTCGGTTTTAATACATAAATGAGACAAAATCTAATGTCGTTAATTATAAACGTCTCCATACCATATTATTAACTAACTTTTCATTTTCATAAAATTATACAACAAATGTGTGAACACTAAGAAATTTAAGAGCGTTGATGGATATTTCAGATCTTGTTTATATTTTAGAAGTATAACATGGTTTTGTTGTTTGCAGTTTATGCGAAGGACCGGTGAGGTAGAGTCTGTACTGGGCGGGGAAAATATATTCTTGAAGCAACCAGAACCCGATCAGCCAATTTATGTGAGTACTTACTGTGTATTCAGCCCTTTTTAACGCCCCACTGCTAAACGCGGGCCTCCCTTTAATACGAGGGGGATCAGGCCATAGTCCGCCATGCTGGCTAAGTGCGGGCGGACTGAGCATGTCTTTTGAAAATTTGTTATGTTCTCTCAAACATGCAGGTTTCCGCACGATGTTTTACTTCACCATAAGGTAAGTGGTAATTATATTGTAAATGATACACGCATGAAAATATCAGAGGTGTTAGACCCGTAATTTGAACCCGTTTTACTCGGTTACCACTGTGGTAAGCTAGCACATTACCACTAGGCTACCACTACCTTCTTCATAGTACTTACAACTTAATAATTAACATGGAAGTCAAATCTGAAATCTTTCATGCTGATTATTATTCTTCCTTAGTTTTTGAACGAGGTTTTGCTTGTAAATAATGAGCCTGGTACAGTATTTATAAATAATAATAATAAATAAAGGGACTTAAAATTATTAAGAAGCCTAAAAACTAGCAGTATTCTTATTTCCTTCAAAAATGAAAAGAAATGTGATTAGTTAAAATCCAGTAACAAAAAGCTATTTCCAGAAGGTACTATGACTTCTTAGTGTTTTTATACTAGAAACGTACCATCTCTTCGCTCGCGTGCATCCCGAATTCAGTTAGTAGTTCATCCAAATCCGCCCAGTCGTTATATCGTGAAGGAGTAACATACATACCCTCACATACACTAACATACAAACTGTTGCATTTATGAGTAGTCTGATTTATTGAATTGAGTAATTTTTTTTTGTTTCTCTAACCAGGCGGCAGCGTTGGACCTACACGCGGCAGTACGAGATTGGTCCGCGCGAGACAACGACATAGTCGCTGTGGCGAAACGTATGGCGGTCCTCATGGCGAGACTCTCCGAACATATGAACACTGGTATGTTGTTGAAAACTTTCTATTATAGATACAGATTCGAGAGTAAGTTCGGACTTACCATTAGGGTATATATAAATTTTATATTTTCATTCTTCTTTCACGCGGCAGAAGACAAAAGGACAGCCGTCATTTTTACATAGAGATAGTCTATGAGACGGCTGGTGTTTTATGTAGTAAGTGTTATTAAACTTCCGCAAAAATTCAGAAAATTCATCTGCTCTAATTGGTACTTTTATATAAGTTATGACTGTTAGATTAATATCAATGAGTAGGTACTAATAATAAAGATAATAAATAAGAAAGAATTTGTAAACTTCGTTACCAAATATATCTTTATTCTCTATAGCACTATATAATATAGTTGATTCATAATATTTTTATACTTCTACAATATATTTTGTATAATATTTTAAAAACTTTATTATGTGCATGCTGTTTTTATTTGTAAGTAATTACTACATTAGTTTCTAGTCCTTAGTCTGCTTTTTATATTTGTGTGTACTATTGTGATTGCAAATAAACCTAACAAATAAATAAAGATTAAACGTTGCCAATTAAACATGAATACCTTAAAAAATTGACCTGGGAATGTCGTTCAGAAACTTGCGAAGAAACAAAAATTATCTACCTATCATTATGATGTCATTGCACTGTGCAGAAATTAAATTTATAGACGAGCTTCGCCCGCGTTTAAACTTACGATAGCTACCAAACTTCACAGGATGACCCGCTGGGCTAATCTGAAGATTACCTGAAAATGTAAAAAAAAAAACTCCAGCCTAAAATCGATTTTATGTACATATATGGATTTTGACAAATGTGAATTATGTATTTATAATCTAATTATTATGTATTATGTATAAATAATTTTCTTTAATTAAGGTCGGAAGCAAGAATTGATATACACATCCAACTCTATCGTCAATGAATCGAAAGAGGTCGCGGCTCTTGCGAAGAAAATGGCTTTGGAGTGTTCCGACATAAGGATTAGAACTGTAAGTCTATAGAACTAAATTATTATGTTTCAAATATTTTTTATGTTTTAATTTTTACCCAGAATCATGTTCGGTAAGAAGCAATGTCTTATAGCACAACTAAAGGGAAAATTCCGAAAACCGTTAAATTGTATTTACATCACTATTATTATTATTTTTTTTGCGATTATAAATTTTTTTAATGTTCCATGCAACGGAATCCTCGATGTGAGAGTCAGAGTCACCCTTGACCGATTTTTTTATTAATTCCCTTTCCGCAGAATCTTCTGCAAGTGTGCGACCGGATTCCTACAATCAGTGGGCAGTTGAAGATGTTGACCACCGTCAAGAGTTCCTCTTTAGGTCACCAAGGTATAGTAATAAAAAAAACCTGTCAATAATATATGAAATATATTTTTAATTTTTTGTTTCTAAAATAAATAAATAATAATATTATAAAAAAATGTTATTAAAAAAGTGTGTGCTTTGAGTAGAATTTTTACGATGCGCGCGCACACAGACAGCCAAAAAGCGAAACGATAATGTTAGCTGAAAGCGACATGATGAAGTTAGCTGCATTCCTTTTACAAAGAGAGTTGTGACATCGGGATGAAATCTTTAGCTATTTTTGTTCTGTTACGCCAAAGAAGTATATCTTCTTACGTGCGTACATAAAAACACACACACACTTTTTTTTATTTGGGTCGAATATGTAATAGAAAACAACTGGATTATTTCAAAAACATTCAAACTCTTTACTAATTTGTTTGTTATTTTTTTTAAACAGATAGTACAGAAGACAAGGAAGCGATGAACATGCTAGTGGGCAACGCTCAAAACCTCATGATTAGCGTGAGTACATCGGTTACAAGTTACACTATATTATAACATATATATATTATACCTAAATAAGCAAAGACAAAAAAGGGCAGTACCTACATTTGTCTTCTCTATTTGTCAACCGATTTCTTTTTTTCCGTTTAATAGCTATTGACGAGCTTTAGTGTTATTAGTAAAAAAAAATATTTTGTTCGAATTTCGACCACTGGGCGTACACTGGTTAGTTAATATATGATTCATCTTAATCTATGGTGTCGTTACTTTTACGTCCATCCAATAAGAATTTTACGCAATTTATACAGAACTTGTGCCGCAATTTTAATAGAAAAGTCTTTTTGATAGTCGATAGACTATCAATCTATATTTTTGATTTTTAAAACACTTTAACCTCCGAGAACATTAGTTATTAAAGTTCCCAAGGTTATATATATTTGGAGGGAAATATTTGTATTAATAATCGTAATCTTTACAGGTAGAAAGTTGAAAATCGGCATTATTACGTTTGTCAAAAATATTATTCAATTCAGTTCTTTTGTTTCGTGGAAAATATTATTAACATTATCTATCTACATATAATAAAATTGTAACTAAGCCGTATCTATAAATTAAATCTTTTATGGAAAATCTTATTGAAATAAACATTATTATGGATACAGAGGCCGAATCTATAGCTATTAGAATTTTTTGTCTCTTTGTCTGTTACTACATCACAGTAAAACCACTGGAGGGATTTTGATGAAATTTGGTATGGTTATAGCTGGTTATCCGGGTCAACATATAGGATACTTTTTACTGCGGGAAAATATCTCATTTCTGATAAAAAATACAAAAACTGCAATGTAGAGTCTACTAATATGTAAAACCTAAGAATTTGGTTTTTGATCATCTGAACGCGGGCGGAGCCGCGGGCAATGCTAGTCATGAAAATAAAATTGAAAAATGACGTTGACCATTGACAATGACAGTCCCGGTTCCCCTGATGCGTTGTTACTAGAACATAAATTATTTGAATTTTTAACCTATAAATGCATTTGGTTGCTTACTCATTTTGCTTTTTGTTTTAAAAAACATGTAATAGATATATAAATTGATTTTTTTTACGAATACCAGGTCCAAGAAGTCGTGAAAGCTGCCGCAAGTGCATCAGTAAAGATAATGTCTCAAAGAGGATATAGGATGAAGTGGAGAAGAAGAAACTATTATTGATAAAGAAAGAAGAAAAAGAAGATTATGATATTCTTCTAAAATTTACCATAAAAAAATGTTTCAAAGGTTGTAAAATTATAATTTTAAGTGCGCAAATTGTTCTTATAAAAGTCTTTCCACATTTACCTTTATTTTTTTTATTTTATAAAATAAGAAAAACATGTAACTTTTAATAAATTTTTCAAACAAACTTATTTGTAATTAATTTTTTTAAGCTCTAATAAATATATATATATATATATATATATATATATATATATATATATATATATATATATAACGGTATATATATATATATATAACGGTAAGAAATTCTTAACAATTTTATTTTTCTAATGTAATACAACAAAATGTTCTATTGAATATAGTAACTATAAAGGTTAGATACTCTGTTAGAGTAACCACGTTTATGCGTATATGTACAGCTTTAATTCTTAATACTAAAACTAAAAAATATAAACTGGTAACATTAACGTTAAAAAATAAATAAAAATAAAAAAAAACAGACGACAACATTTTGAAGACCAAAACTTAAGCAGTAAGCACCTTTATTCCCTATCTATGAGGATGTTTTTTGAACAATTTAGAAAGTTCTAATAAAAAAGACCATAACAAAATTGATATATGATATATCTAGACATTACTCCATGAGGTTTAGCAGAAGAGTACAGCTTATCAAAATAATTCCGTAACTTTTATAATAGCCATAATATATTACAAGTCTAAAACTATCTTTTACTGTCACTTCCTCCGGGCTGGTTGTCCTTATTTACAATTTGCTGCAGCTCATAATCTTGTACCACTTGAAATATTTTACTCTTTGCCTGATTCAAGTAATATGGACTAAACTTTCTAAGTGTAGATCCTATGGTTATCAGAAAAACGTCTAAAGGATCTGCTGGGTTCAGTTCTTGGAATTCACTATTATATGAAGAAGAATTGGTGTCCTCTGGACGTTTCTGGAAGGTCACATTCGGCTTAATTTCTCTGCTTTCCCGATATTCTTCACCAAAAGTGTCCGTCAGTTCACAATTCGGAGAACCGTCGAAGAAGTCGGCGTATTCATCATTTGAGGTGTTTAAATTCGTTTCTTTAAAGTAAGGAAGCATAAATGACAGTTCTTCCTCGTATTTATAATTGTAGCTCCTGTGGTTTGGGTTCCGAAGGCGATCTCTAATCTTCCGGCGCATCATGTCCCGGATGTTTACCCATCTTGTCTTGCAAATTGTCGCTGTAAAAGAAAAATAAGAACTTTTTTATAAAAATTAAATACGTTATAACATTAATTCGAACAGATTAGTAAGATTCGATTCGATTTATGGGAATAAAACTTTCATTTATAAAATCTGGACTACGATATCACTCGATGGTAATTTATTCATCCTAATATTATTATTATAAACATAAGAAAACAAAGATTTAAGTCACTTAATGTGTATCAGTTGAGCTATAAGCTCAAGAGTCATCTGAAAAGAGACTCAAAAATAAAGGGATAATCTACGATGTATCCGGAACAACGTCCGTATCAATTTACTACGCTACACCACGGTAATGTAATGCATACAGGTACTATTCCAACTCGGGCCTGTCCTTGAAATAATTACCTACAGCCGAGAAGGACGTACCCACGCGACAGGGCTGCCCGAGTGCCCGCCGGCCAGTATTTTAATTTCATCTACCTACTTGAGTTTCTTTCTAATTTTGTGATTTCAAATATTACATTTTTTATTTAAAAACTATTATTAGTAGTAGATTTAATTAAAAAATCTCAAATTTATAAAGGTGGTATGTGACCCTTATAAATTTGAGATTGACAAATATTTGCGCCTCGACTGAGACGTACGAAAAGCTTTATTGTTATAGTATAAAGAATCCGCATTCGGATAAAAAGTTTAATTAAAAATACTTTAATTTTTATTTTTAATTTAATTGATAAATTTTTATTTTTAAAACGTACGATGTCTCGATATTTTTTGTTTGACATTAGCGAAGCTACGCGAGGAATAAAATGTTTATTTGTGTATCAAATTATAAAAGTTACATAAGATAACAACCTTATTAAATTTTCGTATCCAATTATACGATCTGGCAGCCCCGCACCGTTGTCTACCGATTTTATACCGAACGCGGCGCGCATAGGTATAACTCGATTTCCGACCGTTTGTATGAAAATGGAATACTGTATGTAATATTACCGTGGCTACACACTGCTGGGCAACCGAGAGGCCCTACCCATTAGGGACTAGCTGTGCGGCATTCCGAAAGGACGACACGTTTGGCTCAGTTTGTAGTGACCCTACTTGCTGTGTCAGTGGTCGCGGGTTCGAGTCCCGCTGGGGACATTCATTTGAGTGATGAGCATGTTTGTACTCCAGTAACGAGTGTTTATATTTATAATATGTATGTATTTAAAGTTATATTATTATATGTAGTGTATCAACTATCTGGTATCCATAACACAAGTCTCGTAGCATACTATTGAACTAGATGGTGCTGTATGTTAATGTCGCAACATATAAAAAGGAGTCTGTGATATCTATGAAAAACAAAGTTATTTGTATTATCTTAAGTATGAGGAGCGAGACGTACTATATTTTAGTTATGCTGTGCATAAATAAACAAGTCGCAAAAACGTGTCCTTAGATACATATATGTATTTAGACAAGGCGCATCCATAGATTTCTAACAAATGAAAAATCTAGAAGCTATACTGATAGACATCCATAGTTTTTTTAAATTATTGTTGCCTGTTTTAAACAAAATATTTAAAGTTTGAGGTTTTAAGTTTTCATTATTAATATTTCTGTTACAATTAAAATATTATAGTTTAAAGACATACATACATACATATAGTATATGTATATGTACTACATATCATCGGCGCTATAGATTAGTGAACTACTTTAAATCTATTAGCGGTGATTACAAGTAGTAGTTAGATAAATTGCCGTCGTCGTGGTTAAATACCATAGTTTATACTTCTTGCGTAACAGTAACAGTTTTCAAGCCAATATAGTCATTGAGTCAAGAAATTCCCAGTAGCAGCCCTGAGTTGGGAAGTTGCCGGTGTTCACCCCGTGCCTAAGAGAGCACGTAAAATATTTTTGAAACCGTAACAATATTATAATATTTTTATGAGATTTTTTTTTGTTAATTAACACTAACTTCAATAACAAATCGACACATATAATATGTACCTCATACCATCTACTGACTTTTTATTAAACTAATTAAATTATGTAAAATTCAAAATTTCATATTTTTCTCAACATATCTTCTCAATCTAAGTAAAGGTCCATTTACACAGAAAGGCAACGGCGACAAATCGGCGCTTTCGCGTACTCGCTATACAATAACCGTCCCTAAATATCAAAAATTCATATAATTTGGTTCACATCACTCAATTTTTTTATATTACATATTTAAATATTTCCACCAACCATTTCGTACCTTTCAAATATGACCCTTTTCGTGTACATTTTCTTTTTATCGTATGTCCGTACATCATAATAAAAAAGTTATCTTTTTGTTTCAAAAAAAAAAAGAAAAATTATAATAGTGTTTTATCGATTTAATAATCGGTAAATTCGGTAATAATAAAATAAAATGATCTTGTAGTAATGATAAAATTGCTAAATTTAATTTAAAAATGTGGTTAGCAAATCTATGGAACTAATAGGAATACCTACTAATATTGCACCTAACCACGATCATTGATAAAAATATTAAAAATCACCATCACTAGATATTTATAAAATAAATAGTTTAGATTTTTCAGAGATGAGATATTTTCCCGCAGTAAAAAGTATTCTAAGTATATTATGTTGACCCAAATAACCAGCTATCATCATACCAAATTTCATCAAAATCTGTCCAGTGCGTTTCTCGTGATGCGTTCCCAGATAGACACACATATAAAAATTCTAAAAACTATAGATTCGGCCTCTGTATCGATAATAATTACAATTATTATAAGATTTTACAAAAAAAAAATTCAATGTACAGATTCGGCTCAGCTATAATTTTAATAATATAATATGTATAAAACCCAATGCCCATTAAGAATACAATATTCCAATTTGCAATAAAGAAACATGTGAAAGAATACTACCAATGGGTATTATAAAATACGATATAGGTAATTATTTATTTTGATGATAATATACCATAAAAAATAAAGCCTTTTCTATTAAAACGTTAATATAAGCAATAATATCCTTCTTATCAGAACATTCTTATTACAAAATCGGTTACGATTTTTATTTACACGACCAACGACTATAATTATTTTACTTTATAATGTGACAAAAACATACCAGGTCTGTTTAATGTGTCGCCAATTTTCTGCCAAACCACTTCTCTAGTGTCGAAATCTAAGTATTTAGGATCTTTAGAATTGTAAATTATAGGATTCTCTTTCACTAAAGCTAGTAATTTAAGGTCAAGAGTCTTGTTAAAAGGCAACGGCATGGCGGCGCGTGACGGGCGGGAGACGACTGCGATGCGGAGAGGTGTTGCCTGTTGAGGATATACGGCTCCCTATTTAAAAAATCTTATTACTTATTAATAAATAAATAAAATCTACATTTTAATATTCATTAAGTTTTGTATTGAATTATGTACCTAATGTTACCCGTTGAAAATGAAATATTAGTATTTTTAGTTTATATAATACATTTATCTAATACTTATCATCCATTTTCACACAAAATTAGCTAAGCTACTCGTAATATCATATAGTCATCTTCATTTGTTATGAATAATAATAAATAAATTTATACAATAAGTAATATTATTATTCTTATAAAATCTTTACTAATTAAGTACATATCTAATATAACATATGCGATTTAATCGTTTTTTTTCTATGATAAACTTGCTTAAACTTTTTAACCGATTTCCAAAGAGGAGGAGGTTCTCAATTCACCGAAAACTTCTTTTTTATTTTATATTATAATATATCATAACAGGCATTTGTTAAGAAACTTCTTTAGTTTAACTTTATCAACAACACTAAAATAAACGAGCGATAACACTTTTTCATATTATAAGAATAGTTTATTACATAGTATACTTCAAAATAATTCGAAAATTAAAACAAATACCGTATTTTACCGTATTTTATCGAAACGGTCTTACAGGTAGCAACACTGATCCGACACGAGCGAGGCACGGGACGGCAACCTCGCGCGCCGACTCCGACCGCCGAGCGCCGAGTCTCGACTATTATTATAATTATTTATTCAACAAACACAATATGTACCTACTGATATACTTTTACTTCCTTTATCTTTAAGTATTTTCATTTCTGTTGATAACTAACAGCCCGACAGATTTTGTGTCTCCCGATATTAATAAATTTAATTATGGTTTTTAGGGTCTTACAAAAATTATGTACAAAAAAGCGCTTTAAGTTTCTCCAGAATTCTAATTTTTCGAACAACCTTTCCTATTTGTTTTTTTCTTGCCTTATCCGAACTATTGCAATCATATTAAAAAAGAAATTATCCATATCGGTCCAGCCATTCTGTGCCAAGTGATACCTACGCAATAATTGTAAACTATAATAATGAAAATAGTACTGAATCCTGAAATGAACTGAAATGAAATCAACTTCAAATAAAACAGGTTTTTGTTGGAGATAAATCTTGATTATCCATAAGTTTTTCATTCATTGACCGATTTCAAAATAAAGGAAGTGCATAATTCGGCCAAATCGTTTATTACGGTTCGCAGTTTCCAAAATAATAGAGCGCTGTGGTCGCTCTATTATTTTGGAGGGAGAGTTGAGTATGAGTGGGTGAGTGAGTGGTCATATAATTTCTTATAACAAATTTTATATAATCTATATAAATATGTATGTTGAATGTTCGTATATTTGGCCTCTATGCGATCCTAATCCATTCATCCGATTGTCATGAAACTCTGGTGGGTTATTCTGTATCTCCTGCAAAACGTGCTCGGAAAAAAAAACATTTTTTGGACTTCTTACGTTTGTCTGACTATTCGTCGCAATATCGACGCGTTCGCTTAAAATGACAACATATCTAAAGTTTTGAAGGGCAGCTATAGAAGTAACTTATGTCGTTAGAATCGTTATGAAATAAGCTAACAAATTGAATTGTTTATTAGTTTTGTTTTGTAATATTATAAATAAATATAACTTGAAATCAGGATGAGCCAATTTTTCCTCGTTATATGTAAAAAAGTTTTTATAATTAAAATAATAAAACCATTATTTCAAAAAATATTTGTTTTATTTACATAAATATACAATTAAAAAAAGAGGACACACCTCCTTATACATTTTTTTCATCACACAAGGCTTACAAAAACATGCGTTATTTATGCGACCCGAGCATCCGGGCAAAAAATAGGCTCTAATGATACTTCAATAATCTGAGAACACTGTTGGACAACGTGGAACGCGAAAACGAGAACCAGAGATTAACCATGTTTCCGAGATGGCAATAATGACAGGCTCATGAAGGGAAATTATAGAAAGGAGTTTTTTTGGAGGGATACGTTTACTTTTAATTCCGCTGAAAGAAGTTGAGTGGAGTCAATTATTTAAGGATTGGGAGATTTGTTATAAACTTTGGGCAACGTTGGATGGTGTTGAAATATCATCATAAGTAGAGATGATATTTATTAAAGTTTCTATAAGGGAAACTAAGAGGCTAGATTTGGATGGGGATGGTTAGTTATCTGTGTTTCTATTTAAAGCACAGCCATTAGTAAGGGAAGAGGAACAATTACCAATGATAGCTTGGTGAGCTAGTCTATCAAATCCCTTTGAAAGAGGAGCTCGGGGACGAGGTGAACAGACAATAGTTTTTTAAGACTGGATTGTGAGATGGATACAGGAGTAGAGGTAAACAATAAACATTTCTTTTGCAATGTTAGCATAAAAGTGTGACAGGAGGGAAACGCGATGATGATTCTGTAGCTACACTCGACGTCTCGTTAAACACAGAAAAGTTAGCTCTGAAAAGAGCGGTTGTTGGAGTGAAGGAGAACCTCCTGGATCCGGAGAATCAGGACTGTTCCACATTTAAATCTTAAAACTATAAACTAAACCTTAAAACAGACACAGTACTTACACAAACTAAACACCAAGTTAGTTATATATAACTAACTTTATCTATGATCTATAGATAAAAACTTAAAAAAAATGCTCAAAAACACAGCTAAATTCAAGACAAAACACACAAATCTCACAAACACCTATGTTAACCACAGCTAACGAAAGCAGTCTTCCTAATATGAATAATATATTATACTTAGAAGTTAGAGGTAATGTTTTGGGTCAATGACCATATCTATCAAAGTCCAAAGACGGCTATCGACGCTCATCTTGTCCATAGAAAACACTTAATAACAATAAATTTTATAAATATTACTAGCGACTTACCCTCGCTTCGCTCGTGTTCGTCCCTAGCTTGCTTCCCCATACAAACTTTCATCCCCATTCTCACCCCCTTAAGGAATGATTTCCGGGATAAAAACCATTTCGTTCACTCACTTTTCATATCATGAGATTTAAAAAAAATCTTATTGTAGTAAAAAATTTTTTTTTATATTCTTCTCCACAAAGATTATCCTGACAATAACAAACAAAAAAAATATCCAATTTCGTGCAGTCGATCCGAAGTTATGCGCGTACATACATTTCGGTGAAAACCCCCTACGCAAAATAAATATTTGTCATTTAACGATTACACTGGCACGCGTGAAGCACATCATTTTGGAAAATAGCTGATATTCTTACACTGCTGGACCGGTATAAACCAAACATAGCTAAGAACCACCGCAACAAGGAAACTGACTTTTAAAAGAAAAAAACCGCATCGAAATCGGTCCATCCGTTTGAGAGTTATAACACCCTTCTTTTTGCGTCGGGGGTTAAAAATGACATAAAAGTATATTATTTGAAGAATAATTGTAATTAGCTAACGTATGTTTTTTAATATGCAAATATAACATGGGAAACAACTTTTTATAACATTACTAGTGACTTACCTTCGCTTTCCTCGGGAGCGTCCCTAGGTACATACGTAGCGTTGCTACAGTTTAATAGATTTTGTAAGAGGTATAATTCCGTAATACATTTTTTCATATACCTAACTATTAAATATTGGTTTACGCGGCACACGCCCAGTGCCGGCTTTGGGAAGGGGGGGGGCCTGGGGGGGGCTGGGGGGGACCTGGGCGGTTGCCCAGGGCGCCAGGTTATACAGGGCGCCGCGCGCGCCAGCTCAACTTAACCATTTAATTTGAATCTTTTTTTTTATCGATCTAAAGGAAAAATAGACTCAGCGTTTTATCGTATCTCTCACTAAGTAATTCTTAATACACGTTTTTTTTAATTGTAATGAAATAAGTATACCTAAAAGGGCGCCAAAGGCATGACTCGCCCGGGGCGCCCAGATGGCTAAGACCGGTCCTGCGCACGCCATTAAAACACTCAGTCGTCCTGATTTTTCCGACATCATCATAATATTTCAGCCAATTTACACAAAACCTTACTAAATTGTACGCAAAAACCTTCCCCATAAATCACTCTGTCCATGGATTAAAACCGTAAAGAAAATCCATTCGGTGTCGCGTACAGACAGACAGACGCGACGGGGCGACTTTGTTTTTTAATACGTAGTAAATACTTACTTAAGTACTACTTATTATAGTTCTTTACCTACTTAAATAGTGAATTATACATACATACTAACCTACAAGCATATTGCATTTGTAATACTAATAATAAATGCCAGCATTCATTCTAAATTTTTATCAGACATTCTATATTTCATAGCCATTTAAATGTATGCAGCATTTTTAATGTATTAGTGATGAAAGCGCTTTAATTATAAATTTGCAAATCTAAGTTGGGATACCAGTTTGATTCCTGTTATAGGTTTTACGGTTAGAGCTAAATTCGTCAAACACAGTTTACATCAATTAATTATTATCAGAAAAAATGCTAAGTCAATTTCCCATATTCATTTAATGTGCATAAGAATTGTACATAAATTATAAAGTTTCATTATAAAGGGCGCGGCAAAACATAAATAATACGATAAGCGATTTACAAATACAAGACTAGTTATACGTTATATCTTTAGTGCGTCGAATCGATCGTGGCGTCGCGTCACGTTCCTATAAAACCACTACTACGAGAACTCACTTTTTCTCATTTATTATTTCAGTTAAAAGATGCTTTATTTCTCAAAAGAATAACATTGACTTATGACAAAACTTTTCAAGCAGGTAGTTCAAAATTACTTATTATTTATTTATTTTTCATACTAAAGTTTATTGCTAACTTTAATGCAACCAAACTCTTTATATATTATTTTTATGGTCATTTTAGATTTTGGTTTACTTATACTTCGTATGGGATTATTTTTTCGCTGAATAATCCGCAATATATATTTTAAGTCACATTATTCATAAAAAGATAATATCATGTTAATTTCTGAACGATATTATTAAAAATATATTTGGAGTCCAAATTTTGGACTCACTATCACTTTCTTAGTTTTCCTTTTTATTTTTGTTAGTTCATATTTTTGATTAGGTAAAAAAACGTTATTTTCATACGTAAAAGAAACTTTATTAAAAAGTATTACCTTGTATTATTTTAAATAAACTTTTAAACTGCTAAGTATTTCTAATACAATAATAATTATACTAACGTAACATTATCATATACTTAATAATAAATTTAACAACCAAATTGCCATCGACATCTAACTCCTTAATAAAAAAAATTCGCTAAATCTAAAACTATTCCATATAAATCGCTTCAGAAGTGGAAACTTTGATTTCGTGTGGTGCGACTTCACTGTTGTGCTGTTTTTGTACTATTTGCTGTAGATCATGTTCTTGTACTACAGAAAAAATCTTGCTCTTAGCGAGATTCAAGTGATAAGGAGAGAAAGTTTTTAAAGTTGCACCGATGCTTAAAAGAAATGCGTCTATAGGATCCGCAGAATCAAATTCAGCCGGAGGTGCCGACTCATTGAATGTAGATGTACTTATTGGATCAACTGCTTCCACAAAAGTTTCACGCTTTTTCTTCTTTTTCTTAACACTAGACAGATTAAATTCTTTTTTAATTTTAATCTTCTTGATTGGTTCGTTTGAACTGTCATCAGTGGGTCCGTCATCACATTCGTCGTTTCCTTCGTCAATGCTTCTATCATCGGACTCAAATTCTTCATTCTGAATTGTAACATCTTTATAAAAAGGTCGCAAAAACGATATTTCATTTTCATATTTGTACATTTTCGTGCGCCGACCTTGTTCTAAATTTCTTTTTAAAATACGTCGATATACATCGCGTATGTTGATCCATCTTACTTTACAGTCAGCCGCTGCAACAAATAGTAATTTTGAATATAAAAATAAAATAAAAACCATAATAATTGACTTCTTTGGACCTATGTAAGTGATATATAATTTAAATTAAGTAAATAGTGTACATATATATATATATATATATATATATATATATATATATATATATATATTATAATTTAAATTAATTAAAAGAAAAAAAATGTTACTAATTTAATGCTTTCGTAATATACACATATATAATAAAATAGTAACAAAGTGAAATCAATATAAAAAATATTTTCAGTCATAGTCAAGCGTTCAGTAAAGTCCATGTTAGCATGTATCTATCTCTTAAGGTAAACTTACAATAACTATTTTTATCTATTTGAAACGTACCGTAACCTAGGGATTCACCCGAGCGAAGACAGGATAAGTCGCTAGTATTTTTATTACTTTTTATATATCATTAATTTATTTTTATTATAATGCATTTATTAAAATATTTTTATATATAACTAGCAGAACGTGCGGCTTCGCTCACGCTAAACTACAAGAAAAACTCTAAAAAGTGGGTATTTTTGTCGTACTCAATTCATACGAAATTTCCAGTCCAGGGATAAAAAGTTTCATACAAACTTTTATCCCCTATTTCACCCCTTGGGAGTTGAAATTTGAAAAATCCTTCCTTAGTGGATGCCTTCGTCATATGAGGAATACGTGTGCGAAATTTCAATTTACTAGCCTCAAAGGTTTGGCCTGTGCGTTGATATATCAGTCAATCACTTTTGCCTTTTATATATATAGATTAATTAATTTACTTTTTTTAAAATATGATGTTCTCCCGACCGATTCCGGCCACGGCGGCCAATCTCATTGAGACTAGCCAACTGCGCAGGAGATATTATAGTGCACAAGTGTACGCGCAGACACAAGTGCACTCTCTATTCCTGTCACTCTCATACTCCGGTGGGACGACTGCTCGACACGACCAGTGAGAGTTAAGGCGCAGGACCGACGGCTTTACGTGCTCTCCGAGGCACGGGGGTGAAACACCGCCAACTTCCCAACTCCGGGCTGTTACTGAGGCTTACTTATACAGAAAGACTCAATAACTAAACTTGGCCCGACCCGGGACTCGAACCCAGGACCTCCGGGTGTGCAGCCGTACGTGCTAGCCACTACACCACGGAGGCAGTTTTAAGTTTTTAAAATAGCATGTCACGCTCATGACTTGTTCTTAGTCGAAAATAAAAAAGTGAATAGATAATTCGTTCAATTTATTTACTTTTTATTTTATTCATTTTATATTTATATAATATAGATTAAAATCTAAACTAATAATATAAAGAGGTAAAGTTTGTGAGTTTTTGACGTTGTAGAGTTCTACTGACCCGATTTAGATGAAATTTAGTAAGAAGGTAGTTTAAGACCCTGGCAAGGACATATGATACTTTTTATCCCGGAAATCATTCCTTAAGGGAGTGAAAATGGGAATGAAAGTTTGTATGGGCAATCAATCTAGGGACGAATCTGAGCGAAGCGAGGGTGAGTCGCTAGTAAGTAATATTATTAGTCATTTGTCTAATCATCATCATTTAATTATAAATGTATAAATAACGGCACATAACATTGAATAACACAAACACACACAAGTCAAAATTCACTCTAATGACTTACGAGTGAGTAAATTTCGAGTTTCACAAGTAAACAAAACAAGCAATCGTAAATTATAAAGCCAACTCACCGGGTCTCTTCAACTCGTCGCCAATCTTCTGCCAGGCGACCTCCCGCGCATTGAAGTCCATATATTTTACATTATTGTGATCATACAAAACTGGGTTTTCTCGCACTAATCTTATTAGAGTTATGTCTAATTTCTCGTGGAAAAGCATGACGTCGTGTCGGACGCGTCGTTTCAGTCTGGTCGCAATCGATTGGAGCTCGCATCCAGTGTTGCTACATCAAATTATTGTTATACATTTTTGTAACACTATTATGATGCTTTTATTTATTTTTGAAGTATTTTTTGTATTTATTATACTATGTATTTTATATAAATTATTGTATTATATTAATATTTTGATTTCATTAAATATTGGTTTTTACTTTTTAGACATAGTGACATTTCCCTCCAATTTTTGATTGTCACAAATGTCATAACAATCAACAATGAACAAAATCTTAAAGAACAACAATATCACAAACAAAACAAAAATTAAGTCAACTAAAAAAGGTCATATCACGGTAATGTAGCATTACATTACCTTGGTCATATGTACATAAAAGACATGAAGATTAATTAAAATAAGTGTTTGTGATGTCTTCATCAAAAGGATCTTGCTGTATTCGTGGCTGTTCAAATATGCCGTATAAAAATAATACGCAGTTGAAATTTTATCGTTTCCCCGAAAGTTCAATGAACACTGCGTGAGTAACCTTCAGACGCCAAAAATGGATAAACGCAGTAAAAAACTACGTGTAAGTAAAGTCTTCTAATGAAAAAATATATTAATTTTAATTATTATATTGTGTATACTGTATAATCAATAATAATGATACTACAGTTGGTAGGTTTTAGACAAGTTCAACATTTTCTATTCCATAAATAATAAAAGATTATTATCGATAGGATACAAAAAAAATCTGTACGATTTCATTTATCATAAAAAATAAAAAGCTTGTTATGTATTTGTTCATGTTGACTTTAATATTATATAATAAGTTTAAAAAATTAAATACTATTATGAGAAAAAAGTAAACATTTGTTTAAAAACAAAACAAATCTTCAAGTTTTTTAACTACATACATTTCAGAAAGCATCAGAAAGATTGGGAACTAAATAAAAATACTAGAATTTGTAGTGCTCAAATGAGCACTGATAAAATTATCAATAATCAAAAATCAGAAAACCCACTACACCCATCTTACATACCGACAATTTTTCCTGGCAAAGAAAATACAAAAAGATCTACTCAGTCACTTCAACGATTTCAACGATTACAGCAACGAGATCAATCAAAGAGTAAAAAAATTAATAAAATAATAATAATGGTATAGATAATAGTGACAAAACTGTCAGTGCAGTTCACAAAGAACATAACATAACATAACATAATTCTTCTGAAGTTGAACTACAGAATGTAAAAACTTGTCATGTCTCTCATACTATTTACAAAGAAACAAGTTGTAGTATAACCTGTCAAACTGATAAACTAATTACAGAAAATATTTTCGATGAGCATACCTACTTTTTTTGTAATATTAATACTTGTGATGTTGTTAATACTGCAGAAGTGCAAGTAAATATACCAAATAAGAAGACAGTGGAAAAAATGTGTAATGTAAAGCCACCTTTACGAAAGTCTGTTCAAGATATGGAGTGTGATCTGATCAGTCAAGATTCATTAAAGCAAATTGTCAAGGTCAAATTTTATCATTTTGACCTCTAATACGATCAATTTTTATAGATAAAAAAATATATATTACACTGTTTACAGCACTGTTTATCTTATTTAACACCAGGTGCTCTTCTTTTAACAGAAGTGTTGCCTCTATAGTTTGGGCATGGGCTTACACTTCCTTCTTCAAATGCAATAATCTTAATATTAATTAAAAATCAGGTATTTATTCCAAAATAAACAATTGATTGTAATATATTAAAATCCGTTCTTAAATATAGAAGTAGAATTAGCTAGAAATCTACTATAGTTAACACACAATTCAACAAAGTTATGTAGAACACAATTAGCATGAATTTTTGTGATGATCTTTGTAAAAATCCAACAAAGGTTAAAAAAATAATATCTGGTTATTTGATATATAAGTGTTAAAAGCAAAGGAACATAAAACATATTATTATTTTAATCTGTGAAAGAGTAACTTTAAATCAGTTTGGTTAGAAAAATTTACACAAACTTTGCAGCTATTTTTCACCCCATTGAGTGCAAAATTTACATTTTGCAGTCAGTGCTTTCGGTAGTCTAAACGGTAAAACGGTAAACGGTCTAAAGGTAACATAAACATGGTAATTAACTTCATTAGTCACATGACTTACAGATAACTAGCGACTCACCCTCGCTCGGCTCGGGTTCGTCCCTTCTTACTTAGTTCTTACGTTTTAACATTTTGTATAGGTTTCTCATAGATGAGATATTTTCCCGCAATAAAAAGTATCCTATGTTGACCTGGATAACCAACTATCATCACACCAAATTTCATCAAAATCTATCTTGTAGTTTTCCCATGATGTGGTATCAGACAGATAAAAAATCTAAAAGCTATAGATTCAGCCTCTGTATCGATAATAAAAGATTTCAATAACATTTTCCAAAAAATATTTAATGCACAGATTCAGCTTAGTTACAATTTTATTATATGTATAATCAGGGTTTAAATTATTTTTAGGTAAATAAAAGGCAAATATGTATAAGAATAATTATTTATTTTTATCATAAATATTGCATTTCCTATTGCTTGTGATCTACTCAGCTATATTAATAGTAAGTCTAGTATATCACTCTCACATTTTTAGGCTAAAAGCTACACCATTAAAGCTAATTGGATGTAACTGAATTATTTTATATCTGTGCCATATATTTAAGCCGAATGGAAGTATGATGATTATTGGCTATTAAAAAGTCTTCACAGCCTATAAATGGACTAAAATAAACAAAAATGTGTAAAGAAATAAATGTGTGAAAAAAAAAGAAAAAACATTATAAAATAAAAAGCTTTATTAAAATAAATAAAACTATAATAGCTAGAAACAAAGGTTAAAATAGTAGTAAATAAAAAAAAAGAACAAGAAACAAATATAAAAAGAGATTTTCTTATTTACAAATTAAAAAAGCAAAATGCTACATCCATAATCATTATTTACTATTTAATGCATAGACATAGAGTGGACTAAGTGCTTCTTTGCCAACCGTCACCTAAAAATGGCGGTCAGGCGTGACAGAGACAAAACAAATGTGCGGCCAGAAATCTTCTGTATTCATTGAAATATGAATAATGAAGATAGATATTTATAACCATTTAACATTCCATTTATAAATTCCAATTGGAATAAAAGACAGATATTGGCTGCACGATCGCTCTCTCTCTTTCTAGAGTGTTCAATTTCATGAGAGTGTTGCTCAGTCCATTCTCTATGTCAGTGCTATAATGTAATGTCTACATGTACATATAAAAATATTATGCCAAAATACTAGTGACTTATACCTGTTGATTAGGGACACAACCAATTTTTCTTCATATCAGGGACTGAACACTATCTTTTGACAAATTACATACATATGACACTGACAAATTTAGTTGAAAACACATATAAATATACATATATCTTGTTTTATATTAAAATATAAAATATTAGACCTAAAATTACAATTACAATATATGAAATCAAATAATTGTATAATTTTTCAATGAATATAAATAGTGAAAGTTATTACATTTTATAACTGCATGTATCAGTCAATATCATTAAGGAGTCCAGATTATTTTAATGTCTTTTATGACAGTAAAAACTTATTGTTTCTCATTCTCGTGGAAGAAATGGGCCATTCATAAATCATAAGTACATATAATATGTGTGCAAACAAAGAGAAGATATTTATTATTGACTAGCATTGCCCGCGGCTCCGCCCGCGTTCATATTACCAAAAACCAAATTCTTAGGTTTTACATATTACTATACTCTTACGATGCAGTTTTTGTATTTTTTCTCAGAAATGAGATACTTTTCCGCGGTAAAAAGTATCCTATATGTTGTCCCGGATAACCAGCTATCACCATACCAAATTTCATGAAAATCCCTCCAGTGGTGTTTCCGTGATACGGTAACAGACAGACAGACAAAAATTCTAAAAACTATAGATTCGGTCTCTATATCGATAATAAAGTCTATTTCAATAAAATTTTCCATAAAATATTTAATGTACAGATTCGGCTTAGTTACAATTTTATTATATGTATAGATAAACTAGAAATTATTTCTTCTGACAACGAAGAGGTCTAAGGAGGATTATTATTTTTTAATTAAATAAAAAAAAAGCAATAGGTTCTTCTTTCAAGCATATTGTTATTATACATTATGTTATATTGTAGATATCCTATATTATATTATAGTTTAAATATGCTATTATTTACTTTTGTTTTAAAATTTGAATAATTAATATGATAATATTGTATCATACACCTAATTTGATAACGAATCAAGAAGTCAGAAGATGAATAATGAAATTGTATAACACTTAACACCCTTGAGTTTAAGCTCATTTGATTTGTTAAGTTGTTAAGTCCTACAAATTACACTTGGTTTAAAGCATGTTTAGTTAGTTTTAAAACTAGAGAGATTTAATGAATATACTTTAAAGGTAGTTTCGGAATAAATTCAATTCTAATAGGACAGGAGTTCAATTTAAGCAGTTATGAATGGCCCTAAATAATGGTTAAAAAATGTATCAAAATGGTTTGCATACTTTCATAGAACTAAGCGAACAAAAAGAAATATTAATTTTGTATATATACTAAAATGGTATGCCACTAGTCTGAAATCTTCCAAAGATTTAATCAAAGTTTGATTATTATCTCATCTTGTGAAAGCAGCGGCACAGGGTAAATACTTTTTACATATTTTCTTTGCAAGAAACTAATATAAATCTTTAAATTAAATACAGTGCTGCTGACATGTAATTCTGCATCACATTATCAAAGTCCCCCAGCAAAGGTGAAATAATGTTGACGAGTGACAAACCACAGATATAAAAGAAAGTTATAAGTGTAAATATATTTTTTAGTTTAGTCACCATTTTAAACTGTATATTTGCTATATGTTATATAAATATATGTATATATAATATATATCTAGGCTACTTAATCTATAATATATAACCTATAAAGCACTAACCGATGGCACTTCCTTGCTAAAATCACACTCATTTTCACAATTAGTTCTAAACTTTCGTTGCAAAATAAAATATAAATAAACAATATTACATACCGCTGTTATTTAAAGAATACAACTACTATCTAAAATTGTAAAGCTAATATTAATAAAACAATATTTAGGCAAAATTATAGAAATTAAGTGTAAAATTTTCATTTTTAAACATCGATCAACAAAAGTACTAGATACACAATACCATGCAGAAGTTCTCCTAAAACTGTCACCAATTGTGTTTTGGTAATTATTCTAGTTGAAATAAATAAACAACAATGAAAATTGAACCTTAAATGACATTTTTAAAGTTGTTTTTACAAAAAAAAACAAATAAAAGCGCGCTCAAATGTTCAAATAGGCGCTCATTCGATGAGTACTTTTTTTGTCGCTGATTGTGTATCTAGTACTCTTTTGATCGATGTTTTAACTAACAATACCAAGCCTTCGTTCCAATTCACATAATGTTATCGATAATTTAAAAAAAAAACACTAGTATACAATAATATTGTGATGAAGTTTAAACTAAAATAATTTTATAGTGTATGTTACAATGTTGTCTCAAGAAAATAATAGAAAAGGACAGTAATTTTTTTTCTTTCTAATTTTAGATATTGCATGACATGATTTATTTTATCTTGAATTCCCATTTTTTTGTGATAGTTTAAAAGATATTTACTTATAAGTCTAAACGGAAAGGTATAAAAAAGGTTCTTATAACATTTATAATATATAAAACATAGATACACATCTTGCTAACAAATATCTCTTCAAAATGTTGACGTCGACATGACGTTAAGTCAAACTAAAGAATAAAATTGAAAAATAGAAAGTTCTAATTGTCTAAACAAAAATTCGAACTTACGCATACCAGATAAAGTACTTTTTTAAACGAAATGACGTGCGTTTTAATTTTGTTATCCGAAAAGCAATGAACAAAAGAGATTAGAAAAAAGTGCACAATTTCAAATTGTGCGCGCTTTTTTTGAAATCACTTTTGCGATGCTAATTTTATACATATCTGAGTTTTTGTATATCAATGTTTGATTATCATATTTTGTTGTGATAACCCGCGCCAATAAATAAACGATTCTACAATGTCGGTGTCGATCATGTTCTCTCACTTGCACACTTGTATTGCTGTCCTTATCATCTGTCAAACTGCAAGTACCCAGACGCCATTTTTGATTGGTTTTATTGGTGCGCTTTCTATACTAATATATTATAAAGCTTACAAGTTACAGATTATAATAACATAATATGTAGAGCTGCCAAAAATAAAAGAACGGTTATTTATTAAATATTTTCCCTTTTGTTAGTTACACCAATATACATACAAAAACAATTAGAATATAGATTTTTTTTGTGTTATTTTTTAGTTTCTTCATGACAACACTTCCCACTTTTTTAAGACTGATTTAAAACAAGTAAAATTATTTAACGTGTTTACCAATAAAATATTTTGTGTAATTTTTGTGATTTTTGTAATTTGTTTGTTTTTGTTCTTTAAATTTGGTACCAGGGAGACCGACGCACCCAGCGAAGGCGGTACGCTCCTTGCTCTGTCCGTATCTTGATCGAGGCTCCTTCTGCAGCTTTTACTGTTTCTTTCACCTGTTAATAAAAAAAATACATTTGATTTAATATATAATACTAAAATAAACTAACATTTGATGAAAAATGATTAAAATAACATAAAATTTAGGTTTGTAAATTTTATGGTTTTTTAATTATAATTTTATGTTATTATAATATAAATATTTTTCATGCCGAATCATAAAAAAATAAAAAAAATTGTCAAAAATTTTTTTTTTTTGGGGTGGAGCCTTACCACTTAGGAAGTGAAATAGTTTACGTCCTATACTCAGACCTACTGAATATACACACAAAATTTCATAAGAATCGGTCAAGCCGTTTCGGAGGAGTTTTGTGACACGAGAATTTTATATATTATATATAAAATGTATGTACGTATGTGTGTTTTATAATATATTATTTAATGTCACAATCTTATTTATATTTTTCATATTTCATAATTTTGTCTCAGCATCCAGTCGCACTGAGACTTGGTAACTAACTGTACAGGAAATGTTATAGTGCACACTATGCAAGTTTCACGAGCTTTCTTGGCACACCGCCAACTTTCTACCGGAAGATTTTCTTTATTGAGAATTTCTTAACAGAAAAAAAATCAATAAAAACAAAAAAACGAAAACGAAAAAACCTACACTTGGCCGGACTCGGGACTCGAACCCAGAACCTCCGTTTACAACCATAGATGCTAGCCAGGAAGGAAGGAAGGAAGGAAGCAGTCAGCTTGAATATTATGATGTTACTTTGTAAAGAGTTGCTTGGAAATAATATCACTGCAAACTGACAAATCCGTAAAGTGGTAATAGTTTTTTTATTACAGTTAGTCAAAAGCCTATTTTTTTAAGTTTTTAACATTATCATTATTTTATTTTTTATAATAATATTTAACTTACACTCTGCATCAAGTTTTGTGCGTTGCCCACCAACATCTCGGTAGCCTCTTGATCTTCTTCACTACCTGTAGATATATTGAGTAATGTATAAAATAAAAATATTTTTAATACAAAAGTAACAGATTATATATTTTTCTTGATAGGTAACAAATAATGTAACGATAAGACTTCATGAAGGATGAATGCAAAAATCTTAAATTGTGGTAAAACATTTTGACTTGCAAAATTTACTGTATTTCTTTCCCTTTTACATAACTTAAAGGTAACTTTAGAAAAGAGAGAATATATATTTATATATCGTGATTCGTGGTACATTTTTTGGAACAGATTTATATTATTTAATTTTTACAGTCATGATGGTATAGAAAATATTTCTCTATGGGCTACTAACATAAGACAGTTACGAACTAGTTTGTCTATGGATGCTGACATTAAAGTAGTAACCCTGATGATGATTATCAGCTAAATTTTTCACAAACAAAATTTAATAATGACAAACAAAATAGTGATTTTATGTGTCTTTCCATTAGATAATCTGCTCCGTCAATAATTATAAAAATAATAGTATATTTATGGTTTATATGCATTTATAGTTTTAAGAGTTGCTAGTTGAAAATTAAATGTCGTTATGTCTTATATAAATAATATGTTAGAATACAATTTTAAAATATTAGATAAAACACGTATTTTAATAATATTATTAGTCTGTAGATAGAAAGCTGAAAGAAGATAGAAATAGTAAGAAAAGCAGAGATATAGTATAAATATAGAAAATACACTATTGGCGTTTAAAAGTGTTTCATATAAATAAATACTAATAAATTCAATATTTTAAAGTTTATATATTACTATGTATTTATTAAAAATAAATTATACTATGACAATTTCTTCAGATTCAAGAAGTCTACCGAAAGCGTTCATGTAACTGACCAAATAACGATGACTAATTTTTAATCAAATCAAGTATTCAGATCCACAGGAAAGAATAGTATCTATATTTTTTTTTATAGATGTAAGTAGTTAATTTAACCCTTGTATATCATATATATAGGTATTAGTCAAGAAAAAAATCTTGACAATTTAAAAAAAAAACATCTATCTACTTCAACAATATTTTAATAGATGAATTAATTATTTTGTTTCGTTTTAATTTAATGAAGAAAAAAAAACATTTTTTTTAATATAAACTTTTTTCTGTGTCAAGATTTCCTCATGCCTTAACAATACTAGTAACTTCTATTTAGAGAAAAAAACAAAAACTAAATATGAGACACCTTTAAACAAAAATAGTAATACTTTCTTTAGATTTACGCGAATATTTGTCATTTTAAATAAAACTGTCTTTTCGGATTTTTTCGCGGATTTATTTTGATTTTTTGGTTCCCGATGTTTCGAATGCTTTACAGCAATCATGGTCACGGGAGAGACTCGTCTCTCAGTCAGTTTCAAAAATTGAAATAAATCCGCGGACATGTCCGAAAAGATAGTTTTATTTAAAATAACAAAAATAGTATTTATAAAGCATAAGTTATTAAAAAGCAAAGCTGTACCTTTGTAATCCGGCATACCCACTGGTTGCGACGCGATAAGCGTTAACAAAATATCGCATCATTATACAACTTATAGCATTTACTTATAGCCTTTCAATTTACACATTAGTTTTTAAAAAGTTTAAAATATACTTAATAATATTATACTGCTTTATTATTAAATAAAAAAATAAAAAAAAATATCATACAAAGCACAGCAGCAATTTTTACATATTTTTTTTTATTAATAATATAAATTTTGTGAACAAATAAAAACTCGACTTCAAAAAATTTTTTGTCTGTATTGCATGCATCGATCAAAAAAGTACAATTCTATGCAGAAGTTCTCCTAAAACTGTCACTAATTGTGTTTAGGTAATTATTCTAGTTTGAAATAAATATACAACAATGTAAACTGAATCTTAAATGCAATGCTTATAGTTGTTTTCACAAAAAATAAATAAAAGCGCGCTCAAATGTTCAAATGAGCGCTCATTCGGTGAGGACATTTTGTGTCGCTGATTGTGTATTTAGTACTTTTTTTGATCGATGATTGTATATTCATTCTTTTTTAGTGTAAGAAAATTATCTTTACATTTCAATAAAGCATATTCCACAGAGTAAGGAATAATATAGACAGTGTGTCGTAGAACTAAACATGAAGCCAAACAATAATGTTTTAAAATAACATACAAATGACAATATGTATACTGAGTGATAAGTAAATAAATGTTAATAAACAGAAACAACCAACTGATTTTATAATAAGAAAGAAAAATAAAAATCTAATATTATGCTATCTCTTTCAATAGTATTATTTTGTTATTCATATTTTATTCCCAATTATACATTAATTTAATTAATAAAAAAGTAAAATTTCCCTTATTCTTTACAAAAAGTAAACAATCTGTATGTCAAAATCGAAAATAATAGTATAAACAGAAATTCATCTACTACGTGTTGACTTTGATTGATTTTATCAGACTCGTATTTAATTCTTTAGTCTGAGGCTTATCTAACGTCAAATTTAATTACTTGTTTATGAAGTCGGTTAAATATCATATTTATTAAAAAAATTAGATTATAAAAAAAATGAAAAAAAAGTTTATACAATTGAGTAACAAATGTACCTTGTGCACCCAACATCGTCGCTTTGACGGTGGACAGAATTTTGAGCTGAGTACCGATTGTGGGAATTCTCTCGCATACTTGCAGCAAGTTCTGATAAACAAAGAAAAATAATATATAAAAATACATACACTAAAATTATAAAAAAATCACTTATATTTACTACAATACGATCATGAGCGATACATGTTTCAATACAAATTTCAGGAACTTAACATTTTCTTGGATTTACGAGAATATTTGACATTTTAAATAAAACTATCTTTTTGGTTTGGGAAACAAGAGTGAAGCGGGATCAAATTCCGGATCTCGCACATCTGATATTCTCATGTGCGAATCATTTCCAACATGATTACCACTTGCCTTACGATGAAGGAAAATATCGTGAGGAAACCTGTATGTCTGAGAGAACCTAACAAGTTGTCGAAAGACATACTCAGTCCGCACTTGGCCAGTATGGTGGACTATGGCCTGATATCCCCACATAGAAGGGAGTACCCAACAGAAGGATGTCAAGAAGGGCTGTATACTATAATAATTTTTAAGCAAATTTGTTTCATACTATATTTGGAAAGTATTTAATAAATAATATCTTACAGTACGGATTCTCTTGTCGGTGCATTCCAAGGCAAGTTTCTTGGCGAGGCGAGTCACTTCCTCTGATGCTTCAGCGATGGCCTTGGCTGTAGCGATCAGCTCACGTTTACTGCCTGGAAACAGACAATAAAAATTATATTTATTAATATTTAATCTGTTTATTGGTTCATCATGCAAGCTAAATAGATTAAAAATCAAAATGATTTCGTATATAATCCACTGAATTAAAAAAATATTTTTTTTTAAAAAACGATCCTCCCAATCTACTCATGCTTTAATATATACCGTACCAATACCAATAGTCGGCCAACTTGCTTCTACAATCGTTTTAACATCTAAGTTTAAACCAATTCAATTCAATTTTCTAATAATGGCTTCAGAACGTGCCAGGTACAGATTATTTCGTCAATGTCATATAGAATGGAGATGTTTGTCATAAGAAGCTACTTCCATAGATGATAAGTCTTACTATATAGATTGTCATATAATATATGTATGTGGTATGTTTTTCAATATTTAAGTTATCACTAAAATGAAGACAACCAGGTGCCAAGGCTTACTGAAAGTGCCTCCGTGACTAAATATCAGTTTTAAATATTGCAATTAACATGCATGTATGTATTACAAAGAGATAATTGAATAGTTATGATCTATATTTTAACCGCACAATGAAAAGTGCAAAATAATGAACATTTGAAATTTTAAAACAAAATTACTACTATAAACAACTAAATTGTTGAAAATTGTAAATTTTTTTTTCTAAAATAAAACTAAATTACTCATGCTCAATTTCGATAGTTAGGAAAAAACTTTTTTTCACAGATGATAAAATAAAGTCTGAAAAAAAGAAGTTTTTTTTGTAGATTGCACTAAAACAACAACAGTAAAAATGGTACATATTTCTAACAATTCTATATAAATAACACTAAATATATAACAATACAAGCAAGCACTATTTACATATTATATACAACTTACCACTGAGATTCATAGCCACTTCTATCCATGAAGCAACGGACAGACAATGCGGTCATAGCTTTTTTTATATATACATAAAAATAAAATTTATATTTGTGCTTCTTAAATATGTGACTATAGTCATAATATTTAAAGAATATTTTTACTTACTTTAAAAAAAGGAGGAAATGTAAAAAAATTGTGTATTATAAAATAGTATTTCAAATACTTATTGTAATAATTACAATTCCTTAATATTTTCTTTAATATTGTACTATATTTTAAAAAAACTGTCGTTTAGGATTATTTCGCGGATTTATTTTGATTTTTGGTTCCCGGCTTATGAATAATTATATATCGTACTTCGGTGCCATTTTTGAAATCATTTTGTAAAATTGTGGGTAGGCACTGTCAGTAACAAGTATATAACGCCTTTGAGACGTCTAAAACCTTAAGTCTCTCCCGTGACCGTGATTGCTGTAAAGCATTCGAAACATCGGGAACCAAAAACCAAAATAAATCCGCGAAATAATCCGAAAAAATAGTTTTATTTAAAATGTCAAATATTCGCGTAAATCTAAGAAAGTGTTATTTTACTATAGTTAATCTTTTAGCACAAATATAAACATTATAACTAGAGATAGTGTTTTGGTACACTTTGCTTTATACGATCATATACCTACATATATGTATTTTACATATCGTGATTACTCAAATTGTTACATTATAATTATAATATAATATAAATGAAATAATAATAGCTAAACATTGCTTTTAGTTTTAAATAATAGCTTAGTCTTTTTTTATAAATATTTTTTTTTGACTCATTAGACAGCAATTCTTATAATGTACTATAATTGACATAATTACATAGTTTTCATTCAAATATACATATATATCTATATTTCAAACTTATTAATATAAGACCAATATAAATAATAATAACTTCGAAAAAATATATCGGCTTTTGTATGTGCTATATACATAATTTTGGACATCGAAAGCAACACGAAGATATTATGGTGAGATGAGAATTTTATAGTAAAAAAGGGTACATTGTTTTTGAGCCAATGATTCTATGAGACAGACGATGGCATTCACATTACTTCTTACCTTTGCGTCTTTTGTATTTATAATATTCTTCGGGTTCGTCCCTAGTGAAAGCAAAAACAAATCTATCCCACGGGAACCGTACATTTTTCCGGGATAATAAATAACCTATGTGTTATTCCAGACTATAACCTATCTCTGTGCCAAAATTCGTAAAGTAGGCACGTACCCTTCGAGTCGGAGCGCACGAGGTCGGAGAGGCGTGCCATGAGGATGGCCATGCGCTTGGCGGCCGCGATGATCTCGTTGTCCTTGGACGACCACTCGCGCACCGCCTTGTGCAGGTTGTGGGCGGCCACCTGGCGGGGGCGGGGTTGTTTGTATATACGTTTGTCGAGTTACATGATCGATCAAAAAAGTACTACATACATAATCAGCGACAAAAAATGTCCTCACCGAATGAGCGCTTAATTACGCGCGCTTTTTTTGTAAAAACAACTTTAAACACTCTTCCTTTCTCATATATAAGAGGAACTACATAATTTAAAGCCAAGTTAAATTAAATTAAAACGACAATATAATTTACGACCTATACAAGTGACAGTGTCAAACAATATTATACATAATAGCGACCCACCCTCGCTTCGCTTCGGGTTCGTCCCTAGACAAAAACAAATCTATCCCAGGATAATATATAGCCTATATCCCTCCTCAATAAACGGGCTATCAAATACAAAAAGATTTTTTCAAATCGGATTAGTAGTTTCTGAGACAAGCGCGTTCAAATAAACAAATTTTGTTTTTTTATAATCTACACTAATATTATAAAGAGGTAAAGTTTGTGACGTTGTAGGGGGGGTAATCTCTGAATCTACTGAACTGATTAGGATGAAATTTGGTAAGAAGATAGTTTGAGACCCTGGGAAGAACATAGGATAGTTTTTATCCCGGAAATCACCCCTTAAGGGGATGAAAGTTTGTATGGGGTAAACGAAGCGGGGGTGAGTCACTATATAGTATAGATTTACTCACCAGAATAGGTTGACTGGGATGTGGCTGCCTTCTAAATATATCCTCTCCCTCGTCGTCCGTGTCCGGCGGCGGCGGGCGCGGCGGCGCGGCCTGCGCGGGCGGCGGCGGGCGCGGCGGCGCCTGCGGGGCGGCCGGCGGCGACACGCGCAGCGCCTGCAGCGCCTCCGGCAGCGCGGGCGGCGGCGGCGCGTGCTGGCGGGACAGGGTTTCCTCCACGTTCGCCGCTGCTTGGATTATCTGTGAAGGATATGTGGAGCTATTGAAATTTGTGTGACGTCATAGTCCGCCAACCCGCCCTGGGCCAGCGTGGTAGACTATAGCCTGATCCCCCTCGTATTGAAGGGAGGCCCACACCCAGCAGTGAGACATTAAAAAAGGTTTTTTGTTATAGAATTCTTGTATTTTTGACCATGATCAGTGTTTGAAATATTGTACATTATCGTTGAGTTTTTACTCTTGGCTCTTCACGTTGTAGGTACATCGACATGGTCAATGGTTCAAAAACAAAAAATGTAATTCAAATCAGTTTAATCGTTACAATATACATAATTAACAAACACACGCATACACTTTAGTTTATATTTATAATATTAAATAGATAATATAGTCTAAAACATGTAGTTGTATGTATTGTTTTTCTGACCGATCTCGGTTTCGGCGATCAATTTTATTAAGATTAATATTACAGAAAAAAAAATACGGCTCGACTAGACTACGGTAGTCTCTGTGGGTATACAAAGCTTAGTGGCGTACCTCAGCATTGGCCTTCCGCCAGACGGGCGGCGCGGTGGCGTCGGCCAGCGCCACGCGCTTGGCGGCGCGCACGGCGGGCGCGATGGCGGCCTGCAGGCGCGCGTGCGCCTCCGCCAGCGCCGCCGCGAACTCCCCGTCCTCCGTGTTGTCGCGCTCCGCGCCACCCACTAGCAGCACGCGGTTCGCCAATCTGTTGGAAAGAGATGGCTGGAGCTATTGCTGTCTCACTCACACTAATCTCCGTCTCAGCAATCATTTGTTGAAACTGATTTACCGAAAGAGTTTTTAATAGAGAATTATGCATTGACTTTTAAATGTCAATTCTATTGGTATTAAATACGCATTTTACTTTAAGTACCTGGGCGACCGAGCTTCGCTCGGAGTTCTTTTTTATTATATCATATTTTTTAAATAAAAAAAACTAAAAAGTTGAATAAATAAAAAAAAAACAAAATTATCCACTTCGTATCCAACCGGATTTCGAACCCAGAGATCTGTGGGAGTCAATCTTGCGCCTTTGCCGCTTGACCACGAAGCTTGGCCACGGTGCAATTTATCGACTATATTTTGCGTGGAATTATCCCACAGGAAACCGCATGAAAACTCGAAAAGACGTGTTTTCTAAGACGTAAGACTAATCTAAATTCCAAATTCTAGCGAAATCGTTAGAGCCGTTTCCGAGATCAGTGATATAGATAAATAAATAAATATACAAGAATTGTTCATTTAAGTATATTAACATAAAGCCGAATATATGTATTTTGCCGAAATAAACTTTTGTGTGTAAAGTAGTAGAAATAGATACAGTTTATAAATGAAGTTTAATTTCACATTGAAAGGAATGCTCGCTACCATATATAAACTAAATCAGAAGCTATAAAATATTCATTTCACTTACCTAGCGATAGCAGAAGTATTGTCGACCATTTTTTGAGAATCGTTATTCCTAATAGCATCTTCACACAAGTAAGTGTGTTTTTGCATTAATTCACCTAAAAATAAGCAAAACAAAAATTAACCGTCTTCGGATGGGAGAGAACAGAACACAATGTAAAAAAATCCTGTGTGTGTACTTATGTACGCACGCACGTAAGAAGTTATACTTCTTTGGCGTAACAGAACAAAAATAGCTAAAGATTTCTTCCCGTATGTCACAACTCTCTGTTTGTATGGAAAAAAAAGGATTGCAGCTAACTTCATCTTGTCGCTTTTTGGCTGTCGGTGTGAGCGCGCATCGTAAAAATTTTACTCTCATTATCTTTTTACAATCGTGCCAAATGAAGTATAACTTCAAAAAAAAAAGCTCAAAATATTTTTATCCATTATTCATGCAATCTGTACAAGAAAGAGTTCACTCTTACAAGGTAAGGTAATAATACTTATTATTTTAATTCTATTTTTTTAAGTACTTAATTCTTTTCCTTATATTTTACTATTTATTGTACTCAAAGTAGATTTTTTTTTAATTTTGTTCCTATGCGTAGAAAATTTGTTTTAGCAGTTCATTATCTTTTCGTTTTTGTTCTTTGATTATTATCTGTATTAATTACTACTTACTAGCGACTCGTCCTCGCTTCGTGTAGGTTCGTCCTTAGATTAATTCCACGTACAAATTTTCATCATCTCACCCCCTTAAGGGACAATTTCCGGGATTAAAAACTATCCTATGTCCTTCCCAGGATCTCAAACTATCTTCTTAACAAATTTCACCTAAATCGGTCCATTAGTTTCGGAGCTTATTCGGTACAAATAAAAAATCTTTCCTCTTTATAATATTAGCATAGATTAGTGGAAACTCGATTGGTTTATGTGTACTGCTTGTTTCCCAAAATAAAGAATAAAAAAAACCTAGTTGTAAAAGCAGGGGAAATATTTTTGTAAAAAAACATACCTAAATTATGAAAAACTATCGAGTTACACCGACGAAGTATAATCATATAATTCCGACTTCATAAAGCTATGGTGTCCATAAAGGTAGGATACAACATACCGGCGGTGCGCACGAAGTCCAGCGGGTCCACGGCCTGGTCGCACAGGTCGCGGCAGCGGAGGATGGCGTCCGAGTACTGGTTCTTCAGGTTGTTGAAATGCTCTTCTGCCACCTGGGAATGTTTATTTGTATGTTCATATTGTAATTATAAGTCCACCAATGAATATGTTTTGATGAATTTTGTTTAGGATATTGATTGCTTCATAAGAACATACATAGTTTATACACCTTTGATTCTCACCTTTTTACCAAACAGGACGACGACACATTTGGCTCAGTTTCTAGTGACCCTACTTGCTATGCCAGAGATCGCTGGTTCGAGTCCCGCTGGGTGCATACATTTGTGTGATGAGCACGAATATTTGTACTCCAGTCATGGTTGTTTATATTTATAACATTTAAAGTTATATATGTGTAGTGTACAAACTATCAAACTATCTGGTATCCATAACACAAGCCTCGTAGCATACCATGGAACTAGATGGTCCTGTGTGTTAATGTCCCAACATAATACATAGTTTGTTCACGGTATGGTGTAGAAATAAATCGACGCCATACCGTGAACAAGCTTATGTAGAAAGATTAAATATATTTTGAACTAGCGACTTACCCTCGCTTTGCTCGGGAGCATCCGTAGGTGCGTTTTCAATAGATAAAAAAGGTTATTGCGTATGTACTTTAGGAGATACACACATGCTATCGCGGACTTCTTCGGGAAATCGTAAATTCGAATTTTGAAGGGTGTTTGATTTTCGTTAGAACCCTAAATATTTTCGAAATAAAACATACCCTATATATAGCCCTATGAACTCCTCTATTTCTCAGTGAAAATCCCATTACAATTGGTTGAGCTATTTTAAAGATGACCTCGAACAAACAAAAAGACAAACAAACTGGCATCATATTAGTAGCTTGAGAAATGAATGAGAAATGTACTTGAGAAAACATAAATATTTTGTAACCACAGACACACTTTTATATGTATACACATTACACATGTATAGATAATTACAGATAAATAAACACTCACTTTGCTATCGGGATAGTGCAGACGGATCTTGCCGGCGCAGATCAGTTGCGGAGACAGCTTTTCTACCTGTATCATTAAATTTTATTACTACATAGGTATTTATAAAAGCATTTATTTATTTATTTATAAGATAAGTCGTGTGTATTATACAAACACACACATCTTTTTAAAGAATTTATTTGTTAATGTAATTTCAATTGAGTTTGATAATATCGATTTCAGATTATTTTTAGATCATGAGACGATCATGGATAGAACAATGCTTACAGCATAGGATAGTGTACAGTTGAATAGAGAAGAGGAGAGTAAAAGAGTAGGGAAGGGAAGAATAGAGGGTCAACTAGGGTAGGGAATGGTAGTATAGAGTAGGGTAGTGAACACAATGAATAGGGCACCTCCTGCGCGTTGTGCAGCAGCTGGTCGGCGAGGCGCTTGTGGTGTCCGAGGCCGGCGGCCACGGAGCCGGCGGCGGCGGCGGCGCGCGCGCTGAACGCGGCCAGCGCGCTCGCGCGCGTCTGCAGCGTCGCCTCGCGCCCCGGCGTACCTGGTGGTATATAGAGGTAAACTTTATAAATTTTTGAAGTAAAACTTCTTTACGCACGCTTAACTTGGGTGGTAAACTGGTGAATGTGTTACGAAAAAATGTAGGTACGTTTGTTGCCATGGTAACCGTTGTTATTGTCTGACAAATGATATATAATATTATATACATTCCTTAAATGATATTCTACAAATATATTATGATTGTAATATGCCTAATATGCGTTTTTTTTTAATATCTCACCTATCCTTACATTTAAAACATAAATTGAATTTCATAAAGAGTACCGATAAATTACAGAAGTTTTACTTCTTGTGCGTGTACATTCATACACGCACTCTTTAATTTTTTTATGTAGGAATAATCTCTGAAATTATTGATCTAATACTGATACTTCTAACACTAGCAAGCCGTCAGTGTACAGACCCTCGGGCGCGTTGACGGCGTCGGTGAAGTGCCGCAGCGGCGCGGCCACGTCGATGAAGTCCTCCACGACGCGGTTGACGACGGCGCGCTCCATGCCGCGTCGCAGCGCGTGCAGCTTGTCCGTCAGCTCTCTGCGGACAGACGAGAGCTCCATTACCATTGATATATAAAAAATTACATCTCAACCTCACTTCGCTCATGTGCCTAGTAAAAAACAAAAACAAATGTATCCCGCAAGAGTCGTACATTTTTCCCGGATAAAAAGTAATGTGCTATTCCAGACTATAACCTATCTCTTTAAAGCCAAATTTCATCCAGATCCGTTCAGTCATTCTGGCGTAAAAGAGTAACAAAAATCCACCCATCCATCCTCACAAATTTTCACATTTACAATATTAGTACGATTAGTATGGATAGCATAATCCCCCTCGTATTAAAGGAAACCCACTATGCCCACTAGTGGGACATTAAAAAGGCTGGATGCAAGTGTGAACGCGTTTCCCTCTCACTAGGCGCGTAACGTATGCGCCACGCGGGCGGAGGGCCCAGTCCGTCCGAGAGCACATTTCACTACGGACACTCCTATTATACGCTCAATTTGATTAAACGTAATTTATATGTATATACAGCCCACACTTTAAAGTCCCGTTATGGCCTACACACAAGACTTAAAAGTAAATACAAACCTAGTGATAGCCCTGGCATGTTCCGTATCCCCGCGGCCGCCGGCGCACAGCTCGGCGAGCTGGTCGGACAGGCGCTGCACCTCCGCGCACAGCTGCATCACCTCCGCCTTCTCGCGGCCCACCAGGTTGTCTGCGATCTGATATCAAAATTTGCAGTCTAAATTATAAGCGAGTCCCATCAATCAAAAAAGCTACTAGATACACAATCCCATGCAAAAGTTCTCTTAAAACTGTCACCAACTGTTTTAGATGATTTATAATAGTTCAAATAAATATACAACAATGTAAATTGAACCTTAAATGCAATACTTAAAGTTGGTTTCATAAAAAAAATATTTAAAGCACGCTCAAATTGTTCAAATGAGCGCTCATTCGGCGAAGACATTTTTTGTCGCTGATTGTGTATCTAGTATATTATTTTTGATCGATGGCGAGTCCCCATAATTTCAAATTCAATTCTCTTGTTGATGGCTTCAAAGCGCGCCAGTGTCAATGTCACATAGAATGGAGAAGACACGAAGGAAATTAAAGGAGAAAACAATAAGGAGAAGACACACTAAACTCTCATTCGCCAAAGTGCCGATTAATGTGTGTTAAGACTTTCTCATAAACAAAAACAAAAAAAAAATGCTGACACAAAATTGAATGAAATAGTTAAACACGAATCCAGCTCACCAAGTGTCCCTGCGACACGATGCTGTTAATAGCCTTCTGTCCGTCGGCGCGGGTCGCGGGGTCCGCCGCCGGGTGCAGCAACCACTTGTGGGCTGTTTCTAGCCTGGGATAGAGAAATAGGGACGTTATTTCCATTATTATAAAGTCAATTGCATAATAGAATAATAAATACTTAGATTTAGACGAATATTTGACATTTTAAATGAAATTATATGTGCGGATTTTGTCGCAGTTTTATTTTTTAATTTTGTATGAACATTTCAAATGCGTTACGGCTAACATGTACATACAATTAAATCTATTTTTTGCGGTTTTTCGGCGAGACCATGATTCTCCCGAAAGCCGCAAAAAAGTAAGCCGCCCTCTTTTATTGTTATTTCGTCCCTATTTTTTTTTAAATTAGATCCCTTGCTAATGGTGTCACTCGGGCTAACTTCAAACCGGCCAACCGTTCAACCGACCCAGATATTTTAGAGTTATTTGTATATGGTCACTAGCAGAACCCGCGGCTACGCCCGCGTTTGATCTACAAAAAATCTCTTTGGATTTGTATTTTACAGAAATTCACCCTCACTTCGCTCGGGTCGTCGCTATGTATTTATATAATATTGTTCATACAAAAATACTAAAATCGGGGGTGGGGGTAGGAGGGTGAAAAATACTTTACGACCTATACTCATACCTACCAAATATACAAAAATAATCATTAAAATCGCCGTTTCGGAGGAGAGCGACCACAAAAACCGTGACACGAGATATTTATATATTAGATTTTATAGACATACTAGCAGAACCCGCGGCTTCGCTTGCGCTTAAACTACAGAAAACTCATTTTTGGGTTGTATTATAACGTGTTTTCCCGTGGGAATGAGATTATCTCCCGCGGTAAAAAGTTGCTTATGTCACTCTCCAGCCTTCCAACTATCTCCACACAAAAAATCACGTCAATCCGTTTCTCCGTTTCGACGTGAATGGAAGACAAACAAACAAACTCTGCCCCTTTATAATATTAGTATACTTGTTACATTGTGAACTCACCTAGCCGCTATAGTCTTGCCCCCCTGCTTCTCCGCCTCACGCACGCCTTCATTGACGACGTCGTCCACTTCGTTAACTTGATTCCTCAACTCAGAAGCGAGACTCAGTGCCTGTTACAAAATATCACAAATTATAAAATATTTTTAACGAATACTTACATCTACTTTAGAATAATCAACGTTTAATAGTACTAAGTGTTATATTGTAAATTAAAAAATAATTAAAAAAAATTCCTTTAACAGAAAAAGAAACAGTTTTTACCTAAGAATATAAAAGCTGGAATAAAATATTTAAATATTATGTATAAGTTAAGGCTTTATATAAGGGCTTAAGCTTATAAGTACATTTAGTACTAACATGGATATGCTAAAATGTCATTGAAACCATAAATTGATGTAATCATTAAAATTTAATAAATTATTACAAATATAGATACAATACAAAAATAATTTTAAGATCGCTTTAACATGAAATTTGGTTGGTTCAAAGTAGTTTAATAAGGCCTACCTTCGACTCCAAGCCGCGTCCGTACTGCCGTTCGTCGCACAACTGATCCGCGTTGTTGCCGCCAGATCTAGAATTAATGTGGGGTTTGTGCAAACAATGTTCGTAATATAGTGTGTCCCTAGGTACGTTTTATTTTTTTTGAGCGGAATCTTATTTTGTTTCTCTAACAAAAGTAGCCTTAATTACTCATTATAACATCAGCTATCTGGCAGTGAAAGTCCGTCAAAATAGGTCCAACCGTTTTGGAGATTATCCGGAAGAAACAGACAGAATTTTTTTTTTTAAATTGTGTTTTTCTTATAAATACCGTATATAATTTCATATGCATGTAGTAAAAAGCTGTTATTAATTTCATTAAATAGAAACACTTCAATTTTTTTTATCGATATGGATAAAGCTAACCGATTTCGGTTATGGCGTTACCTTACTAGAGTAGACAATATTAAAGTATTATTTTCTCAAACGTGAGCGACCCTTTATTCTTTTATATGAGTTATAAGAATAACAGCAGTCTTCTTTAACGCATAATAATTTGAATTAAATGCAAAAATTGTCCGTTCAAATCTAGTTTTCAAACTTTATTTAACGTAGCCTAGTCAAGTCAAAAGGATTGAGTTGAAAGTACAAGATACTCGGGGGTATATTGTGGTTACCAGACGATACATGTAATAAGCAACACACAAGAGAACGCGATAAAGGGAAGCGGAACAAAAGAAATGTGGTATACGGCGGAGTGTAGGTCACAAGAGACTAAGGCATGTTGGACGGGGGGCACGGGACTTGGGAGGCCGTGGGGAACGGAGGTAGGGGACGGGGGTAGGTAGAGGAAAGGGTGAGATGGGGGAAGGGGGGAACGTTAGGGAAGGGGGAGTTGGGGGAAGGGTGAGGTGGGGAAGGGGGGTTAAGGGGGTTGGGGGTTGTGTGACTGACCGCACGGTGCGTCGCAGCACGGCGGCGCGCGCGGGGCGCACGTGCTCGGCGGCGCGCTGCGCGGATGTGAGTACAGAGCGCAGCGCGCGCTCGCCCGCGCTGTTTCGCAGCGCCGTGGGCTCCTGACGACCAATACACATTAAATAATAATAATAACATACTTTATGACACACCAAAAGAAATATAAAAACATAAAGAAAAGATGCACAGCAGGCGGCCTTATCGCTCGTTGGAAACGATATCTTCCAGGCAACCTCAAGATTTTCAAAACGTTATATCTTGACCTTCCTCTATCCATTTATTCCACTTTCACGATTCGATTTAAATACCAACTTACACAGACAAAAGTTCCAACTCCTATATGCACTCATTTGGAACGTATTCGAAGCCAGTACAATTATAGTACCATCGGAGCACAAACACAGACTCACATTGAGGAAGTCGTGCGCGGCGGGCGCCTTGCTGTGTATGACGCTCTGCAGCGCCTTCAGCACCGCGATGTTATCCTTCTCCCCGCCGTCCTCCACGTACGATGTTAGCTGGAGCACTCTGCGGTACACAATACACAAATAGTATTTTAATTTATAATAATATTTAATCACCCCAAACGCATATACCGCTTCCGTTCCGTCGTGGGTAAAAAGAAATAGACGGATCTGATTGACTGGGCTCTTCCGTGACCATGATTGCTGTAAAGCATTCGAAACGTCGGAACCAAAAATTTTAAAATTTGTATTTTTTTAAACCTATTATATTATTTTAAAACATTATTATTTGGCTACATGTTTAGTTCTTTGACACTCTATATACATTATTCTTTAGTAGGAGATCTTACCGTATAATCTCATGTATTTCATCCGCCATGCGCTGCGCCAAGTAATTTCTATTTTCGGCCGCATCTTCAATGCCTTTGCCTCCTACAAATAAATAAAAAAAATAGTATTTTCTTATTATAAAAAAAACTTTAAAAACTTACAAACTGATAGTATTGAGTAAAATTTCTTCATCACTCATCAATTAAATATATATGGCGGGAGCCAACTCCGTGAAATTACGTATTTATCTAAAGTAGACTTTTTGTATGTTTATATGTTTGTTTGTAATGGGTAAACTCAAAAACTACTTAACCAATTTAAAAACGTGCCTCTTGCATTTAACTGCATTTCCGTTAAAATCAATGGACGATCGCCTACTGTAGGTACATGATAGACAAACTAACCTTCAGACAATATGTGTATATATATTTTCATAGAGCAAATAAGCACGGGTGCGAGTCGCTTGACGCTCTCCAAGCATCGCGTGAGTGTCTCCGCGTGAGGTGGGTGCGTCAGTTCAGAGGCTCTGGACGCCACCTGGAGACATCAAACGGTTATGTTTTTTAATTATTATTGATAGAATAATTATATTACATTACATTAATATTATAAAAGCAAATGTTTGTAAGGTAATGTGTTTCTTACTTTTTGGTTGTTATGGACCTAAAAGGTTTCTTTGTAGATATAGGTTACTTTTCATAGGGTACTTTTTAATGGAGAACCTTATCGAAATCCCTACGAGACAAAGCTAAATAAGTATATTTGAACAAATTATTAAGTTGTTAATTGGACTGGAACTTTTCACTAATTTTGATGATTTTTTTTGTATTAAATATGATATCGAGTCGAGTGTACTTCATAAACATTTTTACTTCTTTTGAAATCGGTTTAAGCGTAAGAGTAAAGTTACTATGATATAAAATACTAGCATTACCTCTCTGGCAGCTTTGGACAAAGCTGGAGAAATGTCCCTCAGAAACTGGACCAGATCTTCCATCGTGTCTATAACTTCTGCCACACCCAAATAATCCAATACCTTCAAAAGAAAAATATATATAAGTGGAAGTCAAAATATATTTTGTTACATTTTTAACACTACCTTCCTATTTTTATTTGCCTATAAATACCCTTGCACACAGTGTCGACGGGTCAGAAGAAGCTCGGTTGTGAGCCCGGCACTTTGCTCTAAGTGGTCTGAATCGTCCGAGATACTTATCAGGTAATCTCTGTATCGTTTTTACAATATTTCTGTAATTATATTAATTGCTTTATTATTTTTATATTTTAAAGTATAAAGTATTATTTGGAAGTACTTTCAATATTTTCAATTATTTGTTTACTAGTTATTTTATAAATTATTATTGCTATTGAATAATGTATTATTATTATAATAAAATGTATATTTTAAAAATGGATGCCTATACTTTTTCTATCAATCTCCCACATATATTTGATTAAAAAATAATAATTTGGTGACAATTTACCTCAAGGAGGTGGTTCAAACACCAGACCAGTATTACTTGACTAGCTTTGATGACAACTTTAGATGTGCGATAAAAAGAATATTACACAAGCTCTGGCTTTGAATTAATTTTCTTTTGGTGAAACACAAAAAAAGTCCATAAATTTTACCTTTTTGCATTCCTTTACAATTTTTCGTACTTCGGATTCATCAAAACACAGAAGGAGTGCCGATGTTCCTTGAAGGATTCCACGGGAACCTTCTATGAGTTTCTTTCTGAAATGAGATTTAAAGTGAGATTTAAACTGATGCAATAGCACGTTCAAATACTTATAAACTCATTTTGCTCCATTGAAAATATCAGAAGATACCAAAAATATTAGCATGTTTATGTGAACATACTTATATACTATATATACTTACTATATATACTTACTATATATACTTATATACTATATACTTATATACTTTTGTGGAAGAATTACTATTAAAAACTTCTAAAGGCACTAAACAAAAAAATGAGATACTTTTTAAATTCATCCTGTACGATATTCTACTCAGGCCTACAGAATATGACAATAAATACACCAATAATCAAACAAATAAATCCCTTGATCCGCCAACTTTAGCACGATTGCGTAAAACGGTTTCCATTGGTGCGTTTAGTCTAAATCACACTAGTACACACATACCATTGGCAAATTTATTCCAATTAAAACAAAAAACTCAGGATAGCTACCTTTTTGTAATAGTCCAAATGCAAAATACATCATATTTAGATATTGAAGTTTTAAAAACAAAAAAATTATCTTACCTAGCAGGTCCAGAATAGGGATCAGCTCGCAACATATCAGACGCCTGCTGGAGCAGCGTGGCCGCGCCCTCCACTCTCCGCAACGCTCCAGGCATGTCTGCTCGAAGCACGACATCATCAGACGACTCTATCGTCTCATGCCCGACCTGCGCACCGTTTGGTATTCGACTGGATTTAATAAATTTTTTTCGAGATATCATGATTTTAGTCTATATATTGTCTAGATTAACATCACTTTATCAGAACAAGTGTCTGTGTCTATTAAATATTAAATAACAAATGAACATCTTCTAGTTCACTAATTTTCCTTAAAAATCAGCGTTTTGTTATATTTATTTTCGAAGTACTATTGAAGAAGAACACTACACTCAAACAGATGTCTCAAATAGAAGAACAACCTTCTCAATAGATTCTTGACAACTTGTAAAGAATCTTGAAGTGTATTAAATAAATCCTATTTATTTCTTATACGTCACATTTACTATTAGAAATTATAAGGGTTAGCACACGTTGGAGTAAATAGAAAACGTAAACAAAAAAACTGTAACAAACAAGGATATTTAACTGTTTTTTTTAATACCGATTATATTATGTTATGTTCTTTATTTTGTGACTTACAGGCATGTCATTTAGGCACAGTTATATAATATTAGCATCCCAGTATAGTACAAAAGGTAGAGAACAATAAAGCCAAATTCTTCTACCGTTCCAAAATATCTTTTTACTGTCTCCTATTATAAGGAAGAATAAAAAACCTTCAAGCCGACGCTTTTGGAGTTGAATGTGATGATTATCACTGGTGGTAAGTCCGACTGGACCACCCTCTTATCTATTTCTCCCGCCAAGCAACAATGATTACATTCTCGTGTTCTGGTTTGAAGAATAAGGTAGCCAGCGCAAATACAGGCAAGAGGCTACTCCTCAGTTACAACGCACCTGCGGTTCCGCATTTTTGTTACGTAAAATCTAAGTGCATGAACTGTAGACGTTATGGGCGACAGGTACCGCTCTCCATCAGGTGGGCTGTTTGCTCGTTTATCATTGAGCACCATAAAAAAAGTTGTTTTCTTAAAATAAACCGAGAGTTGTTTCATCCTAAATAGTCTGCACTAGCTCTAGCCTCATATCAGTTATAACTGGTAGTGTAAACAAATCCTATAACACGCGCGGATGAGTATGAAAATGTTATTTTTATTTATATTTTACAAAAGAACGTGAAACAAAAATATTCCGCTTTGTATATAAAAGAAATCAAAAATACGAAATCTGAAAAAAGTATAAAAGGTATAGAAATAATAGATTTAACGAGCATTATATTCTAACATTAATAAATAAAATCGTGCTTAGAATGTTTAGACTCGTAGGTAGTTCAAAAAAGTTTCTAAGCTCGTTGAGTGAAAGTATGAAAGATAAATAACATGGATTTACTATTCACATAATGATCGTACCATAAAATTTGATTTCCCCGAAATATACAGCGTATACCTACAAGATTTAAAAGATTGAATGTCTCAGATAGTTGTATGTATAGAATAAAAGTATAATTCAGAATATGTACATACACCTCTATTAAATAAATTAATAACTTATACAATAAAACACAATAAAAAAAATAAAAAGGATAATGTATGCAGTGTAAGATTTAAAAAAAACGTCCTGAGTGAACTTATATTGGATACTTAACTTTAACGCTGATATTCGATTAACACCTTTACAGTTCTCGAAAGATTGACTTATCACGAACCACTAGGTATATATATAAATAAGAGATTTGAAATGAATAAATACGAAAGTTCTTACGCGCGTGTGTATTTTGTTACTCTCTCATACTGGAACAGCTGAGCAGATTTAGATGAAATTTGGTAAATAATAACTTGGAGTAACACATAGGCTACTTTGCTATTTGTTACCAAATTAAACAAAACGCACCTAGGAGCCAATCCAAGCGAAACTAGCGTAGTATCTACCTACCTAGGCATACTTTTATTTTGGTATAATATTATAAAGTATTATATAAATTTTAACAATAGCACTAAAATGATATATATGTATATAATGAGAATATGACATTGTAGTGTACCTTAACTAGATTGTTTACTGCTAGCGACACGGCCTGTACCGGCCGCGCCAGGTCCGGCATAGCGTTGCCATCTTCAGCTTCTTCATGAAGGATCACCAGACGTGACACCTGGAAGAAAGAGATTGGGTTTTATTTTAAATAACTTTAGACAGTAGGATACCGTCTGAAACAACTATATATAAATACTTTAGAACAGTCTAAAAACTTAGTCTCTCCCGGACCTAGATTGCGTTAAAACGTAAAGCATTGGAAACATCGGGAAACAAAAACCAAAATAAATCTGTGAAAAAATCCTAAAATATAGTTTTATTTAAAGTGTCAAATATTCGCGTAAATCACAGTAATTATTAGATTGGGAAATTAATATAACTATAAACGAAATTACTTTCAACAAAATAAACTCTAGCCCAACTTGGCTACACCAATTTTGGATACAAAATTTCAACGTTTAACAAATTACGCTTCCTGAAAATGTCTAAGGAACGGCTAGAATATCTTCCATTAAGAAGAGTTGCTTGAAGTTATTTATTTAATTTATGATCTGTCCCTGTTTCACCAAAATTATTTCAAAAGACTGCGTAAAACTGTTTTAAGACTTTTCAAGTGTACTAATGCAGTTTATCTCGCGGTAAATGAACAATATTAAATAGAAACTTGCTACATACATATGCTTAATCCCTCCACGACCGCGGACACGCCGGCGTTACAGTTAACAATAGATTTCTTAGAAATTAAATTAATTTCTTAGAAATTGACTTGGAGGTGTTTACCGAAACTAAAACAATTAATATACGCTAAGTAGCGATGTTCAAAATGGTCAAATGCGACTTGAAGTCATCCTCCGCGGGTTCTGTATTTGATAGGTACATATTGTATTATTGTGTTATGCATTTAGCAAAATGATGTAGTACAAATCAGATTTACATATAGCCAGTTTTTATTACAAATTACTTTGGAAAGAAACTCTAAAGGTTTCTTGTGTTGCCATAATATTTTAAGTGTAGTCAGAATTCAGTAAAATTATGCATTAAATATAAAAAAAATTTAAATATAATAGTTTATAGACTTCTGAATAGCGTGTAAGCTAATAAGTTTACTTTTAAACATTGATGACCCCGCTCTCGGCTGAGGACATTCCTTGCAAGTGCACACGATAACATCTTTGAAAATATAAACAACTGATATTCCCAAGGATATTTTATTCTTAATTAACCAAAAATTCTTAAAACTTCAGTACTGAAATATCTGGACGATTCATACTTAAAATTTGAAATATTAACTTTACACTTTAAAATATTGGGTTAAGGTGAAGATCGAACGTTTAATGGCTTATTTTTGTGGGAATATCTCAGTTTCCAGCCATCTGAAATAAGAAAGTTCTATAGCTGAACAACGGCTGCCTTTCCATTAAACGCTTACGATGATGTGTCACTTTGCAAAGATCATGTGTAATGGCCACTAAATACGTCAACTAGCTTCGAAGGTCTAGATTTGTTCGGGAGGCAGATTCCTAGCATCTGCCATCCAAATAGCCATAGTTTAACTAAAACAAAGTACATTGGATTGAACTTGAAGAGTATCTAGCACGAATTCCTCTAAAATAAATAAACTGAGTATATTTTGGTACCAACCTCTAAGTCTAAATTTACTATATCTCGGAAAGAATAGTCGTATATGTGACTTTCCTATCAAAACTACTATTATTATTATTATTTACATCAACTAGAACACACCACTCCAAATCATTCAAACATTTCTCCCTCAGTTTAAAGCGCTGGCGGCTACAGACCACTTATCTGACTTTGAAATAAGGCACGCTCTCGCTTCATAATTTTGGAATAAGCAGACTTGTTTTGATTTTTCTCTTATAACCTCGCTATTCTAAACTGGGTCGACGTGAAAAGTTAACTAGCCATTTCATTTTTTAAATTATTTTTATTGGAGAAATTTTAGCTTCGTTAAGCCGATATTTACGAGGGAACCTAAGATTGGATATACATACATACAGGTCTAACACATAACCCTCCTTATCTCATAATAAAATATATTTTTTTGTATATATATATAAGCCGAGCTTGAAAGAAAGTAAAAAAGAATATTACATGCGCAGGTTAAGAATGCAATAATAAAATAGTAGAGGTATTAGAAATTTAAAATATTATAAGCGGTTTAAAAACCACATACTTAAAAATAGGTTTGAACAATAAACATTTGTGCAAAAAATGATCATTTACGATTAACATCTCGACAATATTTGATAATAAATAAGAATCGGTGATGTAATCGCTTTGCTATTTGCTCTCATAATATAATTAATAGCCTAGAGACCGTCATGAGGTTGTCATTTAACTATACAATTCCTAGCAATGTCAACGTATTCTCGATATTCTATACATATAATAAAATTCTAAAGGAGTCGAATCTGTACGTTAAATATTTTTTGGAAAATCTTATTGAAACAGTCATTATTATCGATACAGAGGAGGAATCTATAGCTATTCGAATTTCCATCTGTCTGTCTGAGATCGCATCACGAGAAAACAACTGGACAGACATTAATGAAAGGAGGAGGGTTGATATGGGCCATTTTCCGCCCATCACAATCTCAAAAAAAAAAGTTTCGATTTCCGGCTATTTTTATATATTTATGTATAGTTGAAGACATATATTTTTTAATTCATAATCATTTAAGTGATAAATATTATACTAAGTTACAGATATCATTGTTCAAAAACAGGGTGTTTCGCCTTTTTTGTATATTTTTGTCGTTTTTTTTATCTTTAAATTATAATTTTATAATGAAGCGCTCCATGAACCACAAAAACTTTGACTCACATTGATACTACTCTTTATGAGCTTGTAAATGAGTACTATTTTATTTTGGTTCATTGTGCGCTTCACACAATAAGAAAAAAATATATTACGCGCGAAAGTATTCAGTGCGTTGCGAGAACAAGTTCATACGTGATTTATATTGCGCTCAAAAAGTATTTACGTAGTGTGCTATCGAAATAGTGTTCTGCGGTTGTTGTTGCGATTGTTTGTTGTAAAACTTAATAGATAATAATGCCTGGAAGACAGTGTGATTGTTGTAAAACGTGGCAAAAAACAAATAGTGCTTTTCGTACCTGTTCTAATAGAAAAATCTTATCGATACTTAGAAATTCTAAAAATTGTGATCTACAGAGTGGTTCTAAGTTGTGTTCGAAATGCAGATCATACGCATTCCGTGTGGTTCGAGCTCAAAATATTCCTATTTCATCTTCCATAGTGACAACAAGAGTTCATGCTTCAACAAGTACTGCCGACGACACCTCGAAGAGACCAAATATATATTTATCAATACCTCGTTGTCACAACTCTAATACGTGCTGTATAATATGTAAACGTAAAAGCTACCTCATGACTGTACCGAAAGCAGCTCGAACTCAAGCATTTATCGAAACTGGAATATATATTTCTTCGGGAAAAAGATGTTGTAAAACTCATATTACCGGATTGATATTCAGTGAATTGGCTTTGCAAGTTTTACGCCCTGTAAGTGAGAATACATTAATGTGTGAAAAAGATATAAAAAGTCTTTTAAACAATATTAGAGAAGTAGCAAAGAAAAAAGGCCTTGATTTTGACACACCAGGACAGCTTTCCGAGTCTGATTATTATACTCTCATGGGCATAACCATGTCTGATTTTAATTACATTTTTGAACAAATAAGGCCCAAAATTCGTTCCTCGAAAACAAGGTCATCTCGTACTTGCTTGGCAGTATTACTTGTAAAACTTAGAAGTGGTGTCTCTAATGGTATACTATCCACATTATTCAATAAGAAAAAAAGATTAATATCATCTGCTGTTCAAAGTGTACGCCGGGCTTTGATTGAGAACTTTGTGCCATTACACCTTGGAACGAAACACGTAACGAGAACACAAGTTATTGAGAAATATACGAGACCTTTAGCAAAAAGATTATTTATTCCCGACGATAACGATGATGCAACGATACTTGTCGCTGATGGCACGTACATTTATATACAGAAGAGCGCGAATTATTCCTTTCAGAGACGATCTTTTTCATTACACAAAGGAAGACCTTTGGTTAAACCTATGATGTTAGTCACTACTTCAGGTTACATTCTTGACGTCTTTGGACCTTATTTGGCTGATTCAAAGAACAATGATGCGAACATATTCACACATGTTTTAAAAAAAGATGCACACAATATCACAGAGTGGCTGAAGCAAAATGATGTAATAATTGTTGATAGAGGCTTTCGTGATTGTTTGGAACTCCTGGAAGAAATGGGCCTCGTACCTGAAATGCCTAGATTTCTAAACAAGCAGCAACAGTTTTCAACAGAGGAGGCTAACATGACGCGTCTTGTAACCAAAGTTAGATGGGTCGTTGAAGCTGTTAACGGGCAGTTGAAAAACTGGAGAGCATTAGATAAAGTAATGCCAAACACGCAAATACCTTATATTGGCGACTACGTGCGAATTGTATGTGCTATCCTCAACGCATTTCATCCTACAAGAATTAAAAACACTGAAGATGATGAAATAATCGCTCAACGAATGCTTGATTTGGCTAAAAACCCAAACCACTTACAGCAGATAATCGAAGAAAAAGGATGGGCCAGAAAAAAAGCAATCTGGACCAAGCTAACTGATAGAGATCTTTAAGATTTTCCACGTCTAACTTGGGATGAGTTGCGACAATTAACACTTGGCATATATCAACTTAAACAAAGCCAATCGTACACTCAAGAGCATTTAAATGAAGAAGGTTTTTATTCTTTTTACATACATCGTGAAAATGATTCTGTTGTTAGAGTACAGTTACGATCACGGCACACAAGTTCCAAAAACTATAATGTTTGGATAAAAACAGATAAAAGCAACATCACAAACATTCAATGGTACTGTCAATGTAAAGTGGGTGCAAGAGTCGTAGGGTGTTTGCGCACATGTTGCCTCTGTATTATGGTTTTTAGGTTATTGGCGCCACAATTCAACCGAAATCAAGAAACCAAGAGATGAATATGCCTATACACTACAAGACGCTGCCGCTGAAGGATGGTCCAGTAGTGATTCAGATGAAGAAACCAATAAGGAAAACTAAAAAAACATACATGCTCAATGTGCCTGAAACTTTTTAATTATTTCTGATTATTGATTATTTTTCATATTTCAAATATTGCAATAATAGTAAAAATAAACCTTTTTCATTGTAATCTTGCATTTACAACTCATTTTTTGTGTTAGAATGTACAGTAGCAATGGTTATATTAATAAATGTTCATAATAACCTTATAATTATTTGTTTTATTTATCCCATTAATTAAAGAAGTTTCATTAAAAATAATTGTTTTCTACACTTGCCATGAGATATACTATTAAATAAAATAAATTTCAAATCGAGCGGCTGATGGGCGAAAAATGGCCTTTATCAACCCTCCTCCTTTGGTATGATGATAGCTGGTTATCCGGGTCAACATTTTGGATACTTTTTACTGCGTGAAAATACCTCATCTCTGAGAAATCTATACTACCCGTTACAACGTACCAAGGGACGAACCCGAGCGGAGCGAGGATGAGTCGCTAGTATAACAATATAGTGATGGAAAATAAACTGCTATTGTAGTAATGATTTCCAAACATTAATTTATCTTATTTAATAATAATCCAAATGGTAATCCAAGATGGAATGAACAAAGTTTTCTATGAATAAATTATATTAGGTATACAGGTACAGTTAGCCCACATCATCCCACTGCTGGGCAAAGGCCTCCACTCTACATTTCTAAGTCTCTCTCTATATAAGGATACCTACTACCATCACCCTATATAAGAGAGAGCCCTGTAAATTAATGAAGGAAATCTTATAAACTAATAAACTTACACACTTGTATAATATTTTAAGACAACTTATAAAATAACATATTTATAACTAGTTTTTGTCAGCGGCTTCGCTCGCGTGGTAACTGGGACGAGGGTCTATGGTAGCCTGTCTGTCTTATGTCCATCCCCAGGATGCAATCTATGTAGGTGTGTCCTTACCCAATTTTATCGAAAACTGTTCAGCGGTTCAAGTGAAAAGATAACACACATCACATTTACAACAATAAATAATATAGCAGCAGCATAGCATAATATAATACACATACGTAACAATCTAGAAGAGCCTATAATATCAAAGACTCTCCTGGATTAAGTAATACATTCTTGTAAGTTAAATTATATAAACAAACAAATCTATCCCACGGGAACAGTACACAGTTATACTGATGTATGAACTATGTTATTATTAAGTTTCATTAAAATCCATTCAGTAGTTTTTGCGTGAAAGAGTAACAAACATCCATATATCTATACATCCAGATATACATACATCCTCACAAACTGTCGCATTTATAACATTAGTAGGATTCCGTTATTATTTTCACTAGTACTAGTAGTGGTGGTGTTGCATCACTTCAAAATAAAAATTGGGGCTTAGACAAGATGTTATTCTAAAATCCTTGAAGAAACCTCAGAAAATACGTATACGGCAAGACATTAAAATTCTATGACATAAAGATTAAATCAATACAATTTTTGAAATTTAGCCCTTAAGAGTAGATAGATCCTGGTTCTACGAAGACGCTTACAATTTCCAATGATAGAAACTAACACACCTACAATCCTACATACATACAAACCTATACTAATAACTATAATTATTGACACCCAAGTTAACCGCAAATCATGTCATGGGCGACAGCTCACTACGTGCCACTAGTGACACCCAAGTAAGAATAATTCATGCTACATATTATATATACTAAATACTAATATTTAAAGAGGCAGAGTCTGTTTGTTTGTTTGAACGCGCTAAAATCAGGAAATACTAATTCCATTTGAAAAATTCTTATTGCATTATATAGCTCGTTTATTGAGGAAGGTTATAGGCTACTATAATATCATCATGCTACTACTCAAGGGAGCGGAGCAGTAATCATAAATGTCAACAAATCGAGCAGACTTCCATACATTATTGTAAAACTGATATTTATATCGGAAGTTTAAACGCAGGCGAAGCCGCGGGTATACCTAGTCTGTATAAATATTATAAATGTGAAAGTTTGTGAGTATGTATGGATGTTTGTTACTCTTTCACACCAGAACGACTGAACGGATCTGAATGAAATTTGGCACAGAGATAGATTATAGTCTGGAATAGTACATTTTCTATACAATAATTATATACATACTTTATTGTACTTTAAAATCAGAGTAGCAAAAACAAAACAGAAATCAATGTTAGCGAAGGTGGACTTATCTCTAAAAGTGATCTCTTCAGCCAACCCATGAAGAACCAAAATACAATAAAACCAAAAAGTTAATAACAATTACTGTACAAGTCATGTTTGCGTCGATGCAAAAATCTTAGCCACAAATCCTCTAAGATTTATATGGACTTTTTTTATATTCCAAAATTATGGAGCTAAAAGTCCTTTGTAAGAGTCTGTGCAAAGTTTTCTATCAAAAGAACCCCTCTTGTTTACTGTTCCTAGGTCAACGGAATGGAATTTTGTGTACCGTAAAAATTTTTTTGATACGTTATAGGTACTTAGAAACCCTTGTTGGTATTTGCTTATACATACAGTACATATATACTAGTCTTTATTACACTTAATTGATATACAAAAATTACATACAACAAAACTATCTTTTCGGATTAAGTGTAATAAAGACTAGTATATATGTACTGTATGTATAAGCAAATACCAACAATAGTTTCTAAGTACCTATAAAGTATCAAAAATAATCCGAAGAGATAGTTTTATTTAAAAATGTCAAACATTCGCATAAATCTAAGAAAGTATTATACAGACAACAAATTTAAATTAGTTAGCCAAGGTGGACTTATCTTTAAAAGAAATCTCTTCGAGTCAACCTAAGATAGAAATAGTGTTAAAAAGCAGGCTAAAGTTAAGTTATAACAATATGTATATTCATTATATACATATGTGTATATTATGCCGCGCTCGAGTAACTACAGAAAATCCCCTCTTGGGCTCCCCTACTATTAGCAACTTCTTGCTACTATAACGGTCTAATTACAACTGATAATATTTTAAGACAAAAAATATAGCGACACGACACCATGATTAAAAATCGGCATGGCTCTCCCCGACCCATAAGTCACCATGAAAAAAATCATATCAATGCATTTGCTTGTAATAAGCACACAAATACACTTAAACATTTATATTATCTATATTCCTATGTATAAATAGACAAAGACAAAAATCTTCAATACCCTTTTCTACTGTTTGTCAACCGAATTTCTTTTTTGAAGTTATACTTCTTTTGGTACGTTTGGAAAAAATTATGAGCTCACCGACAGCCAAAGTGCTACACGATGAAGTTAGCTGCATTCATTTTACAAACAGAGAGTTGTGACATACGGGATGAAATCTTTAACTATTTTTGTTCTGTTACACCAAAGAAGTATAATTTCTTATGTGCGGACATAAGTAAACACACACGTTTTTTTTTTTTATTTAGTAGCTATTGGCGAGCTCTAGTGTTATCAATAAAAAAAACTGTATTTTTTTAAAATAGATAATGTCAAAACAGTTAAATACATTTTTCTCCTCTGTTTGTCAACTGTAAGTTTTCTACATATAATGATAATGGTCGAGTTTCAACCACTGGACCAGATAGTATAAATGAATGAATGGAATGAAAATTAACTTTAGTAAGCATTCGTAAATTGTAAATTTAATTGTAAGAGAGTGAGTCAATCGGTGAGAAAGCAGCAGGATATGGTGAGACCCAAAATCACATCAAAATGGGGACAGCAGTTTAGTCGTGAATTGAAGCACAATTATTTTCGTATTTACAATATAAATAGTATGGGCTTATACTTTTTCGCTTCACAAAAGTAATATGGCCGGATAGATTACCCCACTTAAATACACTCGAGCTATTTGAGAGCAAGCTTTCCCAAACACGGGGAGAATTTATTAGCAACATATTCTTTACTGCGTGGTTCGTGTGAGAAGGAGTATGTATACTAGAAACGTTTCTTTTTTACCAACTTCAAAATGAAGTTTAAGACTTCAAAAGACTTCAAAAAAGAACTTCAAGGGTATGTTACACGACATATTCGTCAATTATAGACTTCTTTATATAAATTACCTCAGGAGTGGTCCCATAGAAGATTTTTAAAAATTCTACTCTTATGTATAAATTGATTACTTTTAAGGGGCTATTAGGTTTTTACAACTTACATTGTAAAGAAAAATCAAACACACAAACTCATAAACATTCGCATTTATAAGTTTAATATTTTATTTTCTTTCCGAGGACTCCAAATCCAGTATTTTAAATACTTTATACACACGCACACACGACATACGCACACAGGTACACATGCACATGTGCATGCACCCACATACTACTAACACCACAGTGACCATTGTGTCCGCAGCTTCAACATGCCATTCTTTTCATAAATTATCTTCATCTACTTTTTACCTTTCAAATGTTCCTACTGAGAGCTTTTAAGTATTAAACATTAAATTAGTTTAAATCTAACAAAAGTACTTAATAATCACTCTTAGCACACTGTTCCACAGTATGTACAGTATAGAGTAGTATGTAGAGCTAACCTAATTTTTGATCTCTTTCATATTAACGATGTGCATGCCGGCACTTTGCCGCTGGCTGAATGCCAGCTTTGCATAGCGATAAGCATACCGTAGAGAATACTACAAAAGGTGTTTATTTTATGTCCATACAAACTGAACGACAGCTCTTATTTAAAACAATGTTTAAAAAAATTGTTTCTCAAATTCCTTAAATAAACCGCCGTACTATAAACACATATAAATTCGATTTTTGTGTGTGTATGTTCTTACTCCTTCACGCTAAACTCAATGCTGGGTAGAATGGAATTATCTTATTTGATTAAGTTTTAATATAAGATAAGGACGACACGTTTGGCTCAGAGTGTGTAGACCCTACTTGCTGTGCCAGCGGTCGCGGGATCGAGTCCCGCTGGGGGCATTCATTTGTGTGATGAGCACGAATGTTTGTACTCCAGTCATGGGTGTTTATATTTATAAT